AATTCTTAAGTGAGTTAAAATCCAAAGAATATGTCGAACGCAAATAGAGAGATAATGATTAAATTTCAAGTATATTTCTATTCATCAACTGAAAGAAGATATGGTTTTTCTTTGCTGGCTACGGTGAAATTAATTTCAACGGTACCTAAGCAGAATTCTCTGAGACTAAGCGTAAACTTATTGCTATATGTTCTACAAAAAGAAAAAATCGATGAATATGTAACTATATGTTATTGCATCGAATGAGATGATTTTGAAAGAACATTTGTCGCGCTTCCTTGAAGCATTTATATATGAATCTTTAAAACCATTGACAATTGTATTCAATCACTGTTTCTTAAACATAATACATAAGTAAGAAAAGAGTCGATAAAAGTTTCGGTCGAATATTAGGCTTTCGATACAATCGACATTATTTGATGAAGTGTACGAATAGGTTTCAACACATCAAATAAAGAATTGACTATTTTTTCTCGTTAACAAGTGGATACGTTAAGTGAATCACTACAAATCAATTGATTTCCTTCTTTTGTTCACTTAATAGTGCATTTTTTCTTGTATGTTAAATGTATGTTTCATAAAAATCAATTCATTTTCATTTAAAATTCATATACTACTCAAGAATCATTCATTTACTTGAATTATTTTGTCTACGAGTAAGAAAAAGAACTACAACGAACTTGTTGACTAAACCTATTATATTAATTATGTTATTCATGTACTTTTTGATCAATGGTTTTGTAATACTTCAACTGATAAATGTCGAGCTTATCGGCCATTGCGAAAAAAATCTGCGTTCTTTGATGAAACGAAAAGGTGAATACGTTGTACTATCTTCTTTAATCAATATGTTTATATCAAAATCAGAATAATAATGTTGTAGCTAGTTAATACAAAAAGCAAATTTCGATTGCAATTATTTCTAGAATAGTTAAACTGCAACAAAAATAGCGGCACATACACTTCAATATCGTATTGATAGTTTAAACAAACTATTTCTGTGTATTGCACTACTCATTTTTTCAATATTTGAATTAGAAAAAAATGCATAAAATGCAATTATTAAGGTTAAATATCTAAGTCTTGTATTACCACATAGATCTGTACATTTTCAGTTCAGATACACAGCCGATAATTGTAAGTTGACTTTAAACATTACCAAAAGTGCATTATACTTCTTTTTTTTTTTTATAAAGATCGATTACAAAATGAATGAGTCAATATATTTTCTTTTCTTCTTATGATGAGAATCATGCATCTCTATGTAGGTTTCATGAAAAATACATATGCACTCTCTCGTCATATATCATTAAAAAAAAGATTCGCATTGAAATTTTATTGTTATGATAATCGTTAAAGAGTGATGCAATATTGGAGAGATGCGATGCCATACTTTTAATATTAGTGTGCAAAACAAGAATTTCCTTTATTTTGACAATGCTGATGTTTAAAATGTTCTCATCGGTAAACTACATATTCAAAAATAGTAAAATTTGAATAAGAATTGAAATTTTGTTCTCAATGTAACCGAGCACAGTATCAATAAAAGTCAGACACGGAAAGTCACAATATATTTTTCTATCTGATGTTGAGAAAACTTGTACGCCAATCATTCGAAAATCTCAACACTAGGTTTAATTGAAGAATTCTTTCGCGGTACGTCGAATGAAATATTAGAAAGAAAACAAATAAATTGTTACCATTCAATATTTGATTGCTAAAGAGAATAGAAAATTGAGAACATTATTCTCTAACCAAAGTTACTTACATACGGCAATTGAATCTGCTTCACACTCTAGAAATGAAGTAATTACTTTGATGAAAACGAGTTTAATTGATAAGCGTAACGAAAAATGTCCAATTGTAGTATTTGTTTTGTTCATGAAAGTTTTCCGATGAAAACAAACTTGACGTTGGGAGTGCATCTGTGAACCAGGCAAAATTAGTTTTTTTAGTTACAGATGATTCAAAGAATAGAACGCAAATTTTCAATGATTTTATTTTTCATGAAGCAATCATGTTTAAAACTGAATTTTGTCCTGCAGAAAACAACAATGTCATCCTGAGTTGAGTCGAATAAAAGATTTTACTCGATGGCTGAAACTCTATACAAGAGTATATGACTAAAAGATTTTGAATAAAAAATTGAAGTCCGAAATATAAATAAAAACATTTGCAATATTTTGTTTTTAGTAGTAATACTAGGAGTTCAGATCATTGCCGACTCAGTTTTTCTCAATCTTTTAAGACTACAAACTGTAGTGAGAGAAATTTCGACTATGAATTCATCAGAAATACTTCGTATTTTAGGTTGCAGAAAGCATCCTAATAAAAGTACATCGAAATCAACCGCATGTATTTATAAAACCCAAAAATTATTCATCAACACAATAAAACTATCTTATTCGTATATACTCTTCTATTGTATTGACTACTTGCTTTTAGTCTATTTTTATATCCTGTCCAACACCAATGTTATCAAATCAGGAACGAATGATGCTGGTACCAAATGCATCCGGATATGTGTTGAACGTGATGTAAGGATTCTCAATTAAAAGAATTGATACGCATATTTTGAGATAAATGCGAAATCGCTTATGAATGAAGTTCTTGTATTGGAATCCAGATAAAAACATACTCACCATGTAATTATCATAGATCCGAGCGAAGTTCCTTTAAATCACCACTAGATACCGCCAATTAACATCAATCGCCATATTTCAATTATAAAATATCGTTTATTAAATGCTTATCGTGAGAAAAAAGTAGTGTTTTTTCAAATCAAGCAATCTTCAAAATTCGTTCGGAAAGTACGATAATAGTTTCACATGTTTCTTCAAAAGTCTGTGGAAATCTGGTCTTTTTTCAGAATTTTTATTCAGAACGAGAAAAATTTCGCTGCATGTTTCCATCATAACCATAAATTTATTTCAGTTTTTCTTTCAACAATCAAACTTTGTGAGTTTCTTCAAGATATTCTCTAGTAAACTCGAAAATGTTTCAGATAGACTTTCGCATGCCTCCAGATTTTCAGTCTAAAGTCATAGAAATTGTGCAAAAAATGTGACTACGATATTTTGATTTGACATTTTACTCCTAAATACGCATTTACATATTTAGGAGTAGAATACGTTGATAATTCTTGTCTTTCTCTATCAGAAACGAGTGATGACTTTCAGACTTCAATACTTTTGACAATTCAACATTATTTCGGGCTAAAATCTTCAGCGCACTCTAATTAGATCAAAATGTTTTAGCTCTAACTTTTCCAATGTACTATGCTACGGGTCTCACTCTCAGAAACATGCCAATACATGTGAATATAAAAACCTTGGAGCACGTGCATTTTAGGATTTTTTCATGCATCAATGAATTCTAATTTATACAAAGAATCTAGATTCGAAAACTGTTGAGCAATCGTAAATATTCCCTCTTAAGAGCAAAATTATATTTGTCGGTCATTATAATTCCAGCTAACGTCGATCGACTGAAGTGTAAGGATAATGCGCACATCTGAAGACGTACCTTATCAAAGAACAAAATTCAGCGACTATGTATATTCAGAAAATATTTCCATTGACATGTAGAATAGGTGTGCAATAAGTCAAACGATTCAAATCATTAACTTCATGTCATTATTGTGGCCATGTCGCATTCTCAGTAAAGTAATCCTGTTGGCGTCTATCAGGGTCATCAATTTTGAAGAACGCGAGAATTGTGAATGTTTAAAGGTGAGTTTATTTAATTACATCCATCAATTAGAACCTGATATAGGAATTCAACTAAGAATTGTTTGAAAATTAGAGAAATGTGTTAACAAAAATATAAACCACAGAATGTAGTTACTTGATAGAGTAACTTCAGCACACAATTACACCTATATTCTTGCCCGTTCAAGAAATGAACTACAAACAAATAACTAGCTATAGATTAATTTTGTCGATGAAAAAGATCGGGTCGAAAAAGCAATACAACATATGGAACAGCTTTCAAGAATAATGAAAAGAAAGAAAAATCCCAATTAACCAAAATACTACATAATTGTACAAATTATAGTTATTGAACAATAGGTGCACACGTAGTCGACGTATGCTTCAGTAGTGCTAGGAAGTTTGTTTGCTTTATGGATTAGTGGAGGCTTCATATTATTTTTTGTTTGAAACCGCAAAATAAATGAATTTATGATGATGAGTCATTTTCACCACAAACATTCAACCAAAAAGTCCTGAATTTATAATACCAACAGAGGATAGGGCACGCTGTGTGAATGCAACAAAACGAATAACTTTTTAGAGCTTTGAAAAATCTATTCCAGTCTACAACATTTTGTGCAAATCTTTTCCAGTCTAACCCTTCCGTGTTTGTTTTGTTTGAAATTATCAATGAATTTTTCCATTTTATTTTTCTCAATTTGTATTTTCGTTTCAATTGATTGAGAACTTCAATGTACCATTTAACTAGGGTGAGTATTTCTGATTTGAACAGTTCTATAGATTCATTCATAAACTATTCTAAAACTCATTATCTAGAGCAGTGATGTTATGAATTATTTTCAACGTTTCATTAATGTTTTCTAGAAATAATTTTTTTCCATCCAATAAATAATTTTATTTATTTATTGTCATTTCATTGATGGATAGTACAGTACTCTCAATCTTAAATATTGTATAATATGAACATGATTTAAATACGATGCTGCTTAATTTTTAAATGAACAATGAATTCGGCATGCAAAGAGTATTTATCATTTAATTTTCGAATAGAATAACATGTAGTAATAGTTATTTTATACATCAAGTTGATAAAATAAGTTTTCTTAAATGCATACGTAACAGCAGTTGATATAGATACATATTATATAAACGGGTGCTGGTTTTTATTTTTTTTTGTAAATAAACAAAAGTTAATGCAAAACATCATTCGATAAACACGACGATGAAAAACGAGATATGAAACATATTGTATGTTAGTTGTGTTCCATGTTCATCTTTTTTTTAATTTTATTTCTTTTTTTGTTGTGGTTGCTTCTCTTGCTTCTTTTCTTGTTTAGCAACAGTCTTTGATGGCGCTTGTTGTTGCGACTTTGGAGCTGCAGCAACAGCCGGTGTTTGAACTTGTTGTTCAATAGCTTGTTGAACAGCAACATTTGAGTCATCATCATCTTGTTTACCCAAAAAATCAGTACGTTTTTGAAGAATACGTTGTTCACGACGAACACGTTTTTCCTTTGTACGTTCACGACGAGCAACAGCTTGATCAGAAAGCATTTTCGTACGTTGCACTTCGGCTTTCTTCTTGTGAATAAATTCCATTAATACGCGTTTGTTTTTGAAAACATTACCTTTGCATTTCAAATAAAGTTCATGATACCTAATTAAATTAAAAATTTTTCTTATTTTCTTTATTTCATAAAAATAACATACATATGTCGATCGATTTTTTTTGCTGCACGATATTTTTTCAATAAACGACGTAATACGCGCATACGACGAATCCAAAGAATCTAATAAAAATAAATGATGTCAACTACAACGATGAATAAAATAAACCATCTCGGCAATTTTTTACATACCTTCACTGGCATACGAGCGTTAGCTGTACCTTTTCGTTTACCATGACCCATGTGTCGACCTTTTCGACGGGCTTCGTTATTTTTACGGGTACGAAAACGTGAATGTACTGCTACGGGTTTTTTAATGATCAAACCATCTTTAATTAATTTACGAACACTTTGACCTAGGCAAAAAGACAAATTAATAATATTTTATTATAAAACATAAAAGACTCAAAATTTGCTTATTGCCAATTAAATTCAAAAAGATCGATAAAATAGAAAACAAAGAAAAAGAAAATTTATATTTTACCCTTCCCGTGTATCGATCCATGGTATATGTGTAAAAACTGTTTTTACATTAAAGATCGATGATTGTTGAAGGGATATACATATTCTATTCAATAAAGAAAAACAACAACGTACGAGTATTGGCATTGGAAATTTCATTAGGTTCATTAGGATCAAGCCAGATTTTTTTATTACCACATCCCAAGATAGATGAAGCGAGTCGCTTTTGTACTCGAAGCGAACTGAATATGTTAAAAGAACAAAAGAATTATGAATGCTATCATAAACTTAGTGTACCTCATTTTAATATAAATCGATGTTATCGATGGTAGTTTTTTTCAAAAAGCACCGATTTAGTCATATTGAACGCAGTCCTCAAACAAGGTATTTCCACGTATTTTCATTGGTTCGGCATTACATTAACTTATGGATGTTCGAAATGAGGAGGCTACATCTGATTCATATTGTGACAGAAGTAATTCATACTTTTCGATTCAATTATCAAAACTTAAATCAAGTTTATCGATAAAATATCTTCAAAAGAAATAAACCAGCAGAGCTCATTTGACTAGGCTTTTATTGGTTTAAAGTTGACCTGTAATAATCAGCGGGAACGAAAGAGCGAAAAAACGTGAGATCGTATCAATTCTCAACAGCGTTCGGACTTGCTTATCGAGGGGATATGATAAAAATAGCAATTACAACCGACCTTTTATCAATGCATCCCCTGTTACCCTTATAAAGCTCCTCGTTCTCTTATAATAATAGTATTTTCTTTGCTTTAGAGAGATACACAAGCTGACCCATCAGTAAAATCGTCTCAACATTAGATAAACAATAGATTAGAATGACTGCTGCATTGAACGAAAATATTGCTCTAGTTCTTCATAAAATCGACGATCTTCGTTTGGTATGATGTTAGAAATAAATAAATAAATAAATAATAAAGTTTTCGGTTTCATTTTCATTTATTAATTCTTTTTTAAGGAACCTGTTCCTATCAATGAACCCAATGATGGAGGTAATTTTACATAATTACAATAAGATATTATTCATTGAATATATATCAATCTGATAGAGGTATTACTTGAAATGCAAAGTGTTGGCATCTGTGGAAGCGATGTGCACTATTGGGTATAACATAAATCTTTTCTTATTATTATTTCAACGAATGAGACACTGGTTTATAGAAAAGAGGTTGTATCGGAGATTTTGTTGTTCGTGCTCCCATGATTCTTGGCCATGAAAGTGCAGGTAAAGTAATAAAAGTTGGACCAAATGTAAAAAATCTCAAAGAAGGTAACATTTGAGAATTAAATTGACAAGTTTTCAATAAAAAAAAACTTTATTTCACAGGTGACCGTGTCACTATTGAACCTGGTGTACCTTGTCGTCGTTGCGATTTTTGTAAAGTTGGCCGTTATAACCTTTGTGCTGATGTTGTATTTCTTGCAACACCACCTGTTCATGGAAGTATTGCACGTTATCATACTCATGCTGCTGACTTCTGTTTCAAGTGAAGTCGCATTTTCGTTAGAGTAGTTCGGTTCTTTTTAAATTGAAAACTATACTTTCATAGATTACCAGATCATGTTACATATGAAGAAGGTGCATTTTGTGAACCATTAAGTGTTGGTGTTCATGCGTGTCGTCGCGCCGGTGTAACTATAGGCTCAAAAGTATTCATCACAGGAGCTGGTAATATCTAATAATGAATATACGTATGCAATATAATCTGTATATATTGCAAGGACCCATCGGTCTCGTGAGTATGTTGGCAGCAAAAGCAATGGGTGCCGATACAATTATTATGACTGGTGAGAATTTTTTCTTGAAGTTATTTTTCGCCACCGTTACCATATCATCTTATTGTTATGTAATAAAGACATTAGCCAACAACGTCTTGACTTTGCAAAGAAAATTGGAGCGAATCATGTTGTTCTTGCTGATAGTGATTCACAGAAAACAGCTCAACTTGTAATAGAAACTCTTGGTTCTATGCCAAATATTTCGATCGAATGTTCAGGTGCTGAATCATCTATTCAAGCAACATTCTATGTAAATGCTTGCCTTAATTTTTGAATTAGAAATATATCATGTTTCCATTCATTCATTTTCGAATAAAGGCAACGATTTCAGGTGGTGTTGTAGTTCTTGTTGGTCTTGGACGTCCCTTAGTATCTTTACCAATTGTGAACGCTGCTATTCGTGAAATTGATATTCGTGGTGTTTTTCGTTATGCAAATTGTTATCCAGCTGCATTAAGTTTGATTGCATCTGGTCGAATTGATGTGAAGCCAATGATTACACATAGGTATATGATAAATGAATCTGTTCAAGCTTTTGAAATGGCTGAAAGTGGACAAGCCATTAAAGTTATGGTACGTCTGACTATTTTTCTCTTGATACTCTGTACTTACTGACTGAGTCTATTCTAATATTTTAGATTCAATGTGGAAACGAAGCTCAACATTGAGCAATACTTTTTTTAATTTGATTTTTTTCATATTCGAGCATTTACTTAATTTTATTCAACATATTGATCATTTTATATATCATTTAGATGGATAGTTTTCATTTTATTTCTTTTGTTCATGATGACGTCTTATGTATTATGAAAATACCTTTGATTTTGAAATAATAAAAAATCATATGTATTCATGTATCAATTCTGTTTTGAGATGATTTTATAAAATGATGTGATCGCTTTGTTTTTTACATCGACTCATGTATAATGAAAAGAAATCGTACTACTTTCATTGGAAGTTATACTTGAAGTTTTTTCAACCAAAACAACTAAAGATAAAATTATGATTCAATTTTTGAGCTGACGTAATTATATAAAACATCAACATAAAACATAAATATTTAATTCTATTTTGTTAAGATAATCAGTGTATTTGATGATGTTGAATGTTAGTAACATCAAAAAGAGATGAGAATAAATGTCGAAGAGACAATCTCGTACAGTATAACAAATGTGAACAATTAGATAACGAAAACAATCGAAAAATAAACAAAAAATGGATATTTTTCAATACTCGATACATTAACTGTCTTCGTCTTCGTCGTCGTCGTTGACACGTCGTCTTGTTGGCATTTGTTTCTTGGTCTTGCTTGCTAAACGTTTGCGTTTCTTGTTTAAATAAGCATCGATTCGTCCTGTATTCTTCAGATCTGTGTATGTTGTTGCCAATTTCATTACTTTGCGAACCTCTACCAAATGAAAATTCGTTTATTTGTATCAATCAATCAATTTATTATTTACCTTTTGTAATGTAAGGTGTAGATTCACCGCCATTAGCAAGCTGTTCACTTTTTTCTTCTATATCTTTAGAAATTTTTTCTACACGATCTAAATCATCGACATTTTTGACTTGTGATTTCTATTGAAAATATGAAATAGAATCATTCAATTTTATTATTAATACAAGCACATACAAGACGGCTAATGACTGTTTTTAATTTCATTTTTTCAGTTGGATCTTCACATGCTTTTAATTGTTTTCTAAGTTCCTGAATTCAATGCAATAAAAATCATTGATCTAGAAACGATTATGAATCAATAGATATCCTACGTTCAATTCTTTGCGCCGTAAATCAGTAATGAAATGATATGACTCTCGAAATTCTTTAGCATCATATTCACCACATTGTTCATTGAATCGTGGGTCAATCAATTTTGGTCTTCCACGTAAATGAACAGGAATTTGATCACGTTTTGATGGTCTTCGTTTCGATGACATTTCAACAGGTCTATTTATTGAACATATTATTTATAATAGTTGGGAACAAGAAACTGTGATTTACGCAAATTTTGATGGTAATTCATTCATCATTGTTGTATTTTGAGTTGATAATTTTTTCGTATCTAAATTTGCCGGTTCATCATCGTCGTTGTCGTTGTCTTTCTCCGTTTCTTCATTATTTTGTAAAGCTTTTGTAAAACTAGTAGCAACAACAAAGTCATTATAATTGTATTAAGTTTCTATTTAAATTTTTACTTTTTCGTTCCAAGACGCTCTTGAATTTCGAACATATCTCTTAGAGATACTTTGGCAACTTTATCACGAAAAAACATGGTTTGTTTTATTATCTGAAATAGAACTGAATCGAATGCGTTCATTAGTAACAAGAAGAATGATGAACGAAAAAAAACATCGGTTTAGAAAATCATTTGACATGTGCTTGTATTTTTATGTGTTATACCTTCTTCCCATTTTTCATAGAAGACATCCGGTACTGAATATTTATTACTAATGATAAATGAACGATTTGTAGTCGATGCACTCAATTGTTTCTTTTTAGATATATTTTTAAAACATTCCAGCGCTTTAATTGGTACAGATGATATTGTCGATTTATTTGAATGCACACTAAATTGTATTACAAACATATATATATATATATATATTTATGATCATTTCGATTTGTAATTAAATAAATAAAGTTTCTAATTATGCATCGATCGGTCAAGTACCGATTGTTTTCAATTCAGAGAATTTTCATTAAAACCAATAGATCTTTTCATCTACATATAGAAACTTTACATAAAAAAAATTAGTGCTCATCATTCGAGATAAGCCAACGCAGTCTATTTATTTCTGAAGCGACTGAAGAAGTCTCGAATTAACATTTCTAGTAACATGTAATTTCTAATATATCCAGTATACAATACTTTAAGATCCGTCTGATAGGAAGACTCTCATGTCCATCAGTGTAGGTCACCGATTAATATTTCCCTGAATGACGAGTTTTAAAAAACTATGTTTTGCATTACTTCATTTACATTCCAACTTCGTTTATCATTGCTTGTTTTTACGTCAAATACCTTTCATCAAATTCATCAATCAATATTCGATCATTATCATTTAACAAGTCAACATGATACCATGTTGGCAATAATTTTTTTGTTTTATAACAATAAAATTTGTAACTATTTTTCGATGATGCTAAAACTAATTGTTGATTTATATCGTTCCAAACATGTTCAAGTGTAATCATCCGATTGAAATCAATATTTTGCCAAAATTTTTTACATTTTCCATCGTTCGTTCGATGAATTAATTGAATACGTTTTAATAATTTTTTCATCAACAAAACAACAAAGACAATCTTAAAATAATTAGACCGACAAAAATGTTAACTTCACGTATATAAGTTAAATTCATTGCTTTTTTTTGTCTAATTTTAAACTTTTTATAACAAAAAAAAAAGAAGAAAAACGACACCGACATCTGATACATTTCTTTTTTTTTCAAATAATAGCAAGAATAAGAACAAAACAAAACAAAAAAAGGATGAGTAGAATTTCAGATGAAACGACGGAAAATAATGTTATATCTTATTTAATGTCGCTTTGATAATAATATTGACGAAAGCAAATAATAAATAATTTTACAATAAATGAGCACACAAAATGATTGTATTTTGTTCCTTTTAGTCTTGAATAAAATTCAAGAATATGTTGTGCAAAAGTATTTTTGCTTATTCTTATTTATATTTTCGTTTATGGGAAATATACAAGTCGAAATAAAAACGATTTATCACGATGAATAACTGGATATTTGTGGAGTTTGTAAACCACATATTAATTCAATAATCGATGGGTATAATGAACATTCATCTAAAACAAAAGGAAGATTTCAATAAAATTTAGTTCTACGAGAAAAGAAATAAATCAAATGAACATACATTTACTTATCGTATCACGCGAATTGTTAAGAATTTTCATAACATTTTGATATTTATGTTCATTACCCATTAATGGTTGTTTATGTAGTCGATCCCATAATGCTGTTTGATTTGTGTTTACATCGTGTGTTAATGGAACGACAAATGACGATGTATTTGAATTGTTAGACATTTGAAAGTCATTTCGATTTACTCGTGGAGTAAATTGAAACTAAAAATAAATTTCGAAAATAAAGTCTAGAATAATAAAAACTACAACATACAATAAAAATAGATGGTTGACCAGGTTGACAATAGATAGCTGGTTGACCGACTTGTGAAAAACCGTTTCCTTGTGGAATTGTTAAACACCAACGTGCTCGCCATAAATGATGATTTTCGGGATTCTAAAATAGTTCAAAAGTATAATTTTAGAAACCTGTAAATTTCTTTAAAAAACGAATGTTTATAAATAAAATAAATGCAAACGAAAGATTCTAGAAAACTTTTAGGCGCAAATTCAGATTATTTTTTTACGTAAAATAATAGCTACATCGCAAGAAGTGTAATAATTTTCAATACTGAAATTATTCTAATATGTAATTAGAACTTGAAGAAATCGATTTAATACTATGAAAGCATGTGTTCATTGCCTTAATCTTAACATCTTTTCAAACGCGCTTTTAGAATAGATTCTTCGACTGAGAATCAAGTCATGTATTTCGTGAATTTTCACTACGAATTCCGGTTGAACATGAAAAATGATCCTGTATCATGTAAACAGTATACCAGATTTACATTTTTTCATTATAGTGAAGAGTATGTCACTTTTAGTATTATGTGCTCGGAATATTTTTGTTACTGCAGATAACTCAGAAAAAATTAATCGAATAAATAGAAAAATAAATATTCTAGCTATCTATTTTATCATAGCAACCTAAAGAAATTCTACTATTTTATAGAAATAACATAATCAATTTGTATCCTTGGAAAAATCTAAATAAACTTCATGATAATAACAAAAACTGTTACTATTTTCTGATTCGAATTCATATCTCAAAAAAGCAACATTTTTAGATAGCTATTAGTAAAGAAAAAAATCTATCACTGGTTGAAGTTTCCTTAAAAATTTGACATGTTTAAACTATTCTGAAATATTTCTCATCTCATACATTCGAGATCAGTTCCTTTTCTTTTTGTTCAAAATATGCACTTTAAAAAGTTTTCAAATATGAATAGAAATAAAAATAAACTATTAATTAAGATTAGTAAAATTTTACCTGTTCACTTCGAATAATTTTTATTAGATCATGCAAAACACGTGGATGAATATGCGAAAGCATTTTTTCAAATGTTCCCATAACTGTATTTCGATTTTGTGTTGCTGCTGCCAATGACAATACATCAATCGTTGGCGTAACTATTTGATTCATTGAATTTGATAAAATTGATATAGGAAAAAAGTTATCGTTAAAAAACGTTTCCATTGCTTGCAGCTCCTCTTGTAGCCAACCAAAATTGGACTGCTGCTGCTGTTGCTGAGAGCATGAGTCAACTAATGATGTGAAATGAATCCTATATGTTCCTGTATTACTATCAAATACAAAAGCGATTTGTAAGGATAAATGCTCTATTCTATATGTATCTTGTTCGTTTGATACAGGACGAACCTAAAGCAAGTAAAAAGATTAATTTTCAAAAAAATTAACAAATGAATTTTAATTTACTGTTGGATTATTTGCATCGAATGGTTCTGAAACTGCTCGAGCAAAATGTTTTACAAGAGTTGATGATGCAAGGAAAGATTCTAATTTGGACCATTGTTGGCCATCAGATGTAAAAAGCATTCGAAAAAATGTTTGCTGACTCATATAAACAGGATAGTGTTTAGTATATAAATGTCGATTATAACTGTGTAATGTTGACGTTTGTTTATTACCTAAGTTGAAATAAAATAAGTCTTCTGAAAAAAGAAAAAAATATATTATTACTATTGTCATCGGGTCGAATATTTATTGGAGTTGCTGCAGATGTCATCGTAATATTAGCAGGTGTACCAGGTGATGGACCAAGAAATGAACCTGGGAATGATGAACCAGGTGGTCGAGGTGCCGGACTTATATATGGAATTTCTAAAAAAAAAGAAAATTCGATTTAGAACAAAGCAATCATCAAAAATGACTCTACCATAAATATTTCCTGGTGATGCTGTTGGAATACCCATTGGTGATGGAGCTGTTAATTGTGTTGTAGTATTATTTGTCATTGGTGAACCTATTGAGGTCATCGTCATAGGTGAACCCATACTCATAAAACCAGGACTTGGCGCAATCATTGGTTGTGATGGTGAATTAGCTTGTTGTTGAGATTGACTGCTAGGACCAACACTAGCTGGCGTCAATGGATTAAGTGATGAACCGGGTGTTCCAGCAGGATGTAATAGATGTGGAGTTGCTGCATTTCCTGAAGCTAATGCTCGATTTGATGATGGATTTGTTATTGCTGTTGTTGTTGTTGTTGTTGATGGTAATGATATGGGAAATGGTATCGGTGGCAATTGTAATTCAGGTAAAATAAAATCACGATCACGTAAACGATCTGTTATATGAGTAAATTCAAACGTTAGACCTCGATCATCAGCATATCTAGATAAAAATTCCTATAAAGAATACATACGAGTTAGAGTATTATTCAAGTAAACAGAGAAAAAGCTTCTACTTTAAGTCTAGGTATGGGCAAAAGTTCCTGTAATAAACTGTTTAGCTGTACACTGTATGCTCCATCACGTATAAGTATTAGATTGGGTCCACATATTTGAATATCAATTGCAAAAATTTGACCGAAAATAAGACGCCATCGAAATTCAGTATAAGGAACAATTGTAAGTACTGATTGAATGCATGAACCCTAGAAAAACAAATATCAAATTAATTGTTGATGAACGAGAAAAAAGATCTCATTGTTTGAAAACGCACTTGGTTCAGAAAAATAATTGGACGATTAAAACAATTTAATCGAGCTATTAAAGATATTGGAATAGCAGTCATATGTAATAGCTATAGGAAATAAAATATATTTTTCAATGAGAAGTCTTTTTTAGCTTTTATTTTACTCGAATAAATTGTTTGAACGAACGTGTTCGATTTAAAAATTGAAGTAATTTTCCATTTAATATTTGATGAGCTGTTGTTAGGAATTTATTATTTGTTGTTACAAAACGTAAGTTGAATGTCCATCCTATATTTGAATTTGAATCTTGTTGATTATTATTATGCGTTATCGTTACCTAAGCATTTTAACAAAAACAAAAAGTGATTAACAAAAGAAAAACTCCTTTCATTGTACAAACAGCAAAAGCAAAATTTGGTCCATAATGAATTGTAGATTTAAAAAAGTTGAACGAATTTATTTCAGCAATTGCTCGAAGATCAACTGATTCTATAAAAGAATTAGAAGAAAATTACGAATGTGTTTATTATTTAGTTTCGTTCATATAAACCTGATAATGATAATGCATAATTTTCAAATAGATTTGTTAATTCAAATGCAGCTCGGAGTTCACTATGAATATAATCAACTGTTTTCGAATATAATTTTGCTAATATACTCTTGCAAACAATTATCGAAGTATATGGAGCTATAATAAATTATTAAAAATAAAATGCAAAATTGGTTAGGGTAAGTCATCGATAGGATTATGATAACAGTATTAACGGGTGAGGCAGAAGAAATTGCCGACTTTTGATAGGCTTTTTTCTCCAGTGAGACTCTACTGGAAATTTTGGTTTTGATGCTAAATGATAGAACATTTCAAGCAGATTCTATTGATATGTTAGGTTTTGAACAGATATGGACTGTTGCTTTGTAGCACTGAACGTATTGAAATCAGAAAAACGTTATTTGCTCGCCACTTAACTGGAGTAAACTGCCATCGTTATTTGCTACATAATATTCTATTTACTATTTAAAGGCACTATGAGAAAGCCCCTGAGCGTATTTGCTTTTAGCCAGAAAACCATATGGGTATACTGATTTCTGCTATCTTCAAATCCGACTACAAAGCGTACCCAATTATCGATTTTTTGGCGCACTTTCACGGTAGTGAAAACATTTCAACATCGTTATCCAGTTACAACAAAACTTCAATCCTTATCAAATCGAGCACCTTGTAGAGCTTGAAATTCTGAATCGTTGCATATAAAAAGAATCATTTTTGTGACTGTAAGTTTTAACGAAATTCTTTAAGAAAAGTAGGATTCCGTGACCCATGAACGATTTTTTTTTATGTTTTGCAGGTTTTGAAGGAAAAGTAACTAAGTTTATGAAACCCAATACACCACGAGATACACGAAAAACGTCTACATCTCTTACTGGAAAACCGAAATATTTAAACTCAATCTAGCTGGATAAGTATTGCTTATTACATGTATCTGATTGTGTAGTTGAGCAGGTGGTATTTTTCTGCTATCGAACACTCTTAATGCCATAGAAGAATGATACATGCTTCTTCTAGAAAGAATATATCAGTAAAATCTACTTAAAATACTCTATCTTTTAGCATCAGAACTAAATTTTTCAGTAGTCTAACTAGAGAAAAAAAACTCTATCAAAAGCCGGCAATTTATTTCGCATCATCCGTTATTATATTTTTGTTCCAATTCTTCGAAATCAACTAATACTTTTTTCAATGTGAACATTTTTCTTTTGATTCATTAAAATGACGTACAAAAACAGGATGTACATTTCTTTTATCAAGACATAGAAATACATGAGGATCTCTACGACAACATCTAATTTGGATTAACGTTATAAGTAATATTTCTTAGACTAATTCTTTCACATCTTAAGATTTTTATTCAATGAGTTTATGATACAATTAAATTTATTTGGGTCCTCGATCATCATCTTCTTTCAAAAACAAAACAACAACAAAATTTTCATACTTCAAATGTTTGGGGGAATTATAATCGTTAGCTACTGAGCTCGTTAACCGGCAGTAAGTAAAAAATTCAGTTGATTTCAATTAATTCAAGCACAAAGGAATTATTTATATCTATATATTTACGTGCTTACTTTTTATAATTGAATTATGAAAATAATTATTATTGGGCAAATTCAACTGAAAACAAAAATATAATACATTGATCAAGGAATAGTACACAAACAATAAATGAAATTACTTGTAAAACCCATTGTCTTTCACTATGTTTATGTGCATTGTTTGTTTCACGTAATGTGTGTACTAACCGAACAGTACATGATAAAATACGTGGCCAAAAACATTCATTTACATAATTCCAAAGTTCTGTATTTGATGAAAACGAATCATCACCAGTTGATGTTCTATTTAATTGATAATGAAAAATATTTTAATTCTTTTTTCTATTTATAATGAAAATATCCTACCGAACGATGTCAAGGTATGGAATACCGGTCCATGGGCTATAGATAATACCTTTACATATTGTTTTCTTACGTTGAAACTAAAGAAGAAAGTAATTGATTATAAATTTTCAAGAAATCGAGTCCTGTCATTTACTTCTTCTTTTAAAAACGTAAATGTGAGCATTTCATCATAATAATTAATTAATTTTAATAATAACTTAAGTGAAACAACTGATGTCTAAAAATAAAGAATTCATAATATATGCAACTAAAATAGTTTATTTTATTTACCGATCTCGCTTGTTTAATCCCGATGTCATCTGCAATTGTTTCTCTTGTTTTACCAAATTGAAATGAATTTTTCAACTAAATAAGTCAAAATTTCAATAACAATTAAACGAGAGCTATGCTTCAACAAACTTCTACAAATTCTTTTCTTAAAAATGCAGTTGGATCTAGTGGACATAAAACAAGTGGTTCTAACATCCATTTTGCACACTCATAATTTAATACCATTGATTGTTGATTATATTGTGAATTTTGTTGTTGAACTACCAGTGGATCATGTGTTGCTGAACGTTTTTCCACAATTAATAAATAATATTGAATTAGTAATTGATTTACATCAGACACATGAACAACCTGAAACGAAAGCAAAAGAAAATGATTCAGTAAGTTTTTGGTAGCCATCCATTATCTCTTTCTGAGTACTCGGTTTCACGTTCTTTTTTTCTTACAAAATTTTCAATAACATTCACAGGACTTTTCCCGTTGTTAGATAACCTATATGGATCAATTATCAGCACATTCCCTCTGACATCAAAAAGTTCAAAACAAAACGATGTTTAAAGTATGATTTGTGGTGAGAATAAATTTCTGAAGCTTTAACTCCAACACTTTGTTTCTCTATGGTAATACTTACAATGTAATAACCTTCATGATGTATCAGTTCAATATAAATACCATTATTAACAAATGGACTGATTAGTTCATGTTTTGGATTCAACGATGGTATTCGCGTATAAATATGACAATTAAGATGAGCTAGGAGAGATGGAATACGTTGTTGTATTAACCATATTCTAAGAACATTTATTTATTTGATTATATTTAAATAAGCAAAAAAATAGAATTCATACTTAAATAAATTGATTGCATCAATCAAAGTTCCTTGATCACGATTAAGTGCATATTCAATTTGTTGTGAGTATCGAGTTTCTTAATGAAGGAAATAAATATAATGAAAAACAGGAAAAATGAATTCTCGGAATTAATTACCCATGTAAGACATCACTTTATATAAACCCGAAAAAGGACTTATTGATATAAATAAAGCTTCTTCTGATGTACTGTCAGGTAAAAATTCGCATTTCAATGCTGGAATCAATGGATCAATTTCAACTAAATACACAAAAATATAAATAGTAAAAGTGATGCAGTAACAAAATAGATCCTATTTCTATTCTATTATTAACTCATTCAAGAGCTGTGAACAAAAAAATAATTCTCGAATCTTAAAGTTTTCAAATGCTCCGAAAGAGTGCGTAACATGCCAAGGGCGAGAAACCAGACGGCAAAATCTTACAGTAATCGTACGTTTGATCACGAAAAATCGTCGTCTTTGATTTCTTACACAAAGTCGCATCAGAAGATTCTTGAAAGGTTCTGTTACCTATAGAAATATCACTGTGATATTTTAATTACACTAATATCTCCTTAAAATATCATGACAAATTTGTATTGAAAATAAATTCTATGTGCGATCTTTAAAGAAAATACAATATGATCTGATGCAAGATTTCAGAGACGACGATTTTTTGTCTGATGCTTATAAGATTTCGTTCGAATTGTGAGATCAGACGTCCGGATTGCAAGATCTTACGTCAGATTTTTCGACCTGGGTGTTAATCTCAATCGAATCTAACTAATCATATAAAAACATACTGTTTGCTGATGCTGTTGACAAAATTGTTTCTTTTAATTCCTAAAAATTCATATTAAAATATGAGAAGAACAATTGCATTTTTTGTAAAATAACGAACTTCAAATCGACGTTGACATCGTGCATAGATTGTTCTATTGAGAATTTCTTCCATAGTAAATGTTGGCCTCTAACAGTTGAAAATAAACTATTTAATCAAGCAAAACAACATCATTTTTCTATAATTTACTTCTAGTATATCTAATATTGCAACACTATCTTCAATAGGTAATGGTGGCCAATGACTTATTTGAAATTTTCCATCATCATCACATAAAATTGTGATACCAATATCTAAAATGTTAAACTTATATGTACCTAAAACTATAATCAAATATAATTACCTCGAGTTTTTTCATTTGTTATGGCCTTTTTCTGTTGATTATTAAAACCATTTAAATTGTGTTCTTTCCAATACTCAATGCTAAGACTTTTACATGGTATATAACTCGATAAATATAAATGTTTTTGTTTCGAACTTCGATTACGTATGCGACAAGACTAGAAAAACAAAACTCAATATAGATATCTATTTTTCATATTATACGTTTTTTTTACTTGATCATGTAGAATATGTAAACGTAATGATTGACAATAATAATCTATTTAGAAGAAGAAAAGCATTCTAGTACATTTAATATAAAAATAAATAAGATCAGTGTCACTAGTTTTGCACCACTTTTCAATCCTTATATTGTGCATGTAAACTGCAAAGCATTTATTCAATACAATACTAAGCGTCTGAAGTAGCAAATTAGATAACATATTTCTGTTATAAGAACACAAATCTCAATCGATTTATTCTGATGAAATATCCAATCAATATAGAAAACATGTACTCAAAAAAAGTGTTGCGAACAAGGGAGAAACAGCGGACTTGAAGTACAAAAGTACGTCAAAGTACACTACTTGAAGTAGCTCAAAGTATCACTCAAGTAGCACAAAGTTAGAACAAGTAACTTCAGATAACTTCAAGCGAATGTGAAGTTGAAAAGTAGGTGATAGTAAATTACTTGAAGTAGTTCAAAGTAATTTCCAGTCCAAAAGTTCGCCGTTTCCCCCTTGGTTGCTAAAATTTTCAAGTTTTGATGAATATCAGACAGCATTAATTACCTACTTGGATGTCTTATTTCTCGCCATGCAAAACTGAATATGAAGATGTAAAAATGTAGCATACTATTATCATAATTTTGATATAACACATGAGCATAATGTGTATCAAGAGTATCGGTTTAAAGAAAAATCATTCTCACTCATTATACACTTATAATTATCACTGAAGTTTCTATACTCAATTATTTTGTGTACTACACTAGAAGATATATATATATATATATATATTGTATAATTCTAGTTATACAAGCCATAGGAATAAAAAGTGATGCACAAATTGTCGCACAACATACGTAAATATCGATAAAGTTCAACCAAAGCATTTTCTGATTCGCCAAACCAAACTTGAATACAATTTGTTAATGCTTGCATCTATAAAAAATTAATTTTTCAAACTTCAATACTTCTGTAATATAGTCTAACTTACTTGTAAAGGATGAACAAGTTCTTGTTCTATAAAATAAACAAAACAAAACAGAACAGTTAAATTGATTCTATTATTCCTCTAGCAAAACTTTTATTTTTTTACCTGGTTCTTCAGGATCACGTAAAAACAATTTTGTTTTATAGAGATGCCACGATGCAAATAGATTATCACTTGTTATCCCTAATTTTACTTCAAATTCTCCATCAACAGCTAATGTTACTATGCCATTTCCTAGAAGAAAAGAAAGACGAAATAAACATCCATAATAAACAATTTGTTCTTTTTAACATACTAATTGTGACATTAGTAAATTGAATGGGTAATTCTGCAATAGCTAATCGTGCCGTAAGAATTTGCTGAAGACGTGGTAGAATTTCATGTCGTTCAGTTTCGCTAGCTGGTACAAAAGTAGTTGTTCCTTCCTAAACAAAAACAGATTATTCACTATAGATAACATTCAAATCAATGAGTGTTTTCTTTGACAACAAACCGATAGTCGTTCAGGTAAAAAGTTCACTGAGCCAAGTGTTAACGCGTCCACAGCATCTGTTATAGGGAAATTAGGCAATCTGAAAATAGAAATATTCAATTTATTTATCAACCATTCATTGAATTACAATTTACCTTGCATCAAGAAGTTTCAACCGTGCTAATTGAGCCAAACAATCCGATGTTTCACGTATAAGTTGTGCACGGCGTTCCAAAAAATGTTGTATACTCTTTCATATCGAAATTCAATTTTTATATAGATAACAATTCACCGTTTAAAAAAAGAAATAATTTAACTACCTCGCATGCATTGACTTTTCCAGCTGTAGCGGCCCATTTAACAACGGCCAAAATTCGTATAAACAATTGACGAGTGCGACAAGCAAACTTTACTAGTTCTTTTTTTCTAATAATAAAAATAGCAAAAAAAGCGGATTTTTATTAGTAGATCAGTTTTCATCGCTATTTTAGATATCTACCGTTCTAGATTGGTTTTGTTTTGCAAACTAAAACGAAGAAAGATTATTCGTAAGGACACATCTATTCAATAAAACGAAAGGATACATACAGATCTGTCATCGTATATAGTTCATGATAAGTTTTTTGTACAGCTGCATCGAGTAAATGGGCTAATGGAGTTTTATCATGCATAGGTAGTATGGGAGCATTACTACCATTTGTTGATAGACCAGAAGCCATACTCATGCTGGTTGTGAAATAAATTAAATGAAAACTTTTCCTTTTTTTATCTCAAATGTCTGAGTCGAACATATTTTTATTGAACGAACAAATTAACTTTGGGTTGGTTGAAGAGAAAAAGAGAAAGAAGTCATTTTGATTTATTGTTTGAAAAGCCAATGAAAAAGAAGATAATACTTCCGTATTATATGAGGCATTGTGATTTAGTGACATCTAGCTTCGATTTCATCATATATAAATATAGATAATCAAATTTTTCTACGATGCTAATAAAGAAATCGTAGGAAATAACATGTTTTGTTCAATTCAATTTTTAGCGATTTTCATCATTAAGTAATATGTTAATATTGAAACTGTTAAAGATCGGAAAATATCTTCTAGACGTTTTTTCCCACTCAGGAAGATTTTTCTTTTTCGTGACATTGCGGTCTCGCTCGTTACATGAAATTATGCAATAACGAGCCTTGAGGTGTCTATACGATACGAAAAAAACAACAAGAAAAAAAAGAGAAAGAGCAGAACAAAGCAAAGTCTAACAGACTGTCGTCTAAATTATAGACGCTCTCTCTCTCTCTCTTTTTTCCCCGATGTTACCTATTAAAAGGTACATCATGCAAATAGCTCGCTGGCATTTTAAATTCAACGACCAACAGTTCATTCATTTTAACTATCTTCGAATATAAAGCGGTCTACGTCGTTTCATTGATGGCTCGTGCGTTCGAGATTATATTTGTTTTTGGCACACCATCAATCGATGTTCCCTTTAATGATGAAGTTAAAATTTGTAACGTAAATGAACCTACCCAAATTATACCAACATGTTCATTAATATGTATATAAATTGGTTATTAATGCGCTTTTTTTCTATGTGGCTCTGTGATATTGTTCTACATTAATTGCAAGTATTAGGAAATTTTTAAACGAAAAAAAGGTGATCAAAATGATATAAAAAATGCGTTGTTATGCATGTCCTTAAAATGCTTAATTAAGCTGAAAACAATTTAAAAAATATTAATTTAATTAAAAAACGATTGCAATACGTGATCGACAAAAAAAACGTAAAATTATTTGAAAACATTTAAAAAACAAATTAACCAACAAAACCTGATGTCAAGTCATGGTCAAAAAAAAGATTAAAATGGAAAATTAAAAAAACAAGTTAAATTAAAAACGATGATGCATCGACAAAAAAACCGAAAAAATTAAAAAAAAAACAAAAAAAATGAATCTGCTTCGTTTACATTCCTGTCACCTCTACGCGGTGAAGCAGACTAGTACTTGCTCGTTTTAATATGCGATCAAGGAAGCTAAGAACAGGAATATTTGCTTAAAGAAAAAATTCAAACTGTTTCTCATAAAAAAAACGCCTAGTAATTCATCATATTATTACAAGTCTAATTGACAACTATACAAGTATTGCTTTTCAAAAGATTGAGCAGTAAGTTTCAATGATGTTGTGTATTTATTAACAAAGAACAGATGTTAACGTTGTCGTAATGTAAAAAAATACAGAGCTAAAACTTCGAGAATTATCATACAAGAATTCTTATGAACAAAATCTTTGCTGTAGGTACTCGTTTTTCTATTACATGTCACTTTGACCATTATGAATCATTCAACAAAACTAAAATAAACAATCGACTGTGGAAAAACAAAATTGTATTTGGAAACAAAAATAATAATGAAAAAGAATTTATATTCATCAGATTAACTTGAAACATGTTGAAGAAAATTCATTGTTTTTGATTTATTTCAATATAATATCGATAAAAGGAAGTTTTCATACATCAATTTGTAATTGCACAACTATGTAGTAATATGTTTGCGTAAACATGACTCACATTTGTTTGTTTTGAATCGATATTTTGAATCTTTCTTTAAATTTATTTTATATCCAAAAGAAAACAAAATTTTCGAGTATTCTTTTTAGTAATGAATTTTTCATGCATTCAAACTGAGCACAATCTTGATCTTATCATCTAATGTCTTCGATGTTTAATGAAATAAAACAAGTTATAACTCGTCATTTTACTGTATAACGGTCATAACAGACATGTCTTTGTCAGTTTGAAAAACGAACAAAAGTGAAACACATGAGAAAGAGTGGTTTTCAAAATACTACAAATATTGAGAATTTAAAAGATTTAAACGAATTAAAAAGACGTCAAAATGTTTCACGGATTCGACTCAGTTTAGAAGTTAAAAAATTTCGCTGATATGTTAGTCAAAGTTTGCTATTTGTGAACAACTACACTCAACAGTTACTCAAGTCAACTTAGGCAAAGACTGCTGTTTTTGAAAACTAATCTTATCAATGTGATGATGACTGGAATATTTTAATACAGCTTATAAGACATTTAAAACTATGGTTCTTGTAATGTAAGCATTAATAGAAACCAAAATTGATGGATCTTTTTCCAACTTTTCTTTGAGATTTTCATTGATATAAAAGACTTATTTCTGATATTATTCTACTAAGATAAATAACACAGAGAGAACATAATTTGACAGCAGAAAAACAGCTGATGTATAACAATGAAACGTTCAATACAAACTAAACATTTAATAAACATGGACTCATCAGCTCAGATCATTCAGTTTTTCTTTTGAGTTACAATTAAACTTCAAGGTTACTTCAGAAGTTTTAAAAGAGAGTGTAGGTGTGGAATGTATGCATGTTTTTTGATAAGCACTGATACATACACACTCTGTTGTAAATCTTCTTCGACTAAATCATGCCAGCAATCTTCAACTTATAGAAGAAAAGACAAAACATGACTTACAGGATATCAAAATATTGCTTACTATTTAATCAATGAGCAAAAATTCGATATTTTATAGGATTTAAATGAAAAACACATTAAACACTTGACTGAAAAATCCTTAGCAAAATTTTCATCATCCACTACTAAATAAATTCTTGTTGCAGCTATTGTTGTTGGTGTGCTCGAAACATGTTTCGCCATGTTGTCAACAATATGGCATGGTATAGCACAAAAAGCTCGTACATAGCTTCTCGATTTATTTTTGGCAAAGATACCGAACAACTTCAATCGTTACTTGAGAAAATTCGTCAATAATTTTGAAGACTTTGTTTTTCGTCATTGATTCAGCGTGAATATTATACTTACCGCTTGATATAATTTTTCTGTAGAATGTGATAATGAACGAAGACTTTTTTGTCCGTATAGAACAACAGTAAGAAAAAAATTAACATTTTAGCAAAAAGGCGAAATATCAATAATGATCGAGATCTGAAAGATAGTCCAGTAGTTTTTAATTGATCTTAATATTCATCATTCTCGCATTCGTGAAGCGGGTGTAGATCAATGCTCATCTTCTGTTTCCAACTTTGTAAGCTAAACGAGTACATGCACTTTCGAATGATCACAAAATAACAGATTTCATCTGTCTAAATTAGCTTTGCATAAATATATTTTTTGCAAATATTTTCGAATAGTTATCCGGATGATCAATATATCACTGTTGTATAATATGTATTTATGATATGATCACTTTGTTTCGTACGATGAAAATATTGGCATGCGTATTTTGATCTTACTTGTCAAGGGGAAAACGACGGGCTTGCAGTAGAAAAGGGCGTCAAAAGTAGGTCAAAGTGCATGCTTACAGAAGCTAAAAATACTGCTAAAGTGGTCCGAAATAAGAACAAGTAGCTTTGCGACTATGATGTAACTTCAAGTAACTTCAAATAAATTTGAAGCCCAAAAATTCTTCGAATTTTACCACTGGAAGTAGCTCAAAGTTAGTTCAAGCCCAAAGTCCGCCGTTTCCCTTTGCTTCTTATGATAATTTTGAAATTGTTAAACGAGAAAACTTTTAACCAATTATAGTTTATGCATTTCACAATGCAATATCAAATAAATAACTGCTTCTTCTACAAGAAAATGTGTTGTCGATCTTAATTTTCCAATATCTTTAAAAAGGATGTGGCTGCTGGCGCAGAGAGTACACAAAACCATTATGAGCACAATGAAAAATATTTTTCTCCAATAGGCAAAGAGCAATCAGAAGAAGAAGAAAAGAAACTCACCTGCTCGATGCGGCAAATATTCATTTGCAAATACTTGCGTCATCAAATGGTGTAAGATAGCCAAAACGCAAAACATAATTATGCAACAACAATAAAAAAAAGCAATTCCCCCAGCTCGGAATCGAACCGAGACTATCCGATTTCTGCGAACAAATTATCTTTACAGTCGGAGGCCATACCATTAGACTACTGAGGGATGCTCTATCATTCTTCTTTTTCGTGTTTTCTTCTAGTTAGATTAACTTTCGTAAAAAAACAAGTAGTAAATATATTAGCTTTCAGCACACGTTATACAACAAAGTCACTTTGAAAGATTAAATAATTCGAATTAATCACGATGTAGCAATAAGTCGCAACAGATAGTAATAATGTTCAGGTTGTAGATGGGTTTTAGATTTGTTTGAGTTTTATGTATCAGTATTCTTGTTGATTTGCAGCCAAGCAACATCTTGCAACCTCTATCGACATCGATACCTAAGACACACCATGTGAAAGACACACTCAGCAAATATTCGAACTAATTTATGACATCAAATACTTTTTTGCTGTAGAACATAGGAATCTGGTGGGAAGATGTATCGAAGGGTGGAAATGATGCGAACAAATTGTTGTTAATTACAGTATTGGCATTGGCATCTGAATCTAGTTCATCAATTGCAAGTAGTCGTATCTATTCTAATGATTTAAATTGTATTTTATTCCAGAAAATAAACTTTTATTTTTATGCGGATCATTGAGAAACATTCGGTATGTTATTCGCTAGACAACTTGTGGCACGAGTTATGAACATACTAGGACACCAACACCCGTCCATATCCTTAATTGTATGAATAGTGGAGTCGATATTATGCAGATGATCTTTTAAAAGAATAAAAACATTTGGTTATGGTGTTATTTCAAAAGATTTTTGATGTACTTACATCGCGCGTATGTAGACACAATAGATTCTTTAAAAATCATATTCCAACACATTAAAAGAAGATACATGAGAGTGTAGACTTTAATTATAATAGAAGACTCTGATTGCTGAATATATTTGATATTTTCTATTCATGAAAATTTGAACATATCTCAATCATTGTGTTTGATATAACGAACATGTAGAATAACAAAAACATTGCAATGGATTTGAGATTCTGTTGAATCTATTAGTTGATACGCTATTTAGAAGAAAAATTTATTAGTTGAATATGAAGTACGTTTAGGAAGCGCCAAGCTTCTTTTTTTTAATATCTCTTATTAATACTAAACTATATAATGAATATAGATCTTTGAGAGACTTTCAATGAATAGTTATTAAATTCGAAAAATATCTAGACTAGCAATTTTAATCCAATGGAAACCAATTTCGAAGCACAATTAGCTTCGAATGATTCAATAATTACTTATCCTGCGAACTTTTTGTCAGGCGATTCAAGTACATTTATAAACTCAACGACATCATCGACTGATTTCATATCGGAAGAAGTTTATAGAAAACAAAATCATGGATAATGTACACGATCTTAAAACAGAATTACAGGCAGGTTGTCATTTGGATTGTGTTAAATGAATATGAACCTTCAAATCATAACCCTAAAATAGAAGTTAATCTTCTATTACTTGGTGCTATACGAGAATGAACCTTACTAGAGTTGGGGCTTTCTAAAGGTATTAATTTTAGTAATGATGAGCAAATCATTGCTGAGATTTTTCAAGTAAGTAGATATCAGTTAGAAAACTTCTGATTTAAAATATGATTCCATCTTAGAATGATTATTGCCTATTACAACGAATATATCAAGAACTTGTTAGTGATAAACGACAGCAACGTATTATCTATACTGAAATACTTTTCGACCGGATATATTCAATTTTAGAACTATAAATTCTAATATAAAACTCACAGATGTCATAGTAAATTGTTTTCTAAAACAAAAATAGGTACATCTTTCTCACTTGCATTGAAAGATATTTTAAGAAAATGTTGATCGATTGTATTCGTTTCATTATTACTAATAATCTTGTGAATGGTGAAATAAATCATTTAACAGAATCAAATGCAATACTTAATAAAAACAACGATGAACACTTTAACACCAACCGACATTAATCTTCTACCTATTCATATAAAAATTATTCATAGTAGGAAATCTTTTGTTTTATTTTGTATATAACCAAAGTTATGCAAAAAGATTGTAATTGGAAAAATGTAAAAAGTTTCAATAAATTTATTTGTCTTGCTCGTACTTATCCAAATAAAATCGTTAGTATTGATTTTTACGACGGCGAAGATGATTGCCGACAATATCGGCATGATTTTTGTAAATATACAAAAATCTTTCGTTATTATCATATTCAATATCAAGCAAGTATGAATAATTATATAGATCTACAATTAATAGATGATGTTGTTAACGGTTTAAAAAATTGAAAGATTGTCTGAAGCATATGAAATAATTCTATCATCAAAACATATGGAAAATATTTTAGTAAAACATGATGTTCATCTTATTTTATGTCTAACATCGGATTATTATGCTATTGCTCATTCTCAACTTGATATTATTTTGTCAACAAACAAAAAAAAACGAAAACATCAATCAACAAGTTCATTGGCAAATTCTAATAATGAAAAAGATTCTAATGATACACTATCATTTTCTTTAATAAGTTATTTACAGTCTAACGTGATTAATTATTCAATTGCATCCTCTGCTCCAATAAGATACAAACAGAATTTATCATTTATTTATCAACATCTTGATAAGAATAAAAATAATTTTACTTGTGAACATGTGAGTTTTATTCTCATTTAAGTAGTATTTTCATTTTTTTTTTTCTTAAAGATACAATGGTTAAATGAAAATGCTTTAAAATCAAGTTTTGCGTCACAACAATTAAAAACTGAATTAATTAATTACGTACGTAAAAATTATACAAATTGTTATGAGCAGACAATTCTTCTTCAACAATTTCGACAAACAACAGATAAATGGCAGCAAGAAATGAATGATACGATTGATAGAAATGCTCGAATAGCTATAGATTTAGCTATAAAAATTCATAAACAAAAGCTAATTAAACGTCAAATGTGTCAGCAAGAAATTCAAACTAAATTATTCGAAGAAGATAATGACAATAGTCAACAAGAATAGAGAAACATAAAAATAGGCAATAGAATACTGCTAGGCAAATATATTTGACTAAACTAAACAGGTAGTTGCGAGACTCCCAATAAGACTTTATCCTCCGTGTATCACGTAAGCTAAATTATAATATATCTTTGGGGAAAATGTATCTGCCTTCAGGTAATGAGAGTTCACTTTGAAACGGCTTATCCGTACTGTGAGGCTCTCTTTTGGGGATGCTTTTAATTAATCTTTATTTTATTTTTACGTTCAGCCAATGATGCGTTTTCTTTAGATTAATCGATCTTCTGTTGAGAGCTCACGTAAACAGTTATTTTACCTTGTTTAAGTAAATGAATAATCAATGATTTTTAATAAGATCAATTGGTGAAATCAGTAGATTAAAGGGAATAGTAGATTTATGTAAATAATGATAACAGTGAAGAAAAAACAATAAATCTGACAAACAAATATAAGGATATATCCTTATATATTCGAACGAGAAAAACTAAACAACGCAGTAACGAAAAAGCATAGCTAAACCAAAAAGATCACAGGATCTCAATCATGAGAAGGATTATCCATATCAAATAGAAAACAAGTAAAGAAAACGTATTTCAACGATATGAATAAGTTAGCGTTATGAAGTGACATCTAGTGACGCTAACACGTACTCGCTGGACATAATCAGGATGAACTAAGGATTGGTGACGGCAACATAACATATTAAGTGTATATTAATGTTATGATAAATAGCATTAATCATAAGGATAATGGTGTTTTATTAATAAAGATGGTAACTGTCGATGAAGATAATAAACAACAACCGAACTGGTTAGAGAGAGAGAGAGAAAGGAAAAAAAGGCGGCCAATGACCGACAGATCAAAGAGAAAACATCAAAGAGGATTAATATGATTGATATATCACAGTGACAAGTTTAGTGCCAATGAGCACCATCTTTTGATGCTAACAGCGGTTTGTTTTTCATTGTTTATAAAATACTGTATATAATCATACGAACACGTAGTTGATATGAGAATGAGAACCACCTGCATTTATAATAATAGCTGTGAATGCTCGCACACACACACACACATATATATAGTGTATTGCTATATGCGAAGCTGTTTAAATCATAATGTCGTACATCGTTTATCTTTTGACCTTCATTTATTTAATTGTCCATAGTTATAGTGAATTACCTAGTATTCGAGTTGATCCAAATACTCAAAATTTTATTGATGAATATGGCCGTGTTCGAATATTTCATGGTGTTAATGTAGTTTATAAAGTTCCACCTTTTTTACCTGATTTAACTAATTTTGATCCACAAAATTCTTTAACAGACGACGATTTAAATAATTTACATCAGTGGGGCTTTAATGTGATTCGATTTTATACAGCATGGATGGGTGTAAATCCAACATCAGATAAAGAAGTAAATCAAGATTATATTTCACAATTATCAACTGCTGTAAAAATGATGGAGGATAAAGGCATTTATGCATTGCTTGATTGTCATCAAGATGTTTTTTCAAGGTATTTCTGTGGTGAAGGCGTACCTGACTGGGTAGCACAGAAACTAGGTAATACAACACTCAATAGTTTTCCATTTCCAATTGCACCAAATATTACACGAGAACCTGATACAGGCTATCCTACACTAGATGAATGTCTTAAACGTCCGTTTTTTGAATATTATTTAACTCAAGGCGTTCTACATGGATTCAAAATGTTGTAAGTACACATTATATATCTTATTTGAATATCATCGAGCGCTTCAAAAGTTTATCAGAAAATTTATATCAATAACTCAAACAATATATGCCAGCTTTTTGTCGTTCCATTAGTTTCTTTAAAGGTTTATTTCACATAATTTTATTTGAATTCACTATCCAAAATGTTTACTTCGAAGTGAAACTTCTAACTTCAGTGTTTTTACCTATAAAGAAAATTTCTAGCTACAATATGGATGAATGATAAGAGAAAAGTTGTCTATAAATTGTTTTTCTTACTTACTTATATGCGAAGCTACTGTTCTTTGTTCAATCTGTTAGTTAATTTTTGCCATGACTTTGAAAACCATTCAAACAGAAAAATCAGACAGCTAGAATATTTCATACTTATATGCAGCCACTAATAATATTTATTACAAAGGTTTTTTCTTTGTTCGTTATTTTATGTCTTTGAAAGTATGATTTTTTAAATTTTCTTAAAAGTCTATTTAACATTAACCTCATCGGTTGTTTGTTTTCCTTAGAACTGTAGATAGGTAAAATTCTATCATTAATCAAGTAGTATCAGTTAAGATATTCGTATGCATAAGCAATTGATCTGAGTTATATTGAATAGAACTTGAAAGAACATCAAACAAATCTGTAGAACGAGAAAATTCATGGAAACCTCATGATGTTTGCAGAAAAAATATCCTTTTCTTTTCATGCTCAATGAATTTTCAAAATAGTCTCTAATACATCTCCATCATATAGATATACAAATGGCAATGGCACACTTGATTCATTTGGTTCTTTTTGGCAAACTATTGCTAATACATTTGCTAATCGTTCGTCTGTTCTTGGCTATGAACTACTTAATGAACCACCCATGTCTGAGCTCATTGAAGCAGTTGAAATTGGATATGTTGATCGAGTTTATTTAGCACCTATGTATAAAAAACTACACGAAATTATTCGTCAAGTTGATGATAAACATGTAATATTTTTTGAACCATGTGTCGCCGATCTTTTACAAACAGGACTTACAGAAGGACCAGGTGGTATTGATTATAATGATCGGCAAGCATTTAGTTATCATGTTTATTGTCTCGATGTTACAAAACAAGGTGATCCTGAATCGGATCTGATTTGTGATATCGACGATGCACTTCTTATAACTTCACGATTTGAAGAAGCTAAGAAAAAGAAATTCGGTGGAATGATGTTAACAGAATTTGGTGCTTTAAGTAATTCTACAGAAGGTATCCAAGAAATTCATCGAATAACCGGAATAGCAGATCAATTTCTTCAAAGTAAGTTTCAAAAAAAAATCAACCATTGCCAGAAAAGGAAACGCATGAAATTTTTTTCCGTTTCGTTTATTTAGGTTGGTCTTATTGGCAATTTAAAAAATATCAAGATTTAACAACAGCAGCAAGTCCAGCAACAACTGAATCGTTCTATGATGAAAATGGTGAATTAGAAATGAATAAAGTTCGAGCACTTTCACGATCTTATGCACAAGCAATTGCCGGTATTATTTATTAGTTTCATTGATTTATTTACTGTTGCTTTCATCATTCTTATTTTTCTGTCGGTTAGGTCAACCAATATTTATGTACTTTGAACCAACATCAGCTGATTTTCAATTAGATTTTAAAATTAATACAGCTATTCAGCAACCAACAATTATCTATATAAACGAAGATTTAAATTATCCAAATGGTAGTAATATTAAGGTAACTCCAGCTAATTCATTAACATGGACATCAACGAGTCGAAATTATTACGAATTTGTAACGACGTCGTCAACTAAAAATGGTACAACAATCACTATAGAAATCACAAAAAGTCTCAATTGGTTTAGCAAATTTGGACGTTGGCTTATAAAGAAGATTTCTTTCTCGAATAAATAAATGACTCGTAAACAAAAAGAAACAATACTAATTCAAATATATTTGAAATAATATGTTAGGTCTGGCATCTTTATCTATATGGTGGAGATCAACACTCTCTTGTTTTGTTTTGTTTTGTTTCCTCTCGTTCTTGCCCCTTTTGTTTATTGTTATGAAGCAGTTGTGTCTTTTACGTAAATAAAGATAGCCCAGTGAACTCAAGACATACCATAATAAATAATAGTTATATTTAGTAAAATTAATTCTGTGGTTAAATCTATTGCTACAAGAAGAGAAATAATTTTTTGTGTTGGCGCAAAAACAGAGAATGATACTTAATCAGACCTTTAAAATGCACTACGATTTTTATACTAAACAAGTTGTACCAATTTAAGAGTCTTAAACATAATTAGAACTCATCAGAAATGAATATTTCATGGCTAATCGAAAAACTAGAATTAAAAAGAGCAGTCAAGGGTACCTCACATTGTGATGATATTCTATCTGAGTTCTATCTATCTCTTGTCATATAGAGGTATAGTTTTACCTTTTAGGTTAAAAATCATTCATATTATATAGTTGACAATAGTGGATCATCGAAATTACGTTCGTGGTGAAATGTGGACAATGTTTTAATAAAACTCTTTAATGTTTGCATCAATTTTATTTTTCAAAAACTTTCAGTTCTTCAACATTTTTTGTGAAGATCTAACAATAATAAGTCAAGGTATAAATCAAGAATAAAGCAGTCAGGTGAGGAAAATTTTTCAGAAAAACGAAAGAAATCAGATATGCTTGAATATGAAACGACTAGAATTCATTGTTGTTGAGTTAATAGTAATAATAAACCAAATTATTACTTCTCATTTTGCTAATTTATAATTTATAATTTATTTGTGCCTTGAATGGTTCACAATTATTACTTCTCATTTTTGTTTGCTTTTGCATATATTCCCACAAAATTACGATACCATGTTTTGCCAATATGAACGTGAGGTGTTTTTTCAACTAATGCTTTTGTATCTTGGTCACATTTATATGTAAAACGATAATCATATAACAACGAACGTATATATTTTGGTGGTCTATTACGAAATTGTTCCGGTAATGAACCAAGTAATGATAGAACTGCTTGATTATGATCAAGAATACGTTCTAGAAATACAAGAAACCAGTTCGGTGGTGGAATACCTCGAGCTGCATCATTTGGTAAAAACCTAAATATAAAATCATATTATCATTTTCTCATTGATAATGTGAAAATATAATTGTCTTACCAAAGTCTCCAGTCCAAATTAGGCATATGACAAAATGGTACGATCGGTAAATATTTGTTAATGTTTGATGGTTTATATTTAAATTCATATTCATGCCAATTTAATTCATCGTCACTTCCTTCAATAATTATTTCCCAACGACGTTTTGTCATATGAGCAAATTTAACATATCGACCACAAAGTCGTATTGGTGATATTAAATCATGGCCATATTCACACCATTCCACTAAATGATTCCATGGAATTAAAAAATATCGTTGCACATATGTATGTTGATATATGAGTTGTGTTAATTTTAATGGAAGTGTGGAATAATTAGTGAATATGGGCCATGAAAATGGATTTTCATCACGAAATGTTGCAGATAATGGTACAAGTGATATGAAAAAATAGGGTAAACCAATAAAAATCCATGGTAATAATTTAAAAGGCCATGCTATTGAATATGATGGAATTGATGTATATTCAAGAAATGAAATAATGAATTCAAACGGAATTAATGAACGCCAAACATTATCGTTTAAAAGTAAAATCATTTCTGTAATTGTCAACGGTGCAAGATGAGCATAGTTTCCAGTAACATTAATACCCAATAAAATAAGTAGAAAGAAAACATATGAAATCCATCGTATTATTTGTGGTGTATAACAAAGTATGGCTCCTACGCCTTCACTAACATATGTAAAATATGTTTCAATTTTATGGATTGAAATTGGCATCCGATAAAATATTGGTGATAATGGATTTGGTAGCGGTCTAAACAACGAGGGAGAAAATTGATTTCTTTCACAATGAAGAAGAATCATTTCTTTTTTTTTATATCTTACTGCGTCCAGTAATGCCATACCATTGCTGTACCATCTTTCCAACTTTGATCACCACCGGTATACTAAAAAAAACTTGATAATAAAGATAAGTTTTTTCTTGAAGATCTTCATGTTTATACTTTTCCAACAGCTCCACCAAGCATAATACGAAAAAGAAGTGACCATTGTATGAAAACAAAGACCTCAGGTGTTGCAGCAACAAACGGTGAACATAATATATACAACATCGTAGTTTCTAATAAGTTTGAATGCATTTGTAAACCCATAAATGTTGTTGATACAGTTACTAGTGATGAATAGCAAAGCCAACAACCAATTAGACATATACCCGGTGGAATGACGGCAAAAAATGCCATTATTGCACACACTATTCCTATCCAATGAAGTGCCAATAAAAAATTGTCTGACTCCGAAATAATTAAACAGAGTGTTGGCCGTTGTAAAAATGTCATTTTACGTTCTTTCCAATGACGAACGAAACCACACGCAGGTAAAATACCTGTACTACCTATTTGACCACGCCATTGCGACAATGATGAGAGAAATGCGAGCAAATTAATAATAGCTAATGAACGCTCAAAAAGTGACATAGATAAACACCATGGTTCGTTAAATAGCATTTTTTTTTCTGCAAAAAAAGAGAATCCTATGAAACTGATATCGAGTTCATATATGGACTAATATTTATTCATATTTCATGAGAATGACAAAGCGAACATGATAATAGCAATGATGTACGAAATCAATTTTTTATATAAAACTAATGAAACAAAATTGTGTTTAACTTATACTCCTAACTTTCAGTAATATCAAATAACCGATAACAAAAACAAAGAATAGAATGAAATATTGTATCGTGTGATGTGTTGATGACGACACCGGCTATCGCTTTTTACTTGTTTTAGTGTTTAAAATTTGATTCAATTGAGTACGCTGGTCATCAGTTGCATCTGTTAATATTTCAGATAGAAGATCTGGATATGTTTCAAATAATCTGCAAGTAAAATAAAAAATGAGTAAATCGAATTTTGTCTTTCGAATAAAATCAAACAAACCGATGAATATCATGACGAGCACTTTGTTTTCGTAAAGTTTTCATACGATCATCTAATGATAAAGTTTGTTGACATTGTTCAAGCCATTCAGCAACAACTTTGTCTTGTGACCATTGTGCAGTCTAAAAACAAATCAGTATGAAAAACATTTCTAGCAGAAAAATCAGCAGAATTCTTCTCACATCATTTCGTTTATCTTCATTAAACCATTGTTCAACACATTTCGAAGCTGATTGATAACCCATCGAAGGATCAAGAGAGAGTATTGTTTTAACTACTTTATTTTCACCTAAACGACGTTTTAATCTCCAATAAAAAAATTGACGACTTGATCGCCAATCCAATATTTCCTTTTAAAGAAAGATAATATATAATAATCGAAACAACCATCTTGATTTTATTAACTTACACGAATAACACCTTTTTCTAACATTCGACCTGGTGTATCATGCAAATCACAAAACATCACAGCAGCTTGTTGATAAACCGGAAATAGACTTTTTTCTCGTTCAGCTAATTGTCTTTCAAGTTCTTCTTTAGCACTATTTACTGATCCTGTTATAGATAAATTTATTTCTGCAGCTAATTCTCGACTAACAGGATCAAGTCGACGGATTGTACGTATTAAATCTTTGGCACGATATTTTATTTCAACAGTCCCCTCAGGTTCAAGTACACCACCACGACTCATACGATCAGCATACATTTCCATATAACGTAAATTAATTGTTGGATCAATAACGACCCAAGCACCACCACGTAATTCACCAAATGGTGGTATATAATTAAATACTGGTTGTTCATATTCACGTAAAGCATCAACAATATAGGCACCAAATTTCATGATTTGATCATACATATCTTTCATGCCACCACTAAAACCACGCCAATTAGCAAAGATCATCAGTGGTAAATTTTCACGTTTAAAATCATTGATTGCTTGCGCCGTCTTAAATGCTGAATCAGGAAACCATACTTGACCAGCCTGTTGAATTGAACGAGCATCAGAATCGAAATTAGCTGGATCAGCCGGTTGTTCGAGTTCAACGGTGCGTGTTTCAACAGCAATAACACCCATAGCTAGAAGAAGATTTTGTTCAAAAAATTTTAAAAAATAAAACGATTTATCATAACTTACGAATTCCACCGATACGAGCACGACCACATACGACTGTTTTAGCCCAGCCTTTCATTATTTCAACAAATGAATCTCGATCGAAAAATCCTGATTGAAACGATGCTCCCGTTGATATGCCTGTATCAACATAATTTGTAGATGGTTGTGTTGATGCAAGATATCGTCCTTGAATCATATATCTTGGATCATATGGTGTTGATGTTGGCACAAAATCTATTTGACGATCAATTGGATCATATAATCCAGGTAATACTGGTGGTAAATTTAGCATGGTTTCAGGCATATAACTAAGCCATCGAAGTATAAGTAAACATCCTTCAAAATCATCTTTAACAACATCATGTGTAATACCATTATTAAACATAATTTGTATACCACCTAGTTGATTATTACTATTATAAACTTCTCGACCAAGAACTTTATTTAATGCACCAGCACCAGTTAATATTATATGAGAATTTTCCACTTGTATTACACGAGAACCAAGTCGAACAAGATAAGCACCAATACCAACAGCTCGACATGTTACTAAACTAATGGTTGGCTAAAACAAATAAATTGATTACATATAAAAGAGACCAAAAAAACTGTTTTCATATTTACAATAAGATTATAGGCAAGTGATGTTTCACCAGCAATCATGCCTGATCCACGTAAATTTTCCACACCTATACTATTTTCTTTTCCAATAATATCAATAATTTTATATCGTGTTTCGCCATCATCGTTGACAACTTCTGTTCGTACACAATTCATATTTGATACGCGTGCATAATCGTCTGGTGTTAAATATAAATAACGTATACCTTTCTCAACATCTTTTGAATCATTCCATGCTATATTATAAAGAAATTTAAGCTCTTCAGCAAGACCAATACGTGCACCACTATTTGCAGATATGTAAATACGTGGTACACGTTCTAAACGTGCTAATTCAGATGAACGTTGAAATAATAGATCTTCTTCAATACCAAATGATCCAATTTTATATGTTATATCATTGGCAATAACAATTATTGTACGGCCATCTGAACATTCAGGTGTTTTCATACGAATACGCCACGCAACAACACCACAATCGTTTTCTGCTGGCGAACGTGTACGTGTTATAAGACCACATTGTTGAAGTCTATCATTGCTTTCCTTTGTGTCGAATGTAAATGATTGTAGTGAGCTTGGCTTTGCGCTTGATGGACTTGAAGATATACTTGTTGATGAAATGGCAGTTGGTGACACTGGAGATGCTAAATTATTGATATTTGCTATAAAAGGAAAACAACAACAACAACAATATTGATTTCTATTTCAATTGGAAAAGAAAAAATCTTTGTATATTACATTGGTTTGTAATATCAAGTATAAGTTCTTGACAAATAAAATTATCTTTTGGCATTGATTGATCTTTAGATTTATTTAAATCAGAATATTGTTTCCATAAAACAATCAAAGCTCGTCGAAACATTTCAGGTAAATCATAAACATATGTTGTGCTATTGGATTGAGCAGTAAAACGTTTATATTGTAGTTGATCTTTTGTTAAATAAGGTTCATGTAATGCTCGACCATCTAATGGGCCTGGTTTACCAATATTATATGTTTGAAAAACAGTTTGTCCTGTTGCTTGATTGGTAACTTCACGATATAGTGATATATCAAGATGGTAACCACTTTCATAGGTCATGAATGCTCGAAAAGGCAATGCTTCAGAATAAGGTGTTAATCGAATTGTCATTTTTAATTCAGCTTGAAGAATACGAAGTTTCCATAAACGCATACCTTCAAATTAGAGTAGGAGAAAACAAATAAAAATTTGTTTTTCTATAATATGTTTGAAAAACGAGCTTTTCTCAGCTCGATTACTTACCGTAACGAAGTACCATTTCGCGAATACTTTCTTCAACTTTACTTGGCTCAATACAAACAGTTGGCACAAAACACATAAATACATGATTACAATCAGTCTTTTTAGCTAATGGATGTGAGAATGCTATTTCCAATTCGTCCAATGCCTCAAGTAATGTACGTTCAGCTTCATTTTGTAAATATTCGTAACTTGTTTCTTTTGTTACTAAATCTGAATGACGAATAATTGAACGAGCAAATAGCCGATAATCTGCTGTATCATACTGTTTATTGTGAACTTTTCCTTTGCCTAAATAAATGTGTACTTTGTGATTTGATGTTGGAACAAATTCTAAATCAAATGAACGTAAACGATAAAGTTCAAGTTGATAAGCAAGTGCAGGTTCAAGATTTCGAAAGATTTTGTCTTCTTCAAACTATATCAAAGAGAAAAGAACATTAGAGAAAAAGAATAATTGTGCTGTTTTTACATCTAATCGTTTTCTATAAGTGAAATAAGCTGGAAATTGACGCTAAAAATATAATATTCATAAATTATTCATTTTCATATTTTTCATTTTTATATTTTTTTACTTTTGAAGCAAGCGAAAATGTAACTCGACGAATATTTTTTTCCGTACAAGGTTGGTACTAAAATGTTAAAAATGATTGAATAATATATCATGATCTTTTGCTTTTCAATAATCACACTTACTTTTGATTGAAGAAATTCACGAAATACATTTTCAAGTTTGAAATTTTGTTGAAGACTAGAATCATCTTTAATAAATACATAGATCAGGTTAGTTGCTTGATCAATCTAAGAATAGTAAACAAATATAATGAACATCGAATAATAATTATTCGTTGTTGCTTTTTACTTTTACTGTAGGTTTTTGACTAGCTACGCTATCATATGAAGATTGTCGACTATGTGTTTTTAATGATTGCCGACTAGCAGTTAACGAACGATTATTATTATTAGATGATGTTGATGAAAACGGTATTAATAATTCATCAAAGAAACTAAATATAAAATATTTGCAAATCCTGATTATCTTCTATTGATTTTCGTTTTAAATAAACTAACCTGCTTGCTTGTTCTAAATTCTCGAACGCAGCTATTATACCAGTACGTCGAAATAATTGTGGATCTTCATCATCTATTACCATGATATCATCAGTGCAACTACCAGTCCGAGGCGTATTTTCTTGTACATAAAGTCTAAAAACAATTTATACGTATATAACTTATTTTTATTTATTTATTCATAGTAGCTAATAAGATAATTTTCATATAATAAGATACAAATAGTTTCTACATGTACAAAAAAATTTCATATTCTATATCGTTGGTATATATTTGACTTATGACATTATAGACTAAAATTAAGTTAATCGAATCTCGATTGTTTAAGAATAGAAAAAGTTAATATATGTGATAGTACTGTTCGATATTAGTTCCATAAGTAAAGAAATAGAAAGCGCTTATAGCTCGACAAATCTATCATTATTTTAAATATTTGTAGATTTTGAATGTTTAGTTGAAAATCAATCAAATTTAGAGCATACATAATTATATCAAATGATTACATAACGATATAGATTTATCGAGGTGCTAGCTACTTCTTTTCTTCAAGCATATGAATAATTGTGGTAAGAGTTACTATTGATAATAATTTCATTTCAACTCAATGGAAGAAATTTCTATCTATTCTCATCGACCTAAAAATAATTGATATCTATCTCTATTATCGACAGAAAACTATCATGACTGTTTGAAATGGGCAGAGGATATTGAATTTTTCTTTTCATTGCTCTTACCGATTTGGATGATTCAATGGTAGATATAAAGAAAATTGAACTGTACATGTACCATTTGAGAGAAATCCATGTTGAATACTGATCAGATCATAGGATATATATGAACGGCGAACATAAACCTAGAGCATTTAATAGCAATTAGAAGAATAAATATCTATCAAAGTAACTTACTTCGAGTGCTGATTGACGCACTTGTACATTTGGATGAAAATAAAAGCTGTGTAAAACATCAAAAATACTTGTCTCCGATAGAATTAATTTCTAAGTAAAAACGAAAAGTTCCACAATTGAGAAACAAATATTTTTCTTAAATACTTGTAAATTGTCTTGACAAAATTTATGGCCATACATATCAAGAGCACTTAAAAATATGGATTCCATTTGATTGAGTCTTACTTCATAGGGTGGTTGTTGAAATTCAATTAATACTTGTCTTGCTTTCAATGCTACCTTTGCATTACTTGCATGTGTCAATAAAGTTAATTCACTTAGCAATGCTGTTGATTCGTCAGTTAATCTTGGATCACGTTCAAATAATAAATCAATTAACATAATAACAAGTGAATTTTTTGCACTATAATTTGCATGTGAAAAAACAATTTCTACAACTTTATGCATCTCAATTTTATGTTTATCACGTAGTTGTGTTAGACATTTGTCATACTGTCCAAACTGAAATAATGCTTCAATGGTTAAATAATTTCTTATTAAATCTGTTATAACAGTTTTCATGTGTCCTTTAATACCGTTACGATAACGTTTTACTAGTTGTACAAGACTCTGTACAGTTGCGAAAAATACATCTCTGTCACTACGATGTTCTAATTTCGTTGCGTAATTATCAATGAATGCCGCAATCAATTGCGAAGGAAATTGTACTAAGACAGATGTCAAGTTACTCTTATAGTTTTTCAATAATTTTTGAATTTCTTTTTTAACTTCTTGTGGCATACGTTCAGATATATTTGATATGATCTCTTCAGCTTCAAGTAATGGTAATGATGGATCACGTAAAATTGTAAATAAGTTTTCAACAGTTAATTTAACTCTTTCACGAAAATATGGTTCTGGGTATGTATAACCTTGAAGAATATTTTCTAATACTTGTTTTGTTGTTTGAAATATTTGATTTAATTTTGTAATTGTTGAATGATTTTTAATTTCAAAAGAAAATTTACCATCGTATAATTTCGATTGTGGAATTTGCAGAGAGTCCTCAAAAATTACATGTGCAAGAACACAAGATGCATCGAGAATTGCACCCGGACGTTTATTCCATTGAAGACTAAAAAAGATGAAAAAGGCAAATAGAAAAAAAAAATATTACAAGAAATTCAGAAAGCAACAGCGAATAAATCAAGCTTTGAATAAAATAAAAGTTTCAATTAGAAGTCTGCAATGTCAGTTCTAAATCGGACGTGCTCATTCATATTGAAATTTACGTCTAGTGAAAAACTTAATAGTATCTGATTATTGAACTACTTCGGACAATCCAAAAGTAATGAGGGAGATACCTTATTTCATCAAGCAGTGGTCTAAAAATGTTTCTTTTATTTCTACCAATAGATAGAGCGTGTTTCAATCTACTTTTCTATGCTATTTGATCACTATTCAACTAATATCATAATAGTAAAATTTCGATAAGATCTGTTTCTTTCGCATATGTGCTGGTAGCATGAACATGAATGCTCATGAGTATTTTTTGAATAACGTTTAATAGCAACAAGTTACTGAACTACGGTTTTCACCATTGGAAAAAGAAGATGAAGACGCATCGTACCATATATCACTGATTTTTTTAACCTGTTTTTTGTAAGGTTTTTAGTTGATCTTTTAAAGAACTAACGTATCTCGTGAGTTGTTTGCAGTGAATTTTTAATAATCAGGTTCATATTGAAACCACTAATCGAAGATCTACAAACTGCGAAAGACTCGGATGTTAAATTTAATTATTTGAGAATAATACGTATTCTAGATGAACCTCTACTACGATTTTCTAACAACTTTTTTGTTTTTGCTTTTTTTCATAAAAAAAGCCTTTTTCCGAAGATTAGAAAATTGAATAAAAATCTTACAAAAAAACAGGTTAGAAAAATCAGTGATATATGGTACGATGTGTCTTCATCTTCTTTTTTCAATGGTGAAAACCGTAGTTCTGTAACTTGTTGCTATTAAACGTTATTCAAAAAATACTCATGATCACTCATATTCATGCTACCAGCACATATGCGAAAGAAACAGATCTTATCGAAATTTTACTATTATGATATTAGTTGAATAGTGATCAAATAGCATAGAAAAGTAGATTGAAACACGCTCTATGTATCGGTAGAAAAAAAGAAACGTTTTTCGACCACTGCTTGAGGAGATAAGGTATCTCCCTCATTACTTTTGGATTGTCCGAAGTATTACATTACACGCATAACTATTAATCATTCTCTTGAATAACTCAAAAACAAAGAATTAATACTAGAGACATTTTAAGTACAAAAAAGAATAATGATCCTTACTGTCCTTTCGATGGACATCGAAGTTCAGTAACCATTTTCATAACTTCAATCTCTGCATATGTTTGACCTGCTTCAATGGGACCACCATCTTCTACTGTGTAATGAAGCAGTTTGCCCGCTGAAGGTGATCTAAAAAACAAATCAATATTCAAAAGAAAGAGAAAAATCAATTTTATTTGCCTTAGTACTGAGGGATCGTTTTCTTTTTGAAAAACACATGATTTATTGTTAACAATAATCCTGTAGGAATCAACATCTTCTTTCATAAATGTTAAATAACTTGATCCATCCAAATTAATTAATATACCACCGTCATTCATTCTAAATAAAATTTAAAAATAAAATATTTAAACAAAAATCATCATTTTCCTCCGTTCTATCTATACCGATTAGCTTCAACTTCAACATATGATTCGTTCATAACAACAAAAAAACAACTTGGGCCACATTTCGTAACCTATAACACAATATATGTATATATATATATATATAATATGGATAGCTAAATTTTCAATGTTTTATTTGCTTTTGTCTCTTTAATTACCTGTAGCTTATATTTAATACTGTCGCATAAAAGTTCAACATGAGTCGAAACGGAAAGTGAATGCATGGGTAATATTTGACCGCTAGAAAATAAAATTTCATTGAGATTTGACAAAAAAACAAGCATTGTTTTTTTACCGCTCAAGTGATGATTGAAAATTTTGAAAATTAGTTCGAAATCTTTCATCTGCAGCATGTATAGCACCACATACAAGTGATATCATAGTATTGGGTTTTTCTGTTTTAAAACGTTCCGCAATTAGAGTATCAAGCCAACTTGTTTTAACTGTATTGTTTATAAAAACTTCAGTTTCCAATAAACGTATTAGAATTTCAACTATGAAAACATATACATACATAGTAAGAAGCTTACAGTGAAAAAAGAAGGAAAAAAAAGAGTTTTCTTACCAGTCGAATGAAAATCTCCACGAATTGATAATTCTTTCAATGCAACGACGAGATTTCTAAGAACAAAGTAGAATGATAGAAAGTTATATTGAAATCATTGATTCAACTTACTCTCGTGCATCGTCACGAGTATCACCATATGAAAAAATATGTCCAAACTGAGAATCAGCAAATTCATGTAAACCACCGGACGATGATATACTAAAGTATCCCCAAACGTTTTGTCTACTACGAAAATTTAATTCTTCAACAGTGCCTGAACTTGGTTTGAAACCCTAGTTAACCAATTAATTAATACAAATAAGAAGTGATATTCACCGTTGTTTTTTTCTTTTTATTAATAACTTACTTCATCTGGATTTTCACTAGTAATACGTGCAGCTATAGCATGACCATTTGGTACAGGTTTATGTTTAGGATTGTCAAAATCAATTGGGGACACACCAAGTGGCTCTTCGCCATATAACAAACGTATACTTTTTATGCGATGTAAAGATATACCCATTGCAATCTAACAAAATGAAGTATCATCTTTATTTTTGCTTTTGAACATTTAAATTTAATTTTTAAACTTTTTATATTCTTAATTAAAACTCTAACTTAGCAATATTGTCCCATCAGGATGATAACAAGTTGAATAAATCTAGCGTGACATCATGTTTTTATTTTTCTGAAAAAGTTTTTTTTTTTGTTTTTGTCGAAACAAAGATATTTTTCTGGTTCAAAGTCTAAATGCGTCATCAAGCATTCATCACATTGGTGGGTTAACATATAAAGTCATTGCTCATAATATTTTGAGTATCTCACAATACCTTTGCTAGGTATGCCGTCGATTACAGACATGTTTTTGCTTGAATACTTCACAGTTACTCGAAACAACAGGAAACTCATAAGATGTCATAGAAGAGGTCATTAGTAAAAGAACTAATGCACAATAGTAACGCCATTTAGAAAGCTAGTATCGAGTTCTTTCTGCACTTCGGCATGATCCGTATAAATACTTTCATCATTCTCTTACCGATTGGGCAATTTTGTTTATAGAATGTGAAAATTTGTCTATTAATCATAGCCGCGGGGGGGGGGGAGAAATAACGAGAAAGAAAAAACGCTTTGTCAGCAGTAGAAACTTTCCAATTGTGGTAACTGCACATGCATGTATAAAAATATGAGCTTCGCTGCACAATACATAAAATAAGAGAGAAAATACTGTATATTAAACTAACTGGTTCAGAATTCAGAACAATTATCTGGAAGCATTTTAGAAGAATGAATTCGACGACGCAAAACAGTACCAATGATGCATATGAACGTTATAGTAAAATGCTTCTACCATATCCAATGATAGCAGAGGATGGCAAGCAATCAAATGTGATCTTAATAAATGACACGAATCCATCATCTCCTAAACCATCTTCGTTATCATGTCGGTCAAATTGCATGGCAATTGTAGCTTCTATTGCTGGTGTACTTTTTTTCATATATTTATGCGTTCTCATTTACTTATCAGTCAAAAACTCAATTTAAAACTCGTACATAGTTAGATATAGTATCGTCTCGGTTTCTTTTGTAACATCTCAGTACACATATAGTATAGGGTTTAATCAAGTAGACTTTTGTCAATTATTAAATAAAATGAATTCAATGATGTACTGAAAAATAAAATATTGCATAAGTTCTGAAGAACAAAGGAACAAATGGTTTAATGATCTCTGAAATGTATTCAGGAAGAAGCAAAGTACAAAGCTTCAACGATGAGTCAGTAACTTGTACCTTTTAACTGATTAATAATGTACAGCATGATTCATCTATTTTTATTAGTTTTATTTTACAACCTGTATTTTCTGACAAAGTCAGAACTTTTTAATTTTTATATTATTTGACAAAGTATTGTTGACTCTATCTAAGTATACATATGAATGCAATTAATTGTTTCCCTAATCGACTCTCCCCCAACGATTCCCCGGGGAGTCCCTGTCGTGAGTCCCCGGGGATTTCTCTGGGGAGAATTGATGCAATTTTTTAAAATAAAAAAAAAACTTTTTAATTTTTTTAATTTTTAAAAAATTAAGAAGAATTTATTAGTAATTAGATATTTCATCGATTTTGACCAGATAATTCCCCGGGGAGTCCCCGCAAAAGAACGAAATCCCTAGGGACTCCCTGGGGATTCTTCTAGGGAGAGTTGACTAGGGTTTTATCTTGATCAGAAAATCAAAACATTTCTAAGGCTGATTAAATCTAAATTTTGCGCACGTATATTTCACTCAAATCAAGCCCGATTGGCCCAAAAATAACTTTAAATAACAGAGATCAGTGAAACTTGAGATTATACAAAATATCGAATGAAACTGTTTTGAATTCGAGAGGAAAATCAAATTCTATTGGTGAAATTTTAGACCCTTTTGAGCTGCTAGATTTTTGATAGTATTCTCATGATGCCAAATTTATCCATAAAACTTTGCAGCTAGATGAAACTGAAGTTACATGAATCAATGCAGATTTTGTTGCTCTATTCAACTGTATATTAACGAGAGAAATTGAAATGATCCGGGGAATATCATTTATTCGGCAAGAACAAATAATTGAACTTTCACTACAAAAATTCTCAAAAATTCTTCAAATTTTTAGTCAATTGAAAAGTTAATTGGATAAAAAATAGATAATCTGATAGAACAATTAATTCCAAGGGGGAAAAGGCGGATTTAGGATTTTTAGGGACTTTCAAAATCCAAACCGTCAATGATGGAATTTCCATCTGAGTTTTTTCCATATGTAGGTCTCATCATCCTTAGAATATTCTAAAATTTTCAGCGCAAACGGATATTTCCTTCTCAAGATAATGAATGCGCAAGAAATACTCATTTCACGACACGGCCAGAAAATCCAGTTTTTTTGAAAATTCAATATTTTAAGAAGGAAATGTTTGTTCGAGTTGAAACTTTTAGCATCTTCTATGGACTATGAAATCTATATATGGGAAGAATTTCAGGTCGAAACTAGGTCATTAACAGGAAGAAATGCTTTTCAATTTTGGGATTTTCCGGATTTAAAATTCGAAAAAAATCTGCCGTTTTCCTCTTGATTAATTCTCTATCGATCCATGTAAAGGCTACAATTTTCCTCTGTTCAAAATGTAATAATTACGCGTATTCTTAGGAAAACAAAATTTATAAAAATTTCTGTGTAAAACAAAAATATTTTTTGTGTGCTTCTTGACAGTGACTAATTTTCCTACTAAATCATATGATAAATGAAATGAAAACTATACAGTAAGATAGAGTAAACGATGCTCTACCAACTTATATAAAAACCAAAAGCTTCTAACATTTTGTTCAAATACAGCAAACTGGAAAGAAATAGTAAAAATAAGTGAATCATGCTGTATGAACAGTATAATGGAGCAAATATTGACCATTTGTCCATGCACTGCAAGAAGCTTTTTTTCACGTTAAAATTATGAAACACTCTAAATTGAATTAACTTTGACTTATAACCAGTACAATTAGTGCTCTACACTCATAATACGACGTGTATCATATATGTCGATCATGTGAAACTACCGCGCAGTTCTATTTAGATTAATTGGAAGTAGTATACATCAATAAACGTATTACATTTGATCAGATTGTAATTCGACATGCAATTATCGCTAATTGTTTTCTAATTTACACAATATTTATTGGACAAAAATAAATGTCGACGAATAAATGATCTAAGGCAGTTGTGTCTTTTTGCACTGACATCTTGCTCATATGCATGCCATTTTGGAAGTGGTTTTCTCATCTAATACAATCACTCCTTTTACAGTTGAATATTGCCAGCATGAATTCATACGAAAACGATGCAGATAAACAGTTCATGTTCTAATCGAAAGGATGCTGAAAAAAAATCGCCTAGGTGAAAGGTCTAGTATAATCTGTTTAGCATTAAGTTTAAAATCACGAAAACCTATAGTCTCTTTCCTTCACATTCAGGGGAGAAAAAATTCAAATAATTGAACACTCCATACACGCATCAGAAAATGTTCGTTTATATATCTTTTCAAACCAATTAACATGCTAAAGCTAATTTTTATTGAGATATGTCGTTTTTAGATCTTTCAGGTCTTTGTAAAGACTACTCAATTGATCATATGAAATAATGCTTAAAAATAGTTTCCATTCATTATATTTACTCTCATATATTGTAGAATTCATCGTAAAAAAGTTCAAATAAAACTCATACTTGTAATTGACATGCAGGTAAATTAACATCAGTAATCATTTCCGTGCAAGGATGCTCAACTTGTAATCGAGGATTAAGTTCAAGAAAGAAGAATGTTTGATCAGCTGGATTATACAAATATTCAACTGTGCCAGCACTAAATATTATATTTTTGAAATGCAGTCAATTATTGAAAAACAAAATGCTAACCTAATATAGCCAACCATTTTTGCTAAGCGTACAGCTGCTTTTTCCATTTGTTCAAGAATTTCACGTGGTGCTATAACAGCCGGTGCTTCTTCAATAATTTTTTGATGTCGTCGTTGAATAGAACAATCACGACCAAATAATGATATAGCTTGGCCACTTTCATCGGCAATAATTTGTACTTCCAAATGTCGGCAACTATCTGCATATTTCATTAAAAATATAGGTGAACCTGGTACTTCTGTTTGAACCTAATTGATTAAAACTATTCTTTTCAAAAAAAAAATCAAATCGTATATTTTACTTGTCGAAAAAGATTTTCGAATTCTTCTGACTTCGTGCATTTTCGTATACCTTTACCACCACCACCTTCTGAAGCTTTAATCATTACTGGAAAGCCTATTTTAATTGCACTCTAATATGAAAACAATATAATATCAATATTTTTAATTTTTCCAAAATAAAAATGTATCATTGATAGAATCCTTACTTCTAGACCTTTCTGATAATCCGCAAAGCATGCTTGTTCATATAGTTCCATTGGAACATTAACATTTTGACTTTCGCCGACATTGGTTTTAAGTTTTATATCTAATATAAATAATCAAGTTAATTTTTGTCAAGCAAAACCATTAAAAAACAAAATTTTCGTAATCTTATTCTTCGTGTAAATAAACGATAATTCTACATTTATTTAGCTTTTGAGTCAATCATACTTACGAGATCCACTCCATGTTAATGTTGGTACGTCGGCACTTTGAGCAATAATAGTTGATGCTATTTTATCTCCTATACAATTAAATTAAACATAGAACGAAAACAAATATTCAAAGAAAAATGTTACCTAACGCCCACATGGCCTGTTCTGGTGGACCTATTTTTTAATAAGAAAAGAAGTCAGATGCGTTCGAACATTAAAAAAACAGACTAATTAATTACCAATAAAAGCGATACCATTGTGGCGAAGCAATTCTGGTAGCTTAGGATTCTCTGATGCATGGCCCCATCCAGCCCAAACAGCTAAAATAGAATCTCTTTCTAATTTATTCTATAAGGAAAATTCAATCTAATGAAACCTTCTACAGGAAATCTTTTTGCGATATCAACTATAAGTTCACAATTCGAATAATTCATATGTGATGGACCACCTTGTACATTGACGTAATGATCTGCATATCGAATATATTCTATATAAGAAAAAAACAACAGTAATTTCGAACATATGTATAACAAAACTATATGAAAAAGCAAACCGGCATTCGCTTTCATATCTTCTGGTGTAACCATAGCAACAAACTTGATAGCATTTTCTTGGCGAAACATTTCGTACGACCAACGTCGAATTGATCGCATACATTTAACAGCTGCAATACCATTATTAGCTATAAGAATCTAGTGATAAAGAAATTTTGTTTTCATAAAGATTAAATTCATTAAAAAACTAATCGATTACCTTGTTAATTATACGATGTCCACCTAAAATCTCGCTAAGTGCTTTAGGTGTTGCTGCGAAAGGTTGTTGTCGAAAAGACGATGTAGATCCAAAAGACACGCCAGACATTTGTCTAAACGAAAACAAATGACAACATAGATATCAATGTTGATATTAGCTGCTGTCATTAATTGTTTCTTTTTTTGCCATTAGAATACGTGTGTTGTTTTACTCGTTCTGATTTTTCTTGATGGCGAATGCCTGTTTTAAAAACATACTCTGCGCTCACCGTGCATAGCGTCGTAATGCTGATTTGTTTCCACTATGAGTGTCATTATTAAGTGGCATTTTTGTATTTACTACTGAGCCATGAGTATTAGTAATATTTGTCGTTGAATCCATCGATGAAGTTGATGAAGGTTTTGAAAGTGCTGAAAATTCAAATTGGTCATCAGCTTCATTATCTACTGATTGATCATAATCATCGTTGAGCTGAGGTGCACCAAGATCAAATTTAACGTTGGATGATTGCTGATCGTTTTTCTCATCCAACTTCGAATCTAGACCTTTTTCGTCACGATGAGTACTCATAGAAGGAAGGCAGCGAGATTAAAGAAGCAACCTAATAATCACAATCTAGAATATAAGCAGAATTGCGAAGGTATGGTACGATAGAGGAAAAAGCAGCTGTATTTACATTTTAATCGAGATATCTTGAAATATGTTACTGAAATCGAGCATACTGAATGTTTATTTACTTTTTTTTTGTATTTCTTCGTATATCTTCTTGTTTCCTTATCGTCTTCTATCAGAAGTCATTTATGTGATATGTTGACGAGAGAACTTTATCACATAATAAAAATCATCTACATTCAACATGCATTCATTAATACAAGTAAAGAGGTCAAACGAGTTTATTAAGTGAGAGAAAACTTCTTCTTTTTCATATAGCAGGCGACGAGAAAAATTATATTGATAATATAACCTTTCTATTACTAATTTCATACTGTGATAAGCGCTGCTAGCTAAAAGATGTCTAGTATTATTTAACAAAAAGAAAAAGATTGTACTTTTAGGCAGAAAGAGAACAAACATTACTAAACAAATGGAATAAAACGCAAATATCAATGTTGACTCTGATTAACAAGGTATATTTATCAAGAAGAAACTCCATACAAGTACACCTATTCTCGGTGAAATCACATGTTTTGATTTTAAAAAAATTAGGAAAAAGCTAACGATAAATAGACTGAAACGCTTATTTCTAAGGTAATAGGTACAGTACTACAGAGATAAGAAAACATATTAGGAATTTAAAAATTTCATGAGAAAAACTAAATGTTTTAAAAGTTTGTATATAGTAAAAATGATATCCTATTAAAACTAACTATAGTTTTATAAAAATTCTTTTACACAAGACCAAACAAACAATGACACAGCTATAAAAACTAAAAATTTTCTAAATTTCAATAGAAATTTCTTCAACTAAATTTCAAACGAAGAGAAACCAAATTATATAACGATTTTATGCAAAATAAAGAAAAAAAATGTAAAAAAGCAAAATGCTTCTATTTAATTTTTAATTTCTAAAAATCTATTAAGACCACAGTATATGTTCGTCTTTGAAATCACCAGTCATCAATAGATGAACTCAACGGTTATTATGATTAAAATTATCATCACAGTTATCTGATTTTTCACTATCATCATTATTATTATCACTTTCTTCTAAAATGTTTGATGATTGTTGTAAAGATGTTTGTATAACTGTCCAATCTTCAATAATATTGATGTCAGACAATTGATAAAAAATTGCTAAATTATCTCTCTCAATTGTTTTCTTTGCTCCATTAAAGCGTCTTTTTTTTATTGTTTTTTTAATTGGTTCTGAATAGTCAAAACGTTTTTTACTCGTTGATATTGCTTGTAATTGTTGTGCGTCTTGTTCGGATGGTAATACTTCTTGTAAAATATTTTGACATAATTGTGTTTTAATTTTTAAGGTTTCAAGTTGATGAATTTTATTTTCAATATCTTCACGCATACTAATATATAAATGAAACTTATCATTTTCTAATGTTTGATCTAAACTTAGTAGTTCTGATTCTGTCGATTTTTCTAAAGCTTGTAGTTCAATAAGACGTCTATGCTTAGCTATTTCTAAATCTATTTTCATTTCATCATAAAGTTTTTTTAATTCATTTTGATATTCAGGTGCTTCTTCATTCTGTATAGATATTAATTTTCTGTCAATTAATAAAACACTGTCTTCATACAAAATATTTTTCAATTCTTCAAATTGTCTTTCAATATTCATAATTTCATACATAATTTCATATCGGCGTGAATCAAAATAATCAATAGATGTTGTTGAACAATCATTACTACCAAATGTTTGAATAATATGTTGAACTTCATCAATGGATACAAAACTATCATCATCAATGTCATCATCATCTATATCATCACCGGTAAAATCATCCAAATCTATATTTGAATAGCTTGTTTGTCGTGATGAAGGTAATCCTTCGATGATTGTATGAGATGCGATGATTTGATCATTGTTTTCGTCCATTATTGTTTAGTGTTGGTGATTAGCTTTGTTGACAACATGAGTATAAGTTGTCCAAGTGAAATACTGCTTCTCTCATTGATTCTAGCGCACAGCCAATAAATGATAAGAAATAAAGTGACCTCTTCTGTTTGATAAAAATTCGAATTACGTGTATTTTAATCAGTATACATAATCTAGTCAACACCATAGAGGCATTTCATCCAACAAAAAAAATTCACAATTGTGCAGACAGAAAAGCTAGCGTATAATGCAACATGTATACGAGCAAAAAGGTTTCCGGTGCCGGGGATCGAACCCGGGCCTAGACGGTGAGAGCGTCCAATCCTAACCACTAGACCACACCGGATTGTACGTCTTTGTTCGTAAACGTATCTTATACTTATTTTTTCTCATACTTTTATATCGAAGTATCACTCAAAAAGCAATTTTCGATTCGTTTATCAATAATTGATGCGTATATACAAACTTGTCATTCTTTGCATGAAGTTACAGCGATGACAGTAATAATGTGAGCGCCCAGATCGTTCATTCCTACAACTGGACCCAATCGGACCTAAAAACGGGTTACCTCGGGTCTTGTATGAAAACCCACTAGAATTGACGGATTCCGGGTTTCGAACCGAGATTCGGATCCATAGGATCGGAATCCGATACATATCTGATTGCATTCTACTCTGGGATCCAATACGCCAAAAAGTCTGCTATAGTCAATCTCAAAAAAGCTTTTTTGAACTAAATAGAATTTTGATAGTTTTTTTAAATTATCCCGTCGAATCCATCAATACCCATGTCAGAAAATACGGTCAGTATACGGCTGTTTACGGTGAAAAAACGATATATAAACGGACCGTATACGGCGAAAATATCGTATCGTTTACAGTGCCGTATTACTGCATCCAGTACTACGGGAAAATACAGACAGTTTACTACCGTAAAGATATCGTTTTCCTACAGTTTACTTTTAGAAAACGGGCCGTAAACGATATCCGCTTTGATCGACCTGGGTAATTCCGAAAGCCAGAATCCAATTGAATTTCCTCGGCTAGTAGGATGTTATAGGATTCGACAGAATTAGTTGTCGGATTAGTCGACCTGGGCGATTCAATAATCATATGATCGCTGAATTTTATATCATTTGACAATAACGCTCCGGTGATAGATCTTCATACTTATCTGCAAGCAAAAACTGTAATCAAAGATCAAAAAATTAGCATTGTCGTCATATTACTTGAAAATCATTCATCAAAATTTCGATTATCTCCAAGGTGTTTCGAAAGACAATTGCATAAACTATTGATATTAGTAATCTGGAGATACTTCTTTGATTTAAACGTTTTAGTTACGAAAATGTTCTAGAAGTTTCACTGTAATAAATATTTACTCGTCGAGATAATTAATTTCTTGAACGACTCCGCTTCTTATTATAAATAAACTAGAGTACTTTTGATCTTTTATTAGTTTAGCAATGGTACATACTCAGTACATATTTTCTTTTTGATAGCGTGTATCATGTTTCTACTACTTGAAAAGAAAAGTTGCATTTCAAGTATTGGAGTTTCGTATGTACCCAGGTCGATCAAAACGGACCACCGTAAACCGGCGTAACATTACCGTAAACGATCGTTTTTGCATCGTATTCCGTCGTAAAACGGCAGTTTTAAGCCGAATTAAGGTGTTTTAACAGGGGCAGTATTACGGCCAAAACACGGACACCGTCTATCAGCCGTAAAACCTCGTAAAGTCGGCGTAATATTATCGTATTCTATAGAACATACGGCGTATTACTGCCCCTGTTATACGGGGAAAATACGGCACGTAAAACAGGTCGTATTTGTATCGTATACGACCTTTTACTGATCGTTTTCTTCGACCGGGGTATTGTCACTATCAGCATCACTTTTGTTTTGATTTGACGTTAAATTAAAAACTTGAACTTTTTAATGACAGTAATACTTCGAAGATTAATAGCATGCTACATCTCAAGACTAAAATCTGAATATGTTGTCAGAATAGTTAACATAATGAGCCATCTGACTTTTCTAAGTTAATCAGCAGATATTTAATTTGTGAATCCATTTTTGTTTTGGTGAATGATAGTCTCCAAAAATTTGCAGCATTCTTAAACACATCAAATTTCTTCGATTCAATAAGTAATTCAAATTATTTTTCTTGTCGCTTTTTATTAACATTTTAAGTTTTCTAACGTTATTCAAATCGTGATTTCTACGAGCAAAGATGTTGTACAATTTTTTAATAGATTAATACAGTTAGTATATTATTAGATCTTCTAAAAAGCCTATTTTTTTATAAGTATATTTTTTTTGATAGGTTTGTTCTGAATTAGACTCAGGTCATTCAAAAAATAATCGAATACAAGTGCTTGCGTCAACAGGACACCATTGAGATCTTTTCTATTACATTTAGAATACAAAAAAATACAAGAAAGTAGTCAACTTGAATATTATATTTAAAGAAATCAGATACTAAAAATTAGAAACTATAATTGTTAATAACTGTTACCAGAGTTTTGTGTTTCTATTCATGAAACACTGCAGAGAAATTTTAACCTAGTCGATAGTACAGCAGCTATATATATATATATATTAGGTAGATGATAATTTTGAAGATGAATTTACTGATAAATAAGAAAACATTTTCATTATTAGGGTTCTGGTGGATTAGCTGATATTCTTGCTTGGGTTTGTGATAAGATTCGAAGTGATGGAACATGTGTACAATGTTTCGAACAAAAGGAAATTAACAAAAGTGTATAGTCAGGAAAAAAGAATTGATATATATGTTCTATAAAAAAATAAATAAATTCAAGAACATTAACGAAACCATTCATGCGAGAATTGAAAGTACTTGTTAATCAAATGCCTGGTAATGATTTATCTAATGACTTAATAACATTAATAACATATTTGGCAATAGATCGATGTAAAAAAGTACGTGTGTGAGATGAAGATGATAATCTTTCTTTATATTTGCTTGCAGCATGGGTAGCAGATATTATTTTTCCTTAATTGTTAAATTTCATATAATTATTTCATTGGTAGAAAATCAAAGTCAACGCTTATCATCATTGAAATTGCAATTATCATTAGCTTTCGATTTAAATCAGCTGAAATTCGCTAATCGAATGTTACGTGCAAATCAAGATATGTTAGAAGAAGTACAATATATCAATCTATTTATTTTATTGGAATAAAATAATAAATAAACATATTTCTATAGGATTTAATACAATTAGCTAAAATGGCGATCATACGAAATCACGTAGAATTCCTTTCTATTTTAGAAGATACTTGTGGTATTACATCAGATAATCTTGGAGAACATTTTGAATGGGAATTGAGCTCGAAAATGGTTTGAAGAATGTAGATTTTACTTTTAAAATAAAAATAGCTCTTGTCTTCTACGTAGTATTATAATCATGGCCTTTTTCTTGAATGTATTCAAAAAAGATCTTGCATGTAGTCTTGATGATATTTATCAACCAGTAAAATATACGCGAATAAAAACAAAATTATGATTAAAATTGAAAATTTTAAGTTGATAAAAATATTGAATGATTGAAGATGAAATACAATCAATTAATGTTAAATTATTTTTATGGGCTGTTTTTTTTTATCATTACAATTTATCATCACATTTTTGGAGACGTCTTAATGTAAGTTTAATACTAATATACCCAAAAAAACAAATTTTGTTCTAATCATTGAAACATAAAAAACGAATACATCCAAGTATTTTCATTAATTTTCTCTCTATATTTTTAATTAATTCGGCCAGTACCATGCAATACTCAGTGATCAATATAAAAATGAACGTATACCTCGTTTTTATAAGATTATTTTTGCAAATAAATACAGTTTAGGGTAATCTAGTGACTAGAAATATTTTTTTATCGAATACATTCCATTGAAACTGGCGATAAAAGACAGTAAATTCAAAAAATAAAAACCGTATTGTTCATTTTACCATGGATTATTAAAAGATTTTCATTATTTATTTATAGATTCATATTCTTTGTATCTTTTTTGGTCTGTCTTTCACTTTTATTCAGTCTTGAAATTGATGCATTTTTTTATACTTTCAATCTGGATTTCTTTTTAAAGATGTAGTTGAATGTTGGTGCTAGTTTTGTTTATAAATAGATTTAACTCAATAGATGATAAGGTGCGTAAAGAATCTGTTGAGAGAAAATAGGAAAATTTTATTTGTGATTGTTTTAAAATGTTAGAACAACGAACAATTTACTTATTTGAAAACACGAGTGGCGATGTTCACGACTAAATGAACTGTTCAGTTCTTTAAATGGTAAATAGAAATATGTTCTATGAATAGAACAGAATCAATTAGTAATTATATATGAAAATAATGATTAACTGAGGCCTACGAAGTCACTTTCTATGCCATATTAACTATCAAGTAGAAAGATGAAAAATAACGGGAGTCGGTTCAAATTAACTCGAATACAATAGACAGCTGGTGCTGTAAATTACAGCGTAGTTCGTGGCAAACGAGGCCATAAACGAAAATTTTCTGATTGTAGACAATTTCTCTAACAAATAAAAAAACAATCATCCAAATAATAATCTTTGTTTCAGTTCTTATTTCGCTTCTATATAAGATGAATTAGAATATATCAATTTTAAGAATTGCCTCGTAACTAACACATAACGATGAGTTGATGAACATTTCAAGTCGGTGCGAGCTCATACGTATTCTAATTATCTTCTACAAAATAGCTGTTACATGGAAGCATGGAAATGAACGATATTGATATATTTTACATCAGCTTGAATCAAAACAAAATTGATATGCAAACGACAAACTATAATCTATCAATGGACGCCAACGGAAGAGTATTTGACTAGAGTCCTATAGTTTAGGGTAAAGAAATAACAAGATTAGCTATCTAATGAAATGCACAACATGAATAATGTCTAACGTTGTTTTTCTCCGATGAAGAAAAGATGCATTTAATTAAATAGCTCATGTCATGTGGGCGAAAGGATTTCAATAGATTTAGAAATTTATCAGATTTACGAAGCTTTGATTTCTTTCATAAATAATTGACAAACACAATATAGTTGAAGAAAATGCATAACGAAAATTTCTTTTGGATTGCTTATATGAGAAGAATATTGTCCACAATATTTAGAGACATCGAATTTTTTGTTTTCCCCGAGGATCTAGTTCAAAACGTTTAATCTTCTGTCGTGATATTATTTCCATAGGCCATCAAAAATCTGCGACAAATAAAAATCGATAAAAACATTAACTCGACTAAATTTTGTCAGACAAAGAGGTATATTGAAATATGTTCTATGTACATACATTTCAACTGATAAATGATACCCAACTAATCATCACCAATTTGTATTTCAGTATCGATATTTTCATGAATTATTATAAATTAATCGATACAATAGTTTAATAAAAATATTTTATTTTACAATTTGATCCAATAAACTTCTGTAATTAAATAAAACTTCAGCTTGTATTATCATGCTTTTTATGCTATTCACTGTATGGAATTTAATGATTCTTTATCGAAATAGTGCTGAATAGATGACTCAATACAAATAGTTACTTCGAAACTGTGATTGATATTGCAACTAACTATCAATATATGATTATGTACAGATTCAAGATTAATATTAAATTACCATTTGTGTTGAGACGAGACATGCTTTGTTTTATAGCACTTGTTAAGCAGCATGATACGATTAAAGAAGTTTTTCGAGTAACACAGTTATACTTGCTATTTTATATCATAAAATGAAGCCTTTTTTATTTTTTTTTAAAGAACCCAACCGATATTAGATGCAAACAAATAGAAAAAGGAATTATTTGAAAGTCCAATATTCCATATACCCATAAAACATTAATTTCTGTTTTAATATCACGCAAGGCACCACAAAAGGAGAGAAAAAATAAAAATGATCCGTAATTGAACAATAAAAAATGCTTTTATTTCTGTCTATTTTCACAAACTATCATAGTTGTCTTTGCGGCAATAGAGAGAAATAGCAAATATAAAAGCAAGTATTTCAATCACACCCACGATAGCAGCGCCAATGATGGCATTCTTTTTATATCTAAGTAATAGATCAATCAGACGATCATAACATCCTTGCGAATAAGCATTTTGACCTGTTGTTGCACATGTACTTGCTGCAGACAAATCTGTTGGTAATATAGTCCAATTATTAGTTGCATTCAATGGACAACATGTAAAAGGAACAGTTAGATTTGTGGCACGATTATATGGATTTTTTCTATTCCATTTTTCAGCACGTGAAAAGTCATTTGGACCAATAGCACCGCAACATTTTAAATTGAATTGAGCAAAATCCCATGATATTGATACTGGATTAGTTGCTGTTGAATTGTCAACTTCAACACCAACATAAAATGAAGCAATAGAACCTTGAAGTCTAGTAACAAGTTCTGATTTAAATTTATGTTGATACGCAATAAAAGAGATAATAATAAAAATTTCAGCCACAATTACTACACCAATAATAACTGCATAGACAAAATGTAAAAATCGAAAACCTTTTATGGCTCCACAACAACCTAAAATAAGATTGAAACAAAATAGCTAATATACACACATATTTCTATTTTTTTTACCGAGAAATCCAATTAATAATAAAACACCACCAATAACGATTAATGCAATAGAAAATATTTCAATATTTGATAAACTTTTCGAATACGATGATGTTATATCAGGGTTAAGTAATGGACGCAGTTGTTGCATTTTAGGATCTTTAATAACATAAACACCAATAACCAGTATTACTGTTCCAACAACAACGAATGCCAAGTTGAAAAGCACAATGAGAAGTCGAATCAATTTCATGCTCAACGACATGCTACCATGGCCATGTCCGGATGCCATTTTTTTAAGCGTTAACTAAATATGAAATATAATTGATAACTTTCTAAATAGAAAAGAAAAATAATAGTTAAAGAACATGTAAGTAACGCGCAGTTATATACAAGTGTCTCAATTCGCTGTCTATGAATTGAATATATAAATATATATATATATATACGCCCATTCGATCGAATGAAGATGATTTCATGAATAAATGAGGGAACAACAAATTTTTCTTCTTTTCCTCTGTTACTTTTCACAAACTTGTTATCATCATCATCAATTACATTGGATAGGGTGATATTCAATGGCCAATATGCTGGCATCGAACACCATTAAGGTTTTGTCTCTCTCTCTCTCGGAATGATTTTCAGTATTTTTTTGTGTACTCTTTTTTAATATGCGCACAATAGTTACAATCTGATGCCATACCAATCTAATAGTGCGTGGGTTAGAACATTTACAACGAGAAAAAAAAACGAAACAGAGCAAAGTGAATATGATAGTTTCGTGTTTCTCCTCAACGGTGATCATTAGTAAATATGAACTTGTATGACATTTGAGAGTTTATATAAAATGAAATGTTAATTATACAGAGATTTGTTTGCCTATGTGACTATAAACATGAAGAAAAAGTAACGTTCTCTTTTTTCTTTTAGAGGAGGTTATTACTTACATTACTAATCCTGTTACATCAGATCCTACTTGATCTTTTTTCGTTAGATTCAAATGAAATAAATGTAATAACTTTTATGTATTAGTTATTGCTTCTATTTTGTGTCTGCATAGATAAATTATTAGAAGCAAAAAATCAAGATTTATTTGATCTAATCATCGTTTCGATCATGTGTATTCATATAGATATTAATTAATAAACGATTCAGAAATATTGAACTAGTTATTTGTTAATTTAGCAACGAATATTAATAGTAAAATAAATATTAAAAATTCATTATTCAGCTGTAACCTAGCATTTTGATTTTAAGAAATATACATATAATAGAACAGAAAATGACACGAACAACGAGAACTAAACTAATTTCATTTCGACTCCTTGATTAATAACAGAAAGAAAGTGTTTAAAATATTTCAGTGCTAATCGTTACGATTCATTATTATAGACATGCAAGAGCAAAACAGAATCAAGCTGCTGATGTTGCTGTAGCAATCCAACGACCATAATCAACGAAAATACCAAGATTTTCAATAGTCATTTTCCATTCTATGCAGATTTATGTTGTTATTTAAATATTAAAAATAATTTTCTTTCAGCTATTTTTTTATTCTATTTCACGCTATGATTCATATGACGATATTTTATATATGTTCTTTTTCATTCGCATAAAGTACGCTGCTACTACTACTAATAACTAATCTAACTAATAATAAATTGAATATCAATAATAATTATTGATAGCACTAAGAGTCCTCACTGTTTCTTTCGACAAATTATATTTTTTTTACAGCAATGACATTAAGTTCTAAAGCGCGTATATTTCCAAAATATAAACAAAAGTAGGCACAAAAAAAGACTCCGATTTATTCAAATCAATTTGAGAAGTGTAAATAATCGATCATTCACATTTTCATCACCATAGTATAATACAATAGTTGGATGATTTGGTGATTCTAATTTTGTTACAATGGCTTCATAACGATCTTTATCTTTAAAAAAAAAATAAATAAGAACTACTTACTAGGAAATGAAAGAGAAAAAAACACAATCAGGATATTATTCTTAGCTTACATAAGAGTTCAATACATTCACTACGAATAGCATCGGGCGTTTCATTCATTGTTATGGTTGTTGGCAGACCAGAAAGTGAACATTCGATACAACATGGTGGTGATGTTCGAAACCTAGATGAAATTTTAGAATAGATAGATTTCGATTAAAAAAAACTTACATATCTGGTAAACGTCGAAGATCTATAACAAAATGAAATATTTTATTACTTTTATTAAAATTAAATTTTCTTACTATTTCGTGAGCATGAAATATTTACACCTGAATCAATACATAAAACAGTAACACTCGTGCCCGTTGAATTTAGACATCGACCACGAAACCATTTTTTTTCATGATGTAGAGCAACTAAATCTTGTTCTTTTAGTCTATGAAAAATTATATCTATGATTAGGATATAGTTTCCATCAAAGTTACTCGAAAGTAATAGTTGATGGTCGAATGAGTTCAATACAATTATTCATATCTTGAAATAATTTTGTTGCGCGATTATAATCATCACCAAACATAATGTAAACATGGGAATAAGATTCAACATGACAAACAAACACATTTAAAAGATGTTGACCAACATATAAATTCGATATTCGTGGTGATAATACTGTATCTCTTGTAGCAGGTAATCTACTTGATATTCGTATTGGTTTTGGCGCTGGTGGTGAAGAATTCGAACATTCGACATTATCGATTTGTTTATTATACTTTTGATCATTATGAATTCGTCTGTTATATTTTTGGTCATTATCCATTGTTTTCTTATATTTTTGATCAATCATAGTTTGTTCAGCGTCTATAAATAATAAAATACGTTTATTTAAACAAAATAAGTCTCAATATTTTCTTTTTTTCAGTTACCTGTCAACATAAAATTACAAACAAATTGTTCTGCAAGCATTTCACCTACATCAGTTTTCGGTACCCATGATCGTTTAACGGACACTGTTAAGGGACTTGACTTTTTTTCATCGTTGGTAACATCTTGTGATAATGTCGATGTTGTTGGAGATAAATTTGAAGCAGTAAAACGATGTTGCTTTTCGATCACATCATCCGAAATACGGACATCCAAATTAGACCAATTTAGTCGACCACGGCGAGATCCCATATTAGAAGAAAAAGATTAATTCGATCGACTGATTTATATCAGCTGAATATATGTATAAAAAATAGCCAACTGAAGAAAGAGATAAATATATACAAACAAATAACTAAAATGGGTATTTATGGCTTTGAAACATGAATTCAATTCTTCAAACAATCTATTATAGTGTACAACTTTTTTCTGTCTCTTTTTCTTTTACATTATTCAATTATATGTGAATAAATCTAATGAAATAACTGAGACTTTGCTTTACACTTAATTCAGCTTAAAATAATTCAAAAAACTTTGATCATATCAATGGTATGTAGCGACATCTGACTTTATATCTTCGCGAAGTATAGTGTGGTCGACTTTTTAAAGATTAATATTAGGTGTCTTTTGGACAGACAACGTGGGATGTTTTTTTTTATTTTGATAAATATCTTTTTATCATAAGAATATATCCGCAGGTGTTTTTTACTTGCTACGTTTTCAGGGTTTGAAAGCAACGTAGTTATATGATAAAAGTCGAACCAAAGAAAAACCGTACTTTTTATTGACCTCAAAGTACAACGACTCACATTAAAGAAACGAAAACTACAATCAACGCACACCTATTATCGATAGACTTATTTGTTTTCGAAAAAATCAAATAGTCGTAGCAATGGCACATGGACGCGTACGAGTTGGAGGGTTACAAGTATCTAAAATTCTTTTCAATTTTGTCAATCAAGAAGTTGTGCCAGGTACAAATATAAATCCTTTCTCGTTTTGGACTGGTTTTCAAACGATACTTACTGAATTTGCACCTGTTAATCGTGCTCTTCTAAAAAAACGCGACGAGCTTCAGGCTAACATCGATGAATGGCATCGAACACATCAAGGAAAACATAATGATATTGCCAGCTATAAAGCATTTCTAAATAATATCGGTTATTTATCTCCGCGAAATGATAATGATAATTTTCAAATTAATACAACTAATGTAGATGATGAAATTGCCGTTCAAGCTGGACCACAATTAGTTGTTCCACTAATGAATGCTCGATTTACATTGAATGCAGCAAATGCTCGATGGGGTTCACTTTATGATGCTTTATATGGAACGGATGCTATTCCAGAGAATGATGGATGTGAAAAAACAGATAAATATAATAAAAAACGCGGTGATAAAGTCATTGCATATACACGTAAATTTTTGGATCAAAACATTCCATTGGCAAATGGTTTATCTCATGCTAACGCTAAGAAATATAGTGTAGCAGCTGGTGAATTGAAAGTAAGTCAATATCTTACAGAGTTTTATTTTTATTAGACATTTGATTTGAAAATCATAAAGTTTAAAGTCAATGTTTTTCTTTAAATAGGTTACCTTGCAAGATGATACCGTTGTTGAACTACAATCTCCTAATCAATTTGTTGGTTATCAAGGTGATGCTGATACGCCTAAATCTGTTCTGTTCGTACACCATGGTCTTCATATTGAAATTCAAATTGATCGACCTCATAGTCGAAATGATGCTGCTGGAATAAAAGATGTATTACTCGAAGCAGCATTGACTACGATTGTTGATTGTGAAGATTCAGTAGCTGCTGTTGATGCCGACGATAAAGTAGAATTATATCGAAATTGGCTTGGTTTAATGAAAGGTACTTTAGAAGCTCAATTTCCTAAAGGTAAAACAACAATAACACGAAGATTAAATGAAGATCGAATTTATGTATCAAAAACCGGTGCTAAAATACAATTACCTGGTCGATCTCTTCTTTTCATACGTCATGTTGGTCATTTATTGTACACTGATTCTATATTAGATAAGGAGAGTCGTGAGATACCTGAAGGTATCCTCGATGTTGTGATTACAACATTAATTGCTTTACATGAGCTCAATGGTAAATTAACACAGGGTATTAAAAACAGTCGTAACGGATCAATCTACGTTGTTAAACCAAAACAACACGGTCCAGAAGAAGTTGCTTTTACTTCGCGTCTGTTTTCACGTGTTGAAGATCTACTTAAGCTACCAAGAAATACACTTAAAATGGGTGTCATGGATGAAGAACGTCGTACAACATTAAATCTTAGTGCGTGTATTCGAGAAGTAAAAGATAGACTTGTTTTTATTAATACTGGATTTCTTGATCGAACTGGTGATGACATTCATACATCAATGGAAGCAGGTCCTCTCATTCGTAAAGGTCAAATGAAAGAATCTAAATGGTTAACAGCTTATGAAAAGAATAATGTTGACGTTGGTTTAAGACATGGCTTACCTGGAAAAGCTCAGATTGGTAAAGGAATGTGGGCTATGCCAGATATGATGGCAGCAATGCTAGAACAAAAAATTGGTCATCCCAAAGCTGGGGCAACTTGTGCATGGGTTCCATCACCAACAGCAGCTACTCTACATGCTTTACATTACCATCAAGTTGATGTTTTTGCTCGGCAAGTTGAATTAGCATCTATATCTTCTCGACCCGATGATTGTCTAGATGATTTATTAACAATACCAGTTCTTACGACGACTCTTTCACCAGAACAGATTCAACTTGAATTAGATAATAATGCACAAGGCATACTCGGCTATGTTGTACGTTGGATTGATCAAGGCATTGGTTGTTCAAAAGTACCTGACATAAATAATATTGGATTAATGGAAGATCGAGCAACTTTACGTATTTCAAGTCAATTGCTTGCTAATTGGTTACGACATGGAGTTATAACAAAACAACAGATAATAAAAACTTTTCAACGAATGGCTAAAATAGTCGATCAACAGAATGCAGACAGTCCAGATTATCAACCGATGGCAGGTGATTTCGATCAGAATATAGCTTTTCAAGCTGCACTCGAACTTGTGATTGATGGACATAAACAACCAAATGGCTATACTGAACCTATTTTACATCGTCGACGACGTGAATTCAAAGCTCGACAACAACAAAACCAACAAGGAGGAGAAGGATCACAACAGAAGTCTACAGTACATATTCGTAGTTCTCTCTAATTCTATGCCTTTCCAAGCTCTTTTTTTTCTAATCAATCAATAGATTAATCATGCAACCAGCGCATCGTGATTATGATCCTTCTTTATACAATGAGAAAATGATCTTTTAAATTTTTTTTTCCAAATGGCTGGGACTTTTAGTTTTTATAGCATACATATTCATTTCACGTAATTGTATCTTCTAATCCATTCTATAACTGTTTTCATTTCGCTTACCACATAGCTTTTTGACAAATTAAATTTATGAAATAATTAGTTTTTGTAGTTAAAAATTTGGATTTTTTTTAAAGAAAAAAAGAACGAAATCATATTTTTTTTAAAATGATTTTATCGTCAACAATACCTATTTTAAATACAATAAATTATTAAAAAAATCAAACTACGATGTATTATTTAAAAAAAAAACCTTTTTTTTTGTTTCGATAACACAGAAATGGTCATTATCTCTATTTCGATATGATCTTCAAAATATGTTTCATAAATTTTTTAACATAAAATACTTAGCAGATGGTTCGATTAGAGCAAAAATAAACATTTAAAAATTGAGCGATTCATATATAGTATATCTTTGAATTTTTTTTTTGATGCATAAGATCTAAATACTACATTGATTTACATCGACACATAACGTTATTCATCCAGGAGATAAAAGTTTTGTCAAAACATTTTCTGCATAATAAATTGAACTTTTTTCAATGTTAAATTTTGTATATGGATCTAAGATAATATTAATATTAATTTTTATCTAAATTTATTCAGATACGTAGAAAAGTATATTGAAAGGATGAAAATCTCTTCGATTAGATCCTACCATAGATATTGTAAATTGCGCATTGGTCAACAGTGTTTTTTTTCTGTGTAAATAACAGTCAATAGTTTGATTTCCGATTTGTAACTCTAAATTCGCCTAGAGAGTAATGGCATTCTCTGGCTATTTATTTTTGTTTTACAATTGCCGATAGTATTTTATCAATTTGTCAGGTTTTACTTTTAGTTTGCAAAATTGTACTGTCATTATTATGATTATCAGAGCAATGTTCACTATTGAATACTAGCTGACCTCTTGAATCTGAAGAGTAGTTTTTCCTTCACGATCTATTCATTTATAAATAAAATTAAAATTATCATTAAAAAAATGGATTCAAAATTTAATTCGAGTTATTCATAATAAGCTTTCTTGTATGCTTTACTTTTTATATAATGCGTTCTGACGCTTATTTCCCACAGTAAGAATGAGAACTTTCTTCAATGTAAATTTCCCACTGTATCATTTAATTTAGTTTCATCCTACATCTATATCAAAGTAATTCGATGATATTTCTTTTCGTTTTATTCACATTCTGCGTCCATTCAATCTTTAAGATGTAGATTTCAAAAATTAGAATGGGCGCATTGAAAGTGGTCCTAATTGGTACTGCATTGGATGACTACTCCTTTATGAATGATTGTTATCTGTTTTTATTTTTCTCTACTTGTTATCAAGTGACATGCGATGAAAATTGCAGCAATGACGTTGTATCAACAAAAACTGTCATACTCCCAGTCTTTCTTATCATTTTGGAGAATTGTTGTGTGATATTCTGTTCTGTATATAAACAAAAAGTTTACACAACTTTTGCTCTTTTTCTATTCATTTCGTTTACGAACACGTTTTAATAATTATATAATTTATACTATGGCAAACAAATTCTCATGCAGCGTGAAATTTATGCGAGCCATATTGCTTCTATTAAACTCCATTTTTGCTCTTGTTGCTTTTGTCCTGATTGGTTTAGGCATTTATATAAAAGTTGATAATAAATTCTCTGTAGTACTGGACAAACTTAGTGACATAAGTAATTTCGAAGGACAAAGTTTGGGCTTTCTAGCATTCGTTCTTATTGGTGGTGGTGTCATCACGCTATTGATTTGTTTATCTGGCTGTTTAGGTAGGCATCTCTATATCCATAGTTTTGTTTTTAATTACATAATTAATCTATATATTCATAATTAAATAGGATCATTGTGGTATAATAGATGTTTATTATACATGTATGCCATCATTCTTGGTATTGTGATGGTTATTGAACTGACTGGTTTTATATTAGCATTTGCATACAAGAGCAAACTTGAATCTGTGTACCGAAACAGTTTAAAAACAGTCTTTACCAACGCTGTACAAAAGAATCAAACACAAGTAATGAATGCTTTCCATGACTTAGAGTCTGCATTGGAATGTTGCGGTGTAAACGGTATAATTGATTATACAAGCGCTGGACAAGATGCACCTAGCTGGTGTTATCTACATCAAGAAGGCTGTTCCAATGTTATTATTGATTCTCTTAGAAAAAATTTACCAATTATCGGTGGCACTTTGGGTAGTGTTTTATTGTTGGAACTCTTAGGTTTCATTGGTGCCATTTTATTAGCTGTGGCGCTTAAAATCTTACCAGACGTTAAAAGTTCATCAGATTCTAGAGAAGTAATTACTGATGCTGTATTAAATCGACGTCGTAATTACCACAGTTTCGCATAAAAACACTAAAATATTTGTATGTTTTTTTTTATTCAATGTTGTTTTTATTCGTTTATGTCTCAATATAATTGTAAATTAAATAATCAATAACAAAGAAACAACAAAAATTAAGCAAACAATAAGATGTTCCACCATTGAAATTGTTAAGTTGATAATAGCAAAATCATGGTGAACATTCAATGAATTGCAAATCTTACTAAAACATGCAGTACATATGTGTGCAATAGTTTGATAAAAATTCCGAGACAAACAAAATCAGGACGAATCATAACATCGAAAGATCATTGTAATTTAATTAAAGCATTATTTTAGACGTTTTTCTATTCCGTCTTTCAATTGTCGATAGAGTACATAACGATCTTTACCAATAACTGAACTCTAGAGTAATAATAAATAATAAAAGAAGGAAAAGAAGAAGAATGATAATAATAAAATTGAATATATACCGTATACAGATCAAGCCCGTTCATATCCGATCGTAAATTAGTCACTGGATTTCGAAAAACAAGACGACATACAACTGGCATTTCATGACCATCCTTCGACGATGTTTCATTCTATAGGGGAAAAAGAAATGAATTATAATTTTTTTCTAAGTTGAAGAGAAAATTAGATTTTTTCATTGTGGTTGTTTTTGCTTACCATTGGAGGTAAATACATTCCAAAACTAAAACTATATTCATTGAGATCATCAACAAATGCTGAAACAATTATAGTTCAAATTAATATTCTCAACTGCTTTCTTATCTTACTTCTTAAAACAAGATGTAGTGCTTTATAGAAATTTCTATTAAGTTTTTCATCCATAATCATTATTTCAAGATCTTTTATGGGTGTCTAAAAAAAAGGACATGAATTGAATTGGACAGTATTCATAACTAAATAAATAGATTAACTAACAAGATGAACAATAACAGTTGTATTTCCAATTTGTATTGTTAAACCTAATACTTGATGAATGTAAAGATAATCTTTAAAATAATTTCTTCCATTATTATTTTGTGCATAAAAACGAGCACCTTGTCTTGTTCGTTCAATATTTCCATAATAAATATCAAAGCCTAAACTAGCTTGAAGATGTGTATGCATTTGTGAAGCACCACTCTTAGGCATTGCATCCCATATCATTTCAGGACATGTATACATTGGTTCCATTGAGTAAGCTTTATGAAACCATTCTTGTGCTAATTCAAACATATCACCAATTTCATCTTCTGTTAAATGTAATGTATCATGATTACGTGACACAATAAGCGTATGCCAACGATCATATTTAAATGTATTAGCAGCTGTATATGAAAGACGATGCTCAAGACGTCCAAGTCGATCTTCAGCTGTTGAACTAGAAAAAATTGAAATTGTTTTACAATATATTATTCATATTGATCTCTTGCAAATACGTTAAAACAATATTTTAGTCAATATCTTTATCTATCGGATGTTTGTATCGATTGAAGTCATAGTTTACAATGCGCGTGGGGGGGAGGGGCGGGGATTTCCCCCGCCCAAGTTTTTTGGGGTTATAGCTTTCTCCCTGGAAAATTTCTTTTCGACTTTGTACACGATTTTTATTTATTTGTAGACTGAATAAAGCCTACCAAAGGCAATCATCTAGTTTCCCCTTTATACCAATTTATTTACTCTTTTATATGAACCTATTTTTTCTTTAGATTCAAACTACTTTCTCTTTTCTATTAATTTATATTCTCTTTAAGTTCGAACTATTTTTTACATTGATCTATTTTCATTTAGATGATATTGTTCAAAACTTTTCATGCATCCAGAAAGAGCAAAAGCTCGCAATATCAATATATACATTCAAAACAATTATGGCGATAGCGATGATGAGTGATAGGCAAATCATGAAATAATTTTTCCAAGAACATTAACTTTGAAATTAGAAGCTATGATTGTGAAAAGTTACGACTAGAAAAACCAATTTTTTCTCATTAATCCTTTTTTTTACATATCTATTTACAAGAAAACAGAAAAAAAAGATTTTCTTAATTGAATAAGAGAGCCTTACAAATTCAAGCTAATAATATATTTTTTCCTGAAAAAAAATAATGCAAAACTGTTTCTCTCTAGTTTTGGGAGGCTTTCTCTTTCAAATCTTCGCCCCGCTATCCAAAAACAAACGAAAACTATGATTGAAGTGCACATAAGTTTTACAGTAGAAAATAAAAAGTAATTATTTACATATCAACATTTTAGTATATTTACAAGGCAAACGTGTTAATTCTCATAGTAAAGTCAATATGAGTCGAACTTTCTCATTTTACAATAAAATAGTTCTCTAATGATTTGTATGTTATTCAGACAGATTTTCTTACTTCAAATAATTTTTTCCACAAAAATCACACGTTTTCCTGCTATCTTCCAATAGTTTCGATGTACTAAAACGAAAATCATAATACCAAATAAATATTCTATCTCTGTTTTTAAGAACGAATCTACAAGAACAACCAAATGCACAGATAGAAAGCATGCAAAAAAACATTCATATTCAAGACATCAGTAAAATCGTACTATTCATTAGGTGATATATCACTCTTTGTTTGTGGTCGTTGACTACGCATATAATTGTATAACATTTCTTCGTGTGTATAGCGATTGTATATTTTAATAATACGCTTTAAAACAGAGATCGTTTTTTTTAAATTAGTGATAAATTTTACTTTATACGATAATCGATTTTCTTTCATGTCATCACTTTGAAATAAAAATTACCTGTTTTTTTATTTGTTCAATAAGTATTTGATCATTGTGTAGCCATTGATTTATTTTATTTAGATATACTGGTGATAATTTTAATAAACCATACATTTCTTCTAGACGAAATATAGCATAAAATATGGTTGCAAATTGTCTAAAAGAAGCATCTCATTTATTAATTTGTTTTGGTCAAAGAACAAATTTAATTATTGAAAGACCTACCGACAAATTTGATTTTTCGATGTATGTGCATTATTTAAATATTTAACAAGATCTTCTACGACGAGCTTTTGTGCTAATTTAGTTTTCAAGCAATGCTTTTGATACCAAAGCTGAATGAAATAAAGAAAATTATTTCAGACAGACCTTCAAGTCTAACTACAAACAGATGAATATTCATTTGATATGATTTTAAATTTTTCATTGTTTTGTGACACTGGAACTTTTATTGAAACAGATGGATCGATTGTATATTTTAATTGATAAAACAAAATAAGAAGAAGAAAAATAAAAAGTAATAATAATACTGAAGAATTTCGTAACATATGAATCATAATGTATGTTCCGTGTAATTAAAATCTATTGGTATAGGACGGAAGAATCCATTAATACAACAAAACTAAAATAAAAGGATAAAACAAAATTAATTATTGAAAATTGAAAGTATTTAGTAGGAAAATGCAACACAACAGTTGTATGATAATGTAAATTAATCAAACTTGATTTTGAATCATTTATCAAATCTATTCTGCCTTTACTTAAAATCACATAATATTCATGAGTATTAAAATGCGTTTACTTGTTCTTTTATGGGAAATTGAAAATTGAAATAGAAATTAGAAGATACTCATAGACTTTACCTTTTAGATATCATGAGATTCCGCTTAATTAAAGTATTGTCTTACATATCTATAATAAAAAAAGATGATTTTATCACAAAATCGATTACTTTCAGTAGCTAATTCTTTTTTTAAACTTAAATCGATTGTTTGATAAATAGTGATTATGACAAATATGTATTGAGCAAAACATGTTTAAGGAGCGACCTCGACTTTTGAGTAGCCACATGAATAACCAATTGATAATTGTTCCGTTTTTCTTCTATCATCTTAGTGAATCATATACATTCCTTTTCCGGTCTGTCTGATAAGCAATCAGAAGCGCGAGAAGATGCGGTCAAAAGAATGACCGACAAGGAAAAATAGAATAGTGCCAATGATCATCCCCTATATACATATGCGTATATTCATATAGAGTACTATTGATTCTTGTTTTGCTTAACATGCATGAACATAATGACGCTTTTATCTGTACTACACTTTTCTGTGTCTACTATTTTCTATATTTTTTATTCGCTCTCTCTCTCTTTTTGCTACGTTATGTTTGTCAGGTTATTTAGACAACAGAAGGAAATATAAGATAAATGCCGACAGTTTTGAGTGGGCGCTATATTCTTCAATGGATAAATGCATTTTTTTCTGTGTTTGTGCTTTTCTTCTGAGTTTGCTCGAGTTTAGTTCTCCTCCTTGCGCGGGTGTTATTAGTAATAGTGCGGTCTATGGTATGATGTATGTGTTTTCTATTTCTAGATATAAGTTGGACGTAAACAACATTGTCTCTTGTTTTACGTATTAACGCTTCAAACAAAGTAGAGAAATTTGTTAAGTAAATTTTAGTAATGTATTAGATCGAAAATTATTTGTCAACTCTTTGATTTATTTAGTCATGGATGTACATGCAACTGATAATTTACCCGTTTTACGAGATTATAATACTATTATTAATGGCGTATTTTCATCCTTTGTGGCACTGTCACGTAAAATTGGTGGTGAATTACCGACTATGATCGATCATGTAACATGTCTGTTTGATGCTCAACAAAAATTTATTCAAAAAGCATTACAAAGTAAAAAACCGACAACTGACTCAGAAATACAAGCTTTGATCAAACCACAATCAACAGAAATCGAAGCAGTTTGTGGTAAAGAAATTGTTTTTTTTTCTTGTATTTATATTTTCATGAAAAATAAACTTTTCATTTACGTTTAGATTATACAAATAAGAACCGTAAATCACCATTGTTTCATCATTTATCAGCTATATCAGAAGGTATTCCAGCATTCGGTTGGATTCTTGTTTCGCCAACACCTGCTTCATATATCAAAGAAATGTCTGATGCTGCACAATTTTATGCTAATCGAGTTTTAAAAGAATTCAAAGAAAAAGATCCTAATCATGTCGAATGGGTTAAACAATGGATGAGAGTATTAACTGAATTACATGCGTATGTTAAACAATATCACACAACAGGTTTAACTTGGGGCGTTCATGGTCAGCAGAATTCAGGTGTTACCTCCGCTGGGGTTGGTAATAGCAGTAATGTAGCTGCAAGTCCACCTCCTCCTCCACCACCACCACCACCGCCGCCGCTGTCACCATTACCTTCATCAACTCATGTTGACGATGGTCCATCACGAGCTGAACTCTTAAATTCAATAAATGCTTTAGGAACAGGAGCTGCATCTCATTTAAAAAAGGTATCTGATGAACTTAAACTTCATAAAAATCCTCAACTAAGAGATCAATCCACAACTCAACCAGCCACACGATCCGACGTATCAAATAAGTCTCATGTAAGTTCTGTACTTTTTTCTTTTGAGCATCGCAACAAGTATTCAAACTTTTGCAATGAAGTTTTGATCAAATTTTGGATGTTTAGTGGAGTGATCGAGTGAATGTTTACGAAAAAAAGAGTTCTTGTCATTTATATAGTACTAAATCGTATTCATTATTGACTTTCCATTTGTTTTCAGGAAGCTACCTCAAAGGCTTCATCAACATTAACCGTGGGCCCACCTAAACTAGCACTTGAAGGCAGTAAATGGGTTGTTGAATTTCATTCGGGACGATCAGATCTTAAAATCACTGAAACCAATATGAAACAGACAATATACGTCTATAAATGTTCAAATTCAACATTAACCGTTCAAGGTAAAGTCAATTCAATTGTACTTGATCAATGCACTAAAGTTGGTATTCAATTTACATCTGTTGTATCATTGGTTGAATTCATTAATTGTCGTGGAATGAAAGCTCAAGTACTGGATCATGTACCAACAATTCAAATTGAAAAAACCGATGGTTGCCATGTATATTTATCGAAAACTTCACTAGATACTCAATTCATAACATCAAAATCATCTGAAATGACAATTAATGTTCCGTTTGGCGATGGTGAATATAAAGAACATCCAATACCAGAACAATTTAAAACACATTTAAAAGATGGTAAAGCACTTGTTACTGTACCAAATGAATCAGCTGGCGTTTAGAACAAATTTAATATGAGATCATCTTTTCTTATCATAAACAATAGTTGAACATTTCTGCTCTAGTATTTCATTATACATGCTTGCCGCTATCGGTTGTATTTTATTTACGTTTTGCATTTTTTTAAAAATAATCTTGATATGCTCTTTAAAAGAAATATGTGTTGCTTGTTTTTCCCTTCACTTAATGTTACAATCGTCCTTTTTTTTTGAATTAAACAAACAAAAACAACAACAACCTGAACAATGTTTTCGATAATTTCTAGTCCAATCGAAATATTTTCATAAGAAAGAAAATCAGTCTAACATTGTTATTCGAACTATTAATTTGCTTTATTGTGAATTATCTACTATGATGATTTATACTTCGAGTGTAGGAAAAATAAAGACACGCTATGTGTTTAATTATTTGTCCGTATTTGAAAATATGGGTAGTTGTCACAAGCTTTTTACATGCCGGGAAAAGTCAAGGCTATAGAATTGAGTTGGTTTATTAATAAAATCTAGAAAATAATATTTTCTTTCAGAGTAAAAGTTTATTCATCATTTGGTCGTACACAATCGCTGAAGAAATTATTGCGTGCAGATCTTTGTTCAGTCGATATTCGAAGAAAAATACATGATAAATTTATTTTGACTTCGAGATACTGACTGTGTTTGTTTCTTCAACTATTGATAACGAAGAAAATAATTTAATTTATTCCAATCATGAAACATAACATAAATGTCATTGATCTAAACAATATACGAGTGTTCACAATACGGAAAATGATTATCATTAATCTTTTTTTCTTCTAAATTTAGATTGTGGATTACTACAGGAATAAATACATGTGAGATACTAGTTTGTTTGTATATCAACATGAAATATGTGGATCGATTCAGATAATTCGATTCCAAGTCGAAGGCTGATCTGAAAAATACATGATATAATTAGGTGTAATAATTGCATGCATTATAGATGCATTTCCTACACTGAAATTTTCAATTCAAGATCTTAAACTGTTGAAAATTTGAATGACAGATGTTCCTAATGCAAACCAATATCGATCACATTCATCAATGGTTATGAAAGTTCCTCCATTTGTGTTTCTAATTGAACTTTCGTTAACAAAAAGTCTTTCATTCAATAAAGTGCTATTGTCAATAGCGCTATACGAATAAACTGAATTGTTTGTATGTGATGTTGCAAAAAAAGTAACTATTCTTGTAGCGAGTTAATCCGTATACTGCAGGACAACGTACTGCTTGTTGATAAGCAAATGTGTAGCTCGACGATATGTGGCTTATGCGATTAAAAAAGGCGATACTTTGATTGTTATTTGAGGTAACTCTCATTTTTTCTCCACCATCAAGAAAATCAATACCATATATTCCTCGAAAATAAGATGAATATATATAGTTGAGAACTGTCAGATTTTCACTTGCGATGGCCATAATCTGACCATTGATAAGTTCAATGAAAAAAGGATTGTTTGAATATGCTATAGTCATTGCATACGAGCCAACTATTGAAGTCTGGCCAATCATCGGTAAACTATAGAGATTGAATTGATTTAGCTTTACAGGTTGCATTTCAACAGTAACCAGGTAATCAATTTTATCAAGCAGAGGATTTCGAGGGTTTGACACATTTACATATGTTCATGTTCCATTTCTAAGCTTATCTAATAAATATGCAAGATCTGCCATACAACATTTACTAGGATTCAGAAAGACGCGCTTGTGGCGTTTATTGAAATCTATAACTGATAAGGAAAGTATTGAACAATTGACATGTGTCGTTTGAAAAACAATTGAAGACATCAAAATTGGACATAGTCATACATAACCATTGCTCACATGCTTTATTTATGATTGTTGTACTATTCCGTGCATATCGAGAAATGCGAGTAACATTTTGAATAAATGGAAACTGAATGCAATTGATAGAAACAATCGAAAATAGTAGAATAGAATAGAACATATTAATGAAAACATGATCATATTCTTGAAATTTATCAAGTGTTAGAATGCCTCATTTCTTTAATATTATAGATTTATATACGAATATTACGCTTAAAAGCATTGTAGACAATTATTTAAAGAAAAATGTAAATAAGATTGCATGTGTATTACTTTTGGTAATAAAAATTATAATCATTGAAATTTGTTCAGTATTCATAAACATTGAGCATTTACAAAATGATAAAAAATTGTTTTAGTGACTGTTTGAGCCTCAAATATTGATTATCATTATCATTTTCATACTTCAATAGTCTTTAAAACATATATATCATTATCTCCCTTTGGAAATATAGAATTGTCAGCGAACAAGTAAAAAATCTACAATTATGTATCAGTATCATTTTGTTTCAAAATGTGTCTGCTTCTATGGGGACGATTTTTCAATTATACCTCTAGAAAACTACTGTGAAACCCTACGACATAACATAAGCATAGTCGACGCATAAAAATATTGCAAGCAACATACTGTTTAAATACGTCAATGCGTAAATTACGGAAAATGTTCAATTATTCATGAAAAAAGTGTTAGTCAACATTGAAGATCCGTCAATCTTTAATATAGACGGCAATTGTTTTTACATAGTTTTATGTATTTCTAGAGACTAATGAAGCACATTTTCATGATATTATTTTTTTTTTATAAAAATGCCTTTTTACCAATTCCCACATAGTCCATGTATGCATAATGAAATACTAAATTTAAATGCTTCATATGGATCTCAAAAAGAGACTATTACATAAAAACGTCTAGCTCAAAAGGTTGATAATTTATATTAAAGTCGTTGCGTTTTCTAAAAAAATCAAAACATTTCAAATCGTCTTTGTTCTATTTAATTCGTTTTCTTTTTTCAAACGATAAAGAGTACGAGATACCAAAAAAATCCTAATAAGATTTTATTTTAGTTTTCGCGTTTTAAGTTGAAAATTCTTCGAATATCATCAATCATACGTAAGAGAGCAACTGTGAAGCATTAGAAATATGTCGCTTAAAAGTTTTTTCTGTTTACCATGGGAAGCTCCAATTTTTTAGTTGACTTCAATCAAAGGTATAAAGTTTTTCAGGGTATACGCCAGTGGCATTCTAGAATATATGATATCCTCTATGATGCAAAATAATTACTTTATTTGAATCGTAAGTACTCAAATGTTTCTGTATGTGCATATAATTACTCTTAGTTGTCTAAGTGCATAGAGTTTTTTCATTTCTTGAATATACTTTTTCGATCTATATTTTTTCATCATAATCAATCTAACGATAGTATTGGTACTGTTTGCAGAAAGTCCGTCAGCCGATCAATTGGTGTAGAAATGACTAATCGATCTTGTACTATTCACAAGAAAGACAATTTTTAATGGTTCGACGTAAAATAGTTATTATCAATCTGCAATTGCCCCACTATTTTCTAAGGAAAACAATACACATGTATGTGTATGATTGTCTTTTTTAAGTTGTGTCGCGACTTTCAATCATGTGGTGCACAGAACGGTAGCTATGAATTACTACACATTGATACAAATATTGTTCCAAACGAAAGCAATCACGGCGTCAGGACAAAAGTTTAGTAAAATCTTATGAAAAGCTGCAATCATTCTGTAAAATGACTGGTAAACGGTAGTATGTGAATTCAAGCCGATAGTTATTCTAGCTAATGATGACCGATACGAACATCATTAGCAAAAATACTGGTGCGAATGATAAATTTATGATCGAGGGTACGATCTAAAAGTCTTTTTAGTGAAGTTGCTATCCATGAATAGAAATCAGTATTCTTCTTGTTGAGTTTTACCAACAGAAGTGTTAATCGAGTGGATGATCGTGCACTACTATCGGTTGAGAATTTGATACCATAGCGATAGAATTCCCAAGGACGATTGCTATGACATGCTATTATTATACAGAGAGAAATGATACTGAAAGACAATCATTTATGAACAAAAGACATCACTACTGGCAGAGTCATATCGATTTAAGATCAATAATGTGCATGTACAATGTATGATGTTTGATCACGCTTTAATCGAACTGTGTAGGCGATACTGTAATGAAATTTAAATTAATCATTAACGTTTACCAAGCATGAAATCGAACATTATAAATGTGCCATCTTTATTGCGTTAAGGTTGAATGAAACAGCATCATTTGAGATCCTCAATTTGTTGCTGGATAAACGACAACAAATTAATGTCAACAGGGAGCAATTATAGTGAAAGTTGTGAATGTCCGATTCACTATTTAAATACATATACCATTTGAATAATCAATCGTATGTAAATATCTAAAAAATAAAAAGAATTGACATTTTCTAGATTTTTATTCTTCTTCTTACCGCATAATTTTTATTTTCATGTTTAATACAGATAGAATAATTCCATCAATGTTTTGATTAATTTCATCAAAAGAAATCTATCTATCGTGAACTCATGATTACGAGTTAACTAACCTACGTCATTTCAAATTAGTCATAATACAAATCACTTGATAAAGACATTTAACGACATAGTTCGGCAAAGTAATACCATCTTGATAAAAGATAAGAATGAAAGTTTAAACTTTGCAAACATATTAGAACGATGAGTTACGATATTATACACAACGAATGGTGAAAACAACAAAGTGTATTACTTTGTAAATAGAGATGAAGCTAAGAATGTACCTTTTAACAAACCTATGTGGATCTGAATGTTAAAGAAGCGTTTATATGAAAATACTTCATGAAAGAAATAAACAATCCATAACAGTTTGGCAATTTTACTTAGCATTAACAAATCATTTTCAATTATTGCAAAGGGCGAGGGGAAGAGTACATTCTAAATTTTTGTGGCCTCTTGTGCTTTCTTTTATCACACAAAAAACGCGTGCTGAATTTGAACGCAACTGCATCCAAACGACATGGAAGCCATTTTTTCCTTCGTCTGGTGAATACTGTCAAGAAATATATTTACTTTTACATATTAGATTTTTTAACTAAGATATAGCATTGAATATCAAAACGTAACTCAATCAATTTACTGATATTGAATAGAATAATATAATACGCTGGTTTTATATTGATCTACTGAGTATCAACCAATATCGTATGCAAATGACTTAAGAGGCGAAAATGCGTAATTTATTTGTCAGACTATAAAAATGTTCAAAAACATGAATTATTTGTTTATAGCTTAGTCAAAACAATGTAATATGAATGATATAACTTATGATCTTGATCGATTATTGTTTGTTACATACTATTTTTATTCAATTACTACACGTACGAACATTTGTTGTCATTATTCATGGTCAAAACTCCAATGAAGTATTTACATTCAGATATCTTATCAATAGATTTCAGTCAATTGGTTACCATTACAGGTCTGTATATACCACTGACTGAAATACTTTAGAACAAAAGAAACCATTAAAAAGCGTATGTTATCAATACCTGTAATTGTAGTCTCAAATACGATCAATATAAATGAAATAAATAGAGTGTAAATCATGACATGAAAATTAATTTTAAGACGATATCATCATTATACTAATTTGATGTTTGAAACAAGAGTAAATAGCACGTGTAACAAAATTTGGTTCCATAATTTTATTTTCATAGACTTCAAAACAAATGTCATTTTATTAATGCGTTTTCAATTCTATATACTTATGTGAATCATATATTTCTTCTTCTTCTTCTTCTTCTTTATCTTCATAAACGAAATTTGAAACTCAGCTTTTAGAAAAATGTCAACCGATTGCTTTGTAATCCTTGGCTTTTTCTTTTCTTTGTTTATCTGAGAAACTTAAAATGCTTGTTCTAATATATTAGAACTAATCGATTAATACGGTTCTTTCGTTATTTTCTTTTTGCCGTTCTTATATCGTATTGTTGTAGGTTTTTCAATCAAATACAATGTTTCTAATGATATAGCTATTGTGACACGGAGAACGAGATAAGAATTTGAAAAAGAGTATACGAGACAAGGTCAATTTACACATTTGAATAAGCATACACAGAAAAAAATAAAAAAGAGAAAAATAAAAAAAAGATATGTCGCCTAACAAATATAACTAAAGAAAAAAAAACGATTCTCTAAATCTACTTCTCATTCTTTTTTCTTTCAGAAGAAGAACATATTTGTATAAAAAAAAAATCTAGTTGACAATCGAAAACCACAAAAAGCCTCTTGAATTTTTATCCTTGAGTATTATTTATTGTTTTTTGTTAATCTTACTTCTTTCGAAACTCAATCTTCATGTTATAGATCTGTTCCTAGGTTCTTAGTTTCGAACAACCATGTCAATCAAATTATTTACTAACGCACAAGGACTTCCATGGATTAAATCATTAAAAGCATCAAACGATGATGATCATGCTGATAGACTGAACCATCGGTATTGTGTAGGCTTTTTACTTGTTTGTGCATTTATTGCAACAGGTGCTTCATTCGTTTTTGAACGAATCACTTGTTGGGTGCCAGCTCAATTTATTGGTGCTTATACAAAATACACAAATAGTTATTGTTGGATTTCAAATACATATTATATACCAAGCAATACTACAGTTCCACATAGCAAACATGATCGTGAACATGCTGAAATCGGTTATTATCAATGGGCACCATTTATTTTTCTTTCGTGTGCTTTGTTTTTTTATCTTCCACGTATGCTTTGGCGTTCAATGAACACTCGATCGGGTATTGATCTGCAATATCTTGTTACAAAATCTCAAGCAAACACTATTGCTCAAGCTATTGAATGCTACTGTGAACCGAATGAAAAAGATGCGCGGTTTATTAGTCGATTTGGTCGTACTATATTATGTACAAGTGGCAAACGCTTAGGAAATTATCTTCGCTCAATTTATTTAATGGTTAAATTTCTCTATTTAATTAATTCATTCTTGCAATTAGTACTTGTTCATATAGTTTTGGGTCAACCCGGCTGGTTGTATGGTATTGATATATGGCATAGTATATTTATAAGAAATTCTGTGTTAACTGATTCGCCTTATTTTCCTCGTGTAACTTTATGTGATTTACGTATACGTGAAGTTGGTAATCTTCATCGTTATACAGTTCAATGTGTTCTACCAATAAATATGCTGAATGAAAAACTCTTTGCACTTGCTTGGTTTGGATTTATCTATGTGTTTGTATCAAATTTAGTTTCATTTATTTTTACATTATATGATACAATAATGGCACGCAGTCGAATTCATTTTATACGAAACATCTATCGAACAAGTGCGCCAACATATAAAGTCGATGAAAATTTATTAGAAAAATTCACACAAGAATTTCTTATGCAAGATGGTGTATTTATTCTTAAAATTATTTATAATAATGGGCCAGTTTTCCTTGCCACAAAAGTTGTACATCAACTGTTTTCAAATTATGAAAAAAAAGAACAAGAACAAGAGCAGCAATCAAGAAACATAGCACTGCAATTGAACAGTAGTGACGTTTAATATTTGTGTCTTGTTCAGTTTTATAGATTAGTTTGTTAATCAAAATATAAAAATTATATAAATCTATGATTCGTCTTACGTTATTTTGTGACATTTTACGGACAAATAACTTAAAAGGAAAAAAATATAGACGTAAACTTGATGCTCTATTTTATCCACTACTACCTAGACGAGAGAAAAAAAGAACGATTCAACAATGATACATAATTGAATGATCTATTATTAACTAAAGTAATGAGCATATTTTTATGAATGAATTAATATCATGGGTTATCCATTCTTTTTTTTTTATTAATGAGAAGTATATTGAGTCGAACATATTTTCCCGCCTTGTGTAGATATATATATATATATATGTCATACAGAATAAACTAGATAGATCATGACTGAAATCTTCATTTACGAATAGAATGCAAGGTATTTTTATATATAATAATAAATGTTATTTACGTCTTAAAATTATTCAAATCATCCGTTTCTTTAGAGAATGGTGAATAAATAGTCATTATGAGAGAAAAAAGTATATGTATAAAAATGTTAAAATATGCAAACACTAGGTAAAAAGTACAAGCCAATTGAATAACATTAGCAATAGCCCTTTATAACATTTGCTATTGTCTACTCGTTTATTCTATTTTATTGTTAATCACAAAAATAAATAGTATTGTGTTATAAATGAGCACAACAAACTGAAAATAAATGTTAAATATCATAAAAATAAGTATATCCATTTTATGCATTATTGGAAATAGTATATTTTAGAATGAAAATTAATTATTTATAAGATTTTGATAGATTATAATAACGAACAGTCATATAATAGTATTAGAAATTTGATATTTTCATGCGCAATGTCATCAAGGTCTTTTATTATATGATCACGTTCTGTCTCAATATTATTATAAATAGCTTCTAAATTGATATTATCTATTGCCTTGTTTTTTCCTTTGCGCATTTGTTTTATTCAATGAGCAAGAAAAAATAAATAAATGTATAAATAGAGGTTAGAGGCTACTAGTTTTACATACCGATCATTTTTCGTCGTTGGTTTTCTCTTTTTACTATTTGTTTTTTTATAATAAAAATACGATAAAATAAACGACGAAATTACCTAAACCCACACATAGTTTTAGCATTCGATTTAGTTTCTTTTTACTGTCTTTTGACGTGACTGATTGGAATGTTAGTTATGCACTTGTTAATCATTATCGAATATGATATGTACAAACGTATATACGCACATACCACAGGAGGAGGGGTATAAAATACTTATGCATTCGCATGTATTTTTTATATAGAAAATCATATTGGTATAGGTTTATGATGACGTTAGCATATAGTTATTCAAGCAGAAATGATTGCCAATCGTTTTGATCAATACCAACTATGTATACAGATTGAAATGACTTTCACTCAGTTTATGCACAATTGTGATATTTATTCCATGAAATATGTACAAAAGATTTTCAAATCGTTTATTTCAAGGTGCTAGTTAATAAATGATGAGTATCAATACTTTTTATTGCATTAATCAACTATCAAAACCTATGGTATGATAATTTTATTTTTATTTTGCCTGTTAGAGATTTCTGTATAATAGACATTAAAAAGAAGAAAAAAGAACGCATTCCAAATTTAGTCAATTTGCATTTCTATCAACAATAACCTTCATCCCCTCTTTTCGTGTATGACTGTGATTTGTTTGTAAGAAAGCGTTGTGACTTTAGAGTAATACGACAAGCATCGTCATTAATTGACTCGCATGCACAGCAGAGTTTTGTGTCCAAACAATAAGTACCGTCACTGCTTTGTACGGGATCTTTGTCTTCATTGTTCATAGAAATAATTCGTTTTTTCCGAATTTATTACAATAGCCGCGTGAGCAATACATCCAACCGCGACCATTGAGCCAATCACATACACAATAACCATCTTTGATTTGCACAACCAGTAGACATAGGATAGAAGTAATAGTCAAAAACTGATACAGTGAACCGATCGCGTTTCTTTTTTTGCTCTAAAAGACATAATAAAATTGAATAACATAAATGATAAGTTACATTAGTCAATCGAGAAAAGCCTGCCTTGAATAGAATTTTCAATATGTTTTTTTCGTATGAAATGATTATATATATATATATATGTTGCAGGAGAAAATAAAATTCAGTAGAATTTAAAATTTTAATCTCACCTAGGGCAAATTAAAATTTTTTGTATTTTTTATATAATTTTCCATTTTTCTGAAATAGGTAAAAATGTACTGTTTGTGTGATGGTGTGGGTGGATGTGGGTCTATATGTGGGTGTAGGTGTGGGTGTGGAAGGATATGAGCCCGTACTAATCAAACCCTCACCCTCATCCTCACCCGCACTTATATTGTGCATTCAAACTGACTTTGTACAGCTACACCCACACAGATGATTGACATTCGCACAAACATTCCTGTCCAGACCTCAAGACGATTATTCTTTTTTACCTATTTCAGAAAAATGGAAAATTATATAAAAAATACAAAAAATTTTAATTTGCCCTAGGTGAGATTAAAATTTTAATTTCTACTAGTAGAATTTTAATTTCTCCTGCAACATATACATATGAACATGAATAGCGCGAGAGAAGCAAAGAAAACTGAAAAACATAGAGAAGAGAAAAAAGTGAAAGCGAAATTGTTTGATGAAAAAAACAGAAGTTGTTAACAGCTTTAACTTCACTGCGTTCGGATATTGCTCATAGATATTATGAATACAAGTTTTAGATAGTATCTTTTAGATTTTAGATTTTGAAGAAGAAAAAAACTAATCGAAGTCATTCATCCAATATTGAGTGACTTCCCATTCGTGCATTTCAGTATGTACTTATCTCAAAGATAGTCACCGTAACAACATTGAGAACAACAAAATATCTTAATAATAATTATTGAAGAAACTCTATAGAGTACATATTCTTCGAAATTTGCAAAATTGACTGATATAAACACGCCAAATCTTTTCGATAGACAACATGTGAAAGAGATTGGCGATTAAAATAATCAGATTTTAGTATTTGTTGCTTTTCTTTTTGACAAATTTATGTTCTAGCAATATTAATAATTGTTAAAATATATTGAATTATCTCTATCGTAAAAACCATCGAGTATTTTAATATGTATTCACTAGAAAATTATATACAGAAGGGATAGTATTGGTATCAAATGTGTTTAACTCTTTAATATCGAATATAGTTAAAGTGGTTTTATTTAGAGAGATCCAAAATTCATAAATTCCATGCAGTACAGGCGAAAGAAAAGATTAATCTTTACGATGATCAAGAACAACATCCAAATTTTCTAATGGCGTCGTTTATTATTTTACTGTTTATATGTTTATACCATGTCAGGATGAGATCATGAAAACTATCGAATCAAATTTGATCTTCAAGTACATGAATGGTATTCATATTATAAATATTTAGATTATTCTATGTATGAAGCACAAAATAATCTTTTTCTACGATTTTATTTATTTAAAACAAAATCATAATCATATCTATCTAATTTCTCGAGACAGGCTTTTGGGTTCAACGACAACAATCATATAATTTGTTTTTCATTTATTTCTAGATAAACTATTTTCTATTTTACTGCTCAATTTTCAATATCTAAATCATCAATAATGGCTGTACGAAGATTACAACAAGATTTTCGAGAACTACTGAAAAATATTGTGGAAGGTATTGATGCTAGTCCTTCGTCAGACAATATTTTTTTATGGAATGCTATTATTTGTGGACCCGAAGAAAGTATCTATGAATCCGGTGCATTTCAACTACAATTAATGTTTCCAGATGATTATCCACTTCGTCCACCACAAGTTCGTTTTATTACCAAAGTTTTTCATCCTAATGTCTGGTGGGAAGATGGACTTATTTGTGTCGATATATTGAAAGATGGTTGGACACCATCTTATGATGTTTTAGCTATACTTCATTCAATTCGTCTTCTTCTTAGTGATCCAAATCCACTTAGTCCTGCCAACTTAGAAGCTGCTTTACTCTATCGGGATAATCGAGCGGAATTCAATCGACGTGTGATACAGTCGATTCAGGATACACTCGATAAAGATGATGAAATTGAATATGAAGCTAATAATAATAATAATAATGATAATAATAATGATGATGATGATGATGATGATGATGATGATGATGATGATGATGATGAGAAAGACAATGAAAGTGATGAGGCGGCTCAAATGGAAGATGGTGATACACTTCGTCAAAAAACAACAATTCTACGTCACAGCATTACTGAATGAAAATGTAATTAAATTAATTACAGAAAACACTGTTTTTCTAAACATTATTCTTTTCAGTTGCTGCCATGATTTCTTTTTTGTTTTGCACTTAGATTTATACTGTGTTTCTTGTATATTTGATGCATTTCTTTTTTTTTTCGTTTCTTGTAATTTGCATTGCCTTATTTATTTTTAATACTGCTGCATTTGTCATCATTTATACCATTGCATTTCAAATTATTTTAGCTACTTGCTTCATTATGACGTTTCAAAATAAAAGTATACTTTTCCAACTATCACCTATTTATTTATCCCTCGACAGGACAGAATGCATAAAAGGTGATGCGAACTTTGACTTTTTTAAGCTAAAGTCTTATGAGGTCAAGGTCTACGTAGTTTCAAAAAACTTATTCAAATGGCGTACTTATTATTCATGATACCTAATTCATTTTCGATGCAATTTTGTACAAAAATTGATGCAAAAAATCAGATTGTCTAGAGTGATCATATTTGGTTAATAGACAATGTCGTTTGAACTGATCCTATGAATACTTCACAAAATAAATATTGGGTCAAAGCAGTTAATAAATCTTCGAAAGACCTATACAGAAACGTTAATAGGTACAATTATCTAAGAAATATACCAGGTCTATATGACATCAATTATAAATGATGAAAGCAATTACTAATGAAATGATTTCATTGAATAAAAGATTTTCGTCTATCTTCTACAACGGCATCACCAAAAGATCCATTGACATACTATGGTTTCTATTGCATAGATTTTACATGCGTGAATAAAATATCTTTCCTAGATTTTCTATTCATTTCATTGTTCAATCTAGTTCTTTGCAAAGAGTGTCGTGTTTCAATATATGTCTTTTCAAATAAATTTCCGTTTTAACTATTGCTTAACAATTTATTATTAATTATACGTAGAATACGATATTAGAATCGTAGAAAGTTTTTGGAATTCTTATTATTTGCTACTTTCTATGAAATACTTATGATTCATACAAAGAAACTTGAAGTATTGTAGATATTTTTCATCGATTGAAATAATATTTTATTTAGAAATTTATAGCTAAACATAAATATTACAAAGTAGCATGTTTTATGTCAAAACATTTATTGATGCATTAACTAATTTGACTAAGTAACAAGTCAAACAGAAATAATACAATATATTCAACAAGTGAATGGCATTAAAATAAAGTTAATTTGAAGTGTACGGAAATGGTTCGATTGAAACATCAGAATGTGTAAGATTAGTTCCGAAAACAAGCAAAAATAAAAAATGAGATTCTGACGAAGTTTAAAAATATCTGACTCTAACATCAGACTAAGCTTTTCTCATATTAAACATTGATCATACTTAATGAAATCTTTTGATGTATAAATGTTGAATAATAAGATCTCGAACTTATTCTGTCATATTCCATTGATTTAAAAACAATAAACTTTAATTGCCAAAAATAATTTCTTGCTACAATATCTAAAGGTTCGATTCATTTTTTAAAACATTATTATATACCATCATATCGACGACTATAGCTTGTCCTATTTGATAGAGGTCAGTAGTATGCACAAAACTTGCAGAGGACAAATTATTTTCATAGATAAATATATTTAATATTTATTGATTGATAAATATTATAATTTTTTTTTTCATAATGAAAACAATAAAAATAATAAAACTTAAATGAAACCTTTTTTGAGATGTTGATTTATCAATCCATTTTTTACTGTTTACTATCCAATAAAATCCATTCATACATCAATAAACATTATTGCTTGTATTCGAAAAATGAAATTTCTTTTTTTTCTTCTATTTAATTTGTGCTTTAAATTTATTTTAGACCTCGTTAGCTTCTATTAAAAACAATTTTAAAAGGGCCTGTAAAATGTTGATGCCCAAGAAACATCGTACACTCATCTACGAATATCTAATGAAAGAAGGTGTTGTTGTTGCTGAAAAAAATTTCGGTCTCGATAAACATCCAGCTATTCCAGTGCCAAACATTCACGTTATCAAAGCACTTCAAGTTTGTTTTGAGAATTGTTTTTTATATTTTGCAGATCGAAAATTCTTTATCATTTTAGTCGCTTAAATCACGTAATTTGGTGAAAGAACAATTTGCATGGCGTCATTATTATTGGTATTTAAATAACGAAGGTACCAATTTCTTACGTGAGTATCTTAATCTACCACCTGAAATTGTACCAGCCACACTTAAACGACCAACAAGACCAGAAGGAGCTAAAACAGCTAAACGAGGTATGATTGGTCAAAGAATTTAAGAAACATTGAGATTTCATCGCTGAAAAATATTTTAGTCGATACAGCTCGACCAGCATCACCAACTGATCAAAGTCGACAAGATTATCGTCGCGGTGGATATGACAAACAAAGTGAAGTTGGTGCTGGCTCTGCTCGACCAGAATTCGTAAGTAGAATGCGTCCAAGAAAATAACAAAATTCTATGAATTTTTTCTTCTTTAGCGTGGTGGCTATGGTCGAGGTCGTGGATTTAGAGATAGTAACCGTGGTGGTGGCCCCGGTAGTGCTGAACAGCAATAAAGGAAATACAATAAACAAAATTTTTGTTATCACCATTTTGTGTTTGTTTTTGTAAGAAAAACCGCAGAAAAAATGTTTTGATGATAACAACAAATAATATTCGGCTCAAATAAGAATACATATAAAAAGCTGAAATATAACTCTCTAGATTCTTGTTTTAAAATCCGAAGAATAAAAAAAAAAAAACCTAAAATCAAAGTTTATCTAATGTTGAATGATTTTAGATCATAATTATATTAAACGATGGCTGCAACGTCAACCAAATTACGCCCGTTGGTTAAAGGAAAAATCCTTAAAAAACGTACAAAGAAATTTGTTCGCCATCAGAGTGATCGTTATTTTCGCCTTCGTGTAAGCGGAGTTTTCTTTTTATCCTATTCAGTTCATAATTCGAAATCTTTTAGCCAAACTGGCGTAAACCACGTGGTATTGACAATCGTGTTCGCCGACGTTTCAAGGGTGTTTATTTGATGCCATCAATTGGTTACGGTTCCGATAAGCGCACACGTCATATGCGTCCAGATGGATTTCGTGCGTTTCTTGTTAACAATCTTAAGGTAGGTTTCTTCAAAAACAAATCCCAATGAGCAATGATATAATATTAGTATTTTTACTTTTATTTGTTTAATTAGGAATTAGAAATGTTGTTAATGCAAAATCGTAAGTTCGCTGCTGAAATTGGTCACACTGTATCAGCACCAAATCGTAAGAAAATCATCGAACGTGCTCAACAATTAGCTATTAAGGTAACTAATCCAAATGCACGCTTACGTGCCGAAGAAAAAGAATAAACAACAATAAACATGTCAAACAACAGCAACGACGAGATATATTATTACAAAAATTATGTAAAAACATTGTTTTTGCGTATTTGCTTTGTTGGTTTCTCTGTTATTTGAATAAAAAAAAAAGATCATTGAGAAACAATATCTTGTCAGTTTTTGTTTGTTTTGAAAATTTTCAATCAATGTCAAAGACCTATAAAGAAGTTCTTCACTTGCTAGTACACTTATTTTTACCATTGTAAAATTCTTGTTTGATTGAAGATTTAGGAAAAATACTCATTGCAACTTATAACTTTATATGAAAAGAAAATGATAAGAATAAAAAAAAGAATACTTTCGAAAATTTATTTATACAATGAACCTAAAAAGTCTAACAGAAAATAATGTAGTAAAAGAACTAATAGCTAGGAATAACATATTTTCGATATTTAAATCAAATGAACATATGCATATGTTGAAAAACGAACAGATTTTTCCGATTTCAATCACTGTAGATTTACTAAATTCTAGATAAATCGTTCAGTGTCATTATTACTATGTTTTGCTGTTTCGTCCGAATAAGTTCTCCGGTAAATTAAATCCTATACATGGCTTAACTAAATATTTTATTCTGGATGCTAGTGTCAATAATATTGATGGACATGAGAGATCATCTCATAGTTATTAATCTTCTATTTTTCGAGATTCTCTGGAGTAATTATTCGCATCTATATCTATAAAGTCGATGATATTCATGGTTAATAAAAAAATGAAACTCATATATGTCTTGGCAGTCGATCGGTGTTATCGCTTATTTGATGTAAAATGTAGACATACATTTAAAAATATAATGCGATCTTGTTAGTACTTGATGGAAAAAAATCGATGATTCATATAAGTATTCTGTTTCACTGTGAATCATGTATTGAATAAAGAACGCAATCAACGACAATTTTATATTTGAAAAAATGTTTTACGCTAAAAAGTACTACGTCTCTTATTGTTTAAGCCGACGTTTTTTTATGCCTATGAAGAATGAAAGAAAAATTCAACATGCGATCGATGTCTGTATTTCTTTTTTCTTTCCTATTAATATAGTATATAACATGAGTTTAGTGCTGAATTGTGATTGACATATTGACAAACATTTTTATTATTAGATGGCAGAAGAAAAAGTAAGAGAAATATTTTTAAAAAGTCATAGTAGCGAATATTCTTCTTCAATACCGATCAATTGTGGGCTCTTCAAATTTGAAATCATTCTGACGTTTAGCTAAGTAGCCAAACGAAGAAATTTTTGAAAATATTAGCTATGAACAAATATTTATATTGGTACTAAACAATAAAAGTCTTGAACTTTATTTGAGATTAGTAATATAATAAGATTTTATCCAAATAAATAACATAGAAAACTAAACAGCAAGACCCGGCTCTGTTCATCGTATTGAATCTACATATGCTACAGGTTATTTAATGAACAATTTATTCCTTATACTCACCTGGATTTTTTTAATGCAACTCATTCCATGTACTTCATTCATACTGTCTTTTTTTCAGATATATAATTTTTTAGCTAATTTTTTCCCCTTGTTCAAGAACTTTCAACGATGTTTGTAAGTAACAAAACAACGAATGGGATTGAATTTGAATTTCTTGCTTACTTCTAGGCGCCAGAAAAGAATGTTTTTATCGTTGATAAAGAAGTAGAATAGATTTGTTTTGAATCGATGTGAGATTTCATAAAAATCTGTTTAGGAACCACACGCTAATGCGGTATGTATTAGTCAAAATGATATCCGAATTGATATTTCGGACGCCATTAGTGAAAAGGACAAAGTTCGATTTACTGTTCATACAAAAGTAAATTTTTATTTTGTATTACCTATAAAAAAAAATCTAACTGATTAATTTTTAAGAGTAAATCATCGATTTCCCATGAATCAGAATTCAGTGTTACACGTTTACATGAAGAATTTATTTGGCTACATGATCAATGTAATGAAAATGAAGAATATGCAGGCTTAATTGTAATTATTGATATATTTCTTGTAAAAATTAAGAATAGAATTCGACGTTGATAATTAATTTTTCTATTTGCTACCGAGTTTTCTGTTAAAACTAAAAATATAATCGATAATTTTCTTATATTATCAATTAATATCTAGCATCACTAGTACGAACGTTTACTGGGACGGAAGCAACCGATCAGATTGTTTCATCTTTCTCTTGAAACACAATAGACTGTGTTTACTGTTCGTTTTTACCGATAGTAAAAGATCCTGACGAGGATTAACATGTGTGCTAACAATTGTTTCTTAGTATCAGTCAAAGAAAAATTTTCTTCTTACGATTTGACATATTTCTTGATTTTATTGCCTAAGATCATTTTGGAGAGACCATCTTTATTCACAATTATTTTTTCTCGGAGAAGAGAATACTTCATCGAATTAATTAATATAGAACTTTAAAATGCATTATTAGATCCCACCGGCACCACCGCGACCTGACTTCGATTCATCACGTTCTAAACTACAAAAACTTAGTGACGGTGAAAGTTCAACAGAGCCAGAAGAATATGAAAAAATGAAACAAGAGCTTGAAGCGTAACTTCTAACAACTAATTATCATGCTTTTTCTATATTTTTTATTTCATCAAATTTAGTGAATATTTGGCAATGTTCAAAAAGACAGTTTCAATGCATGAAGTATTTCTTCAACGGCTTGCTGCACATCCATTTTTACGAAATGATAATAATTTTCGTGTATTTCTCGAATACAAAGAAGCTGTAAATACTTTGCAAAGCATCCTAAAAATTTATTCTTGACTTCTATGTTCAGTTAAACGTACGTGGTAAAAACAAAAAAGACCAAATCACTGACTTCTTTAAAACATTAACAAAAACAGCTGATGAAGTATTACTTGCTAATCAAAAGGTACATTGAATTCTCGTTAAAAATATCATAAGACATTTTGTTTTCCTATGTTTAACCATTATTGGTTATAATCATTAATAGAACTGAACTACAGAATAATTCATGCCTATTTTATTTAACTAGGAGAGTGATGAATTGTTTGAACAACAAAAAAAATTTCTTTTAATTTATAATGCGAAAATAAAGGATACAACAATGGCTGCTGAAAAAATAACAAAAACACAGAAGGGTAGAAAAATTCTTTTACTAAACTTTATCTCACTCAAACATATTTAGCTGTTAGTGATATGTATATTAAATTATCAGGTAATTTCAAAAGTTTATCAAAATCAGACAAAACTAATGAAGCCAGGTAGTAAACAGAAGAGCATTGAATTTTTTTCTTCTCTAATTTATTTCTATTGTGTTTTTACAGATTTTTCCTTCTACTGGCAGATTTGTTCGAAAAAACTCGAGTAAGGAATTTTTTGGTCACGCATATTTGATTATTGAAGTACCTTCATTGAAGAAAACAGAAACACGCATTCAAGCTGATATTGATCTTAAATTATCCGATACATTAAAATATTATATGCGCGATACAAAAGCTGCAGTGGATTTAATGTATCGGCGTTCTCGTTGTTTAGGCGATTTCGAAGCAGCAAATAAAAATTTAGATCGTACGCGACAAAAAATTAAAGATTCAGATTGTGCACAAGAAAAACCTAAAGATTTGCAGCAAGCAGAAACAACTCAACAATGTATAAAGCAAAAATTCGAAACCATTTCAGAAAAAGCAAAACATGGTAATAGAAACTATTTCATAGTGAAATTTGTTTAAAAAAGAATCGATTTTTAGAATTGAATGATTTTAAAATTCGACGTGTACAAATGTTTCGAAAAAATTTAATTGAATTAACTGAACTTCAAATAAAACATACTAAAGTAAATGTTAATTAATTGTTTTGCATAAAATAAAAATTTGTTTCTTAAGTCTCAAATACAAACGATTAAAAACATCAAAGAACAACTTGATGCAATCTCATAAAAATATCATTCAAATAGTGTTTATTCTCAACCAAAAACTGTGATTTTAACAAAATTGATATTAAATAAGTATATTGTTTATTGATAAAACTTTCAAAAAACTCAATTTTTATCAATTTTTTGTTCTGTCATAGTTTCGTTTTTGCTTCTTTCTATGGCATCTTCCATTTTTATAATCATATTTTAATAATTCATCTCATATTACTTAAAACAGCATTGAATGAGATCTATATTCTGGAATGTTTTAAATAAAATCCACAAAAAATAATATACAAATTTTAAACAATTTATTTTTAATTCGGATTTGTTCTGGAAGAAAAGATATACAATATTTTGTCTGAATAGATGTTGTCATAAAGTATTCTTACTAGTAATTACTAATCTATCCTGCATAAAGGCAACAACAATAAGCACCGAAAAGTTTTTATATTTCGAAAATAATACTTCAAGAATATAAATTCTTTCATAACACGAGATAAAACATGTCGATATCGGTTTGTATCTCATTTCGTTTTGAGAATTCGCCATCGTGTATATCAGAATGAACTATGAATACTAGATAAAAAAAAAAGAGATAAATCTAAAGTATAAAATATTTCCAAATTGTTGGGTTCATTCTTCTTAACATGTATTACATTCAGAGTAGGCACCCGTTTGTCTAAATAGTATATTGAGTATCTATGGGCAGCATTTTAGTCTCATGTAATTATAAGTCATGTTTATGAAACATGTGTTTTCCCATAGATATGTCGTTACATACAAGCTCAAATGGAAACTAAGTCGTTGACAATAAAATATATATTCAGTTTCTCAAACCGAATTTGAATTTCAAAGTCAATAAACATATATCTGAATAGTCTTATCTGATCAAGTTCAGGTACTATAAAAAAAAGAATAGGAAAATAGTTCATGCTAAGAGAAAATATAAGTGTTTTATGTTCATAGACAGACATTTGTTGAATACTTCTGAATAAATTCCATTTATCATTTCATTGTCGTCAAGAATTATATCTGTCGATATTTCCCGATATTATCACAACAATGTTCTTCATAATCAAAAGGAGTATGGTCCAAATAGCTTCATGTGTTGCGATGACGTGAGATATATTAGATACTCGACGGTCAGTTAATATCACCTGTATTAAGTTTTCGATAATTTCGATACAAGAATTGCATTTATCAAAGATTTAAAGCAAAAACAAGAGAAAGAACTTTTGATATAATACTGTTTGAATTATGAAAATAAACAAATCAGAATTTTAAACGTTTCTATTAGTTGATGCATACAGTATCTTTAAAGGTAATGCTTCGCAGAAGCGTTTTCATTGAAATTGAAATTAATATCTTTTTTTTACAGGAAGTTCTTTCAGCTGTTTTATTCAATGAATATGCAATTGAAATATCATATAAAACACTATTTTTACTTGATCATCTATATTATCTAAGGTAAGTCAATAGGCTATATAGCTATATGTTCCTAGTAGTTGTTAGATTTCACTGTTGAAATTTAGAAATAAATATAGATGCAAAGCTATACATAAGATGGACGCATGTCACCCCCTATAGATGTCACATTACATTTGAACAGAAAAGTTTTGATTGGATCGTTCCAAGCATCCATTGCATACAAAACTTTTAATAGCTGTTCGCTTTTTCTTTTCTTTCTTTTTTGTTTATTCGTAAATCTGTCAATGGTATATATTTTATTTAATTGATAGAATGAATAGGTCTTCGTTAATTCAATCTAATTCTACATTAATATCCGACTTACCACTTCATTCATTAAATAGCAACACCATGCGACAACAAAGACAACAGCGTCGTCATAATATTCGTTTATCATCATCGATAATTGATTCTCATTTAGTCAGTTTATATGGTCAGTTAGCAGCACTTGAACAACAAAATTCAAATCCTGCATCACTTGATTCAAATCGTCGAAATGCTTTAGTTGAAACCTATCATTACAATCGTTTACAGTTAAAAGCTCGTTATAAAATTGAAGAAGAACGTATTGACCGACGATTTAATTTAGAAACACGTTGTACACGAGCACATTTTGCTGCAAAAAAAAGTGAACTAAAAGAACTTCTACTAGATCGCCTTCGACGTAAACGCAAATTAGTTGTTGATGAAATGCGTTCAGCAATTGATATACATTCCCGTTCATTTGATGTTGATCCATTACTGGTTACTATGCAACCACCACATCCATTACAAGCTAAAGCATACAACTTCCGACAACGACCTGATATGGGACAGCAAACATCATCATCATCATCTAGTATTAATGATGATGAATTTTCAACGTTATTAACCATGAATACTGTTGGTACAAGTGGAATATTATCACCGATGCCACATCAACAAGCAGCAAGAAAACGTCTCGTTGGAGCATTCAGTGTATTTCAATTGCCAAAATGGACTGTTAGAGATGATGAATGTGAAGATGATTTAAGATTAATATCCAATTATCGAAAATAGTTTTTGTTCCATTTATTATCTCCGATCATATATATATATATATATATATATATGTAAATCGTATTAGAAAAGAAACTTACCTGTTTTTTTGTGTAATATAATATTTTCCGTTTATCCTTTGCTATGTTTAGTGATTTGATAGTATTTTGTTTGTTTTCTTTTATTTTAGATGATAAGTTCTATTTAGTTTTAACAAAAGAAAAAAGTGTAAATATTAACTATGTGCTCAACTGAGCCAATGGGACCAACATCGATTTTAGCATCGAAAAAATTATCAAATAAAAAAATATCATTAAAAATGGTTGAAAAACGTCTTAAACATTTACGAGAGGAATTAAAGAATTTGACACAACGTAACATAACTGATGTAACAAGTAATCTTCTTAATGAACTACAATCCAGTAATAATGATGAACATCATGTGCAATATAAAAAACGTGTAAATCATTTGTTAAGATTACATGATAAACAAGTATGACATATGTTTGATTTACATTTTTTTAGAAAGATATTGTTATCTGATAGTTGCAAAATAATTTCTATGTAAAAAATTTATCAAACATAGCTGAATGGAATCCTTATGATTCTTAGCAAGTAGACTTGACATTGAAGAGCTGCAGGAAAAGTTCTTGTCACACTCTTTACTTTACTCTTCTATCAATAAAAACGAATGCTATTTTTGATTTTGGAGACTAAAATTTAAAAAACCCCTAATTCTTAGTGAATAAGAAAGAAAAGTTTTTTTCTATCATTGCTGTTTACACTAAACTCATTTTGAATATTTCATTCCTAGTAAAAAGTCTTTCTATAACTAATAGTTCTTATGGGAAAATTTTTAATACATCAAGTGAGTATCATTGTATGTCGACTTATGTTACGGTGTTCAAGAAGATTTTTTACATATGATATTTATATTTAAGGTAAATAATTTAAATCTCTGGCGTTTTTTTCGATCCCATACAATTGAACACATGTACGGATATGAATTACGGCAGTCCGATGAAACATTTCAAACGAAAAGAAATGATTTTAAATCGAAATTATTATCAATATATAATGACAAACGTCGTTATTTAGATTTTGAACATCAAAATGTAAATATTCGTCGTCGTCAGTTTCCCAATCATGAACAATTTATGCTCAATAAAACAAATAATAATAATAATATTATTCAATTCGATGGACATAATCATCATCCAAATGAATCTGCTCAACAACAACAACAACAACAACGACCAACATACAATTTAAGACGAACAGTAGTAAATGATTTAATTTCTGAAAATGCGCCAACAACGTCATTAAAAGATTTATCTATATTTAGTAGAAGTAGCTCTGTATTACCACCATTTGGTGGTATTGAGTTACAACGTTGTTTATCAAATAATGATATTGAAAAAGATATAAAAGATATTCAAGATGGTCTCTCTCATAATGAAATAACAATTGAAAAAGATTCGTCAGAAATTAAAATCGACGATTTACAATCTAAATCTGTTATTGATGTTCGAATTGAAGACGGTCGTTTATGGTATCAACGAGCATGGTTCTCCCGTAATTCGCCGATACTTTTAGTTTTTGATGATCTTGAAATAGTTCCTGCACTTGTTTTAACGGTGGGTCGAAATGATTTACTTGTACGTCGTTCGGGAACAAACATAAAACATCGTGTTAGTCTTTCACTTTTGTATGATGGTCATTTAGCTATTCGAAAACGTAATTGTATCTTTTAAACTACTGTAAGAATGATCTTGTTTATCACATATTTTCTTTTTCTCCTATACAATTTTATGGCAAAAAAACACGAAATATCCTACAACGAATGTCTTGGTTTTATTTTTTTTGAATAAATTTTTCTTTTCCTTTTCTTTTCTTTTCTTTTTATTTGAAGATGTCATCATCAAATCAATTATCACAAGATTTCGCATTTTTTATTCATCATTCAGCGGATTATCGTACACTGACAATTCCCGCTAATCTTGAACGTACATGTTCGATTTGTTTGAATTTATTAACAACAATTCCATCAGCACGTGAAGCTATTTTTGATTATTTTAATTCTTTGATTAGTATTGGTGTACATTGTTTTATTCAAAATGATTCATTAGTATCAAGTAAAAATAATCATTTGATTAGTTCGCAGAAATTTTTCCTATGATTTTTATTTCTTGTAGGTGTTAGTGATTTATTAACAACAATTGAAACGAAGTTAACATCATTAGCTATTCAATCTAATAGTTGGGCAAATATTCTTGCACAGGTAAATTTCAAGTTTTTCATATTAATGTCTTAGAACGAGTTTTATTATACAAATATAAACTATTTAAAAGAAATAGATGAAAAGTTAGTTTCTGAAATGAGTAGAAATTATTGCTCAGTGTAATCAAGGCAAGATAATTGAAAAAATAAAAATAAACAAGAGTAGAACAATCAAGTAGTTTATTTTACCATAAAATTCTTCAGAAAGATTCGGTTACAAACTTTGAATATTTTTTATTTCTGGCTCTGTACAAATATTCTTCCTACAATAAAATTAAACTACGACGAATATTTTTTTGAAAAAATCGAAATACTCCGTATAAAGTCAAATAATGGTTTTAATCTAGTCGTTAGTTTGTTTTTGTTTTCGTGCAGTACATCGAGTTATGTACAAAGTGAAATATCACAATGAGTAAAATATTTCTTCATTAAAATGATAGTTTCTGTAGAAATCGATTAAAATAGTCACTGTTTCAAAAACTGCTTTAGACAGTAGAGAAGATTGTGAAGAGTAACTATTTCTTTTTTAAAGTGGACAATTGATCAATTGTTTAATTTGACAATACGATATACTAATGAAGCAGTTGTTAAAAAATGTAAAACGCTCGAAGATCGAATTCAATTATGGACACAGTGTCAAGCAGCAATGACACTAATTAAAATATGTTCAGCATGTATTTTACATGAGTATGTATTACAAATTTATGAATTTATTTTTGATCAAATCAGTATTGTTTTCGTATGTTTTAGTACAACAGCAGCAGATAATGCGTTGAATAAATATCTTGAAGCATCAACTCTTATTCGACCTGAATTCGATTGGGTCACAGTATCGTTAAGGTTTAGTACAAAAGTATTTTGTACATCACAATTATTTTCTTATCCAATATTTAGTTTACGATGTGGTCAAACACTTATATCACGGTTAATTCAACTGAGTTTACAAGAAAAAAATCAATCACAATTGCTACATGGTATTGAACGAATATTTGCTGTTTGGTCATCACTTGAAGTAATTGCTAAACAAGAACCACAAATATTTCATCAAGTTTTAATGGAACAAATTCAGGTTTACTTCTATATTAAAGAAAAGCAGACATATAAATAATAGAGATTCTCTTTATCTTGTAAATAGTTGTTATTAACAAATGATGATCCCCAAAAACACGTCTCAATTGTCTCATTAATACGAATGGCATCTGCAGTTGTTACTGGTCCTTTATGTGATATTGTCTATTATTCACTTTATCGATCTCTTAATGCAATTAGTTTACGTCGTTTATGTTCATCAATACGACAAACAAATACGATAGACATTGAACAGTAAAATATTCCGTTGAAAGATGTTTTTATTTTTATTTTTTACAAAACGTTTTTCGTAAAGGTTAACGGAAGAATTTATATCTGGTCTTATACGAATTCGAACTGATGCATTACAAACAATTCAGTTTATTTTAAGTTTTATACATGATGATACATCAGCAGGTAAAGATTTTTAGACACGTCATGTTTTAAATTTTTTTATTACTCCTTATACCTCATATAATTCATAGATCAGGATGAAATTGAATTAGCACTACGTGATTGTTGTAAATACATTTTACAAAAATTATGTCATGAATGTCATTATAAATTTCGTTTACAAAAAGATAATCAAAAACCAAGTATTCCAATCTTAGCTGCATTACGAATTTCATTTGATCATCTTCTCGATTTATTAATTTTTACAAAGCATCCCGAAAAAATTAATTTAATCAATGATTTATGTTTCAATGTCGCACTCTATAATGGGGATGAAACTATGCTTAAATATCTTCAACATATATTTACCAGTAAAACTTCAGTAAGATATGATTCACAAGAACGAATTTGGTGATTTCCTAATAATTTGAAGCAAGATTAAAACTTGAAAACTTTCTAGCAGAAATCATATCAGAGTTGCCAAACGAGACAGTTCGAATGGGGTATAATTTTATAATGAACCAAAAGTGTACACATTTTAAATAGTACAATATTCGGAAACTTATTATATAGTGAACCGGTCAGTTTACCAGAATAGTGTTAAATTCGTACTGGTATCTGTACAACTTTAATTAATATAATTTCATCCATATCATTTCTGAGATTGAATTCTATCGAAAAAAGCGTGAATCAAAAAGATACTCATAATTTCTGGATTTGTACCTATACAGAATATTATTTTCATTGGAAAAGTATTGATGAAAAATATAAAAATTTCCTAGTTCAATTTCAAAACATACGATAAATATATTGTTTTTTGATTCCTATCAAGTTTAAATCAAATTTCGTAAGTAATTGGTGCCTACTGTCTTGAGTAAGAAATAACGTGGACTATTCATCGCTCACAAGCAGTAAAATCATAATATAAATAAATTTATAAATACAATTTTGTCTCCAGAAAATAAAATAGAAGTATGATAGTGAATAAATGTTAACCTATTCATATGAATTCGTGTAGTCTTCTCAGAAATGTATCTCTACTGATAGGTTTTAGCAGTCAACAAGTAACTGGTTTTTTAATTTTTTTCTTTATAAAAAAAAGTTCGAATTGAATATTATTTTTTGTTTGGAGACTGCATTTATTTTTGAATGTACAATTGAGATTTGAACAACGAAATAAAATAAAAGTATTGATATCATAACATTATTTACATTTTATAGTTAGTTAGAAATACCTTCGAGTAAAAGAGAACACTTCTGTGCATATCTACTGGCAGGCTATTCATCGGATCTAGTAATGAAGTAGAAAAATCAATACTCAGTTAAGGATCATAGAAAAGCTGAAATGAATCCACATTCGCTAATCATATTAATAGTTTAACTATGTTGATAAAACGGTTAAAATTCAATGATTATCGTGAAGTCGTGTATCGATCATTCACTTCAATATAGATTTTAATTTATTATTTTAGTTTGATATTCTACAAGATATACATGTAGAATTTGACTATTTTCATCCAAATTGTTTTCATGATGCACTTAATTTAATATTTGAACACGATGATACATCAAAACTATCAATTTGTCTTGAAAATGTACTGGAATTAATGCTTATGGATGAACGTCTACTATCAAATAGGTATGTTTTCATGTGATTTTGTTCTATATTCTATACTATTGTATTTTAGTCGTTCAATTCAATCAACAATATGGTCATTAATTGATCATTTTAATCGATTATTAAATGAAAATTCAATAAATTCAAATACTATTCTTCAAATATATCTTCAATTAAAATACTATGAAACTCAACCAACATACGAACAAATTATACAAATCGCTTGTTCATTTACAGATATACATATGAAAATAATTGAAGATAATGAAAATGATTTAATTGATAATTTAATTCTTTGGCGTGATGCTGTTTTGAATTTTATTCATTTTAATAATCATGACTTTCATCTTTTTATTATGATAACATTAATTGATTTTCTAGTTCCAAAATTGAGCGTAAGCAAATTGAATTTCCTTCGAATCATACATGTTTTTTTTTGTTAGCCTTTTGATAAACTCGATGATGCAAATGTAAATCGTCGACAAATCGATACGACAAGCTCCCTTCTTGAACAAAATCTTAGTATTAATACAATTAATTCCAATCGAGTATTATCGCGTTCATTTAAACGAAATTTAACCAATGATCGATTCGTTAAAGTTCCATTACAAGTAAGAAAAAGAAAGCTAACTAACTAACAATTCATTTGCATTGCTCTTGTTTGTTTTAAGCTTATTGAACAATATACAATATTAATGACAAATATTTTCAATGAAATTATTTATAATGACAATGCACAAAAACAAACATTACTTAATTGTTTAGCAACAACATTAATTGATAATATTTTACCAGATTCGACAATGGATTTACAATTTGATGATGATCAATGTAAATCGCCCAATGAAAGGTAAAATTTCGAATGAATAAAAATAGTTTTTCTATTAAATTACTAATTAATTAATGGGAAAACGTCAGCTACTCATATTTTTTCCAGTTTTTCTTTGAATCAATAGGATTAAAAACTTCAGAGTTACTTTTCAGCGGTCAAATATAGCAGCTTTTTCATGACAATACTATTTCGTTTCTTGTTTACATAACGCTTCTATTCAGTAAGATTTTAGAGTCATCTTCTGTAATCGAATAACTTGAATGGCAAGCACAAATTTTCAAAGAAGTTGAAGGTTTCGTACCAATGCTATTTAAAAATTCTCACGTTCTTGGATATCTACATTCATTTATTAGATGGTGCAGGACGAAATATTTCTTAGAAGATCACTTTCGAGCAGTATTATGAAAGGTCATTACTCTACTAGTATAAGATGGCTGATCGATTCACTGGCAGACGATCGAATAATGCGCGACGTTCATGAAACTCAACATCAGTGCCGATGATATACTGATCTCATTGGAACCACAGAGGTATCCCGTCGTGCTCTCAAGCGATAGTTAGAAAAAGTTAGGAAATGAACATTAAATGAATTGATGTATCTAAAGATATGCTGTCTTCGTTTACTCTTGAAAATGTATTTGAAATTGTTCGATTACTAAAATGTTGATAATGTTTAGTTTTAATTAAATTGCTTCATACCAGACAATAAATATTATATGAACTCATAAGAAAAATTGAAGCTCATCGAGAAAAACAGGAAGTGTTGATTAAAGCAACTTCGTTTAATTGAAATTTACCAATATTTGTAAGTCTTACGTTAGATTGCCTGCGTCTTCTTACGTTATTCTTACCAAGTTTGTCTCTGTCCTTGTTTCACATTAGTGTCTAAAAATACTTCTCCGACAGCTGTTATTTTCTCTTGTACAGCACAAAACACACTTTTAGGCAAAATAAACGAGATCAAACACATGATCTTTGAGAATTTGTCCTTGTGCCGAGTTTTCAATTGAATGATGAAAATGTCAAGTTGTCTCTTGTGTGATATCTGTATTTATTTATTTATGCCGTATATATTTATTCAATGAATCCTAATAGGTTATACTTGTTCTTTATTGTCATTGATAGAAATTTGGCATTAATTCGACGTCTTGATGAACAACCACTTGTATGGATATTTCTTGAAATAATTGCTACAGGTTAACTATTATATGTCAATGCTTTCCATTCGATGAAAAATTCTTTATTTTTAGATACAAATGCTTTTCAATTGTGTTTACCAATAATTCGATGTCTATTAAGTGCTCTAATTGTTCAATGGGAAAATTTACGAGGAGAAGATCGAGCAAAAATCTACTTAAAACAATTAACTCTTTCAACTAATCTAATTATTTTACTTAAAAAAGTAAAACTTCCTTTTAACTTGTCATTTTTTGTCACATATTTTTATTTTTAGGCACGTTATCTTCCATCACCATTGAATGAAATCTATGAATTATTTCCGTTTGTTACAGCTTATGATTGTTTTATACTTTTATTAAATATATGGAATTATTTAAAACAAAATCAACAGATCTTAACTGTAAAATCACAACAAACACAACAGCAGCAAAATTTTGTACGTGATCCATTATATTTTGATCCAATTCGATTTGTAATACAAAAGAATATTGCGGACGTTGGACATATAGCTGAACATTTTCTTCATTTACAATTACAAACAGCTGTATCCATCACATGACAATATACTATTCATGTAGTTCTTTCTTCTTTTGTGTATATTCAATCCATCCGGTGAATGAGCTCAATAAAAAAATAAAATAGCGTATGCCAGAAAGAGCAAATAATTTGATGTCTCCAATGATGAACGCATACAACAGATTGTTTTGACAGATGATAATGTTAGGAATATAAGTGTAAAAAACACTAGCAATCTAGAACTTTTTGTTTCTACTTCATTAGTAAATCTGTGCAATGTGCAGTGGATCAGGTACAAATAAGAAACAAATGGTTAGGATCGATAATAATAAGCACTTGCCTAATGTATATGATAAAAGAAAAAAAACAAAGTTTTACCATGCTCTAGATTTAGCGTTTTCATAAATGGAAGTATTTTAACGACAGCTTAGTTTTGGATGCTTCCTGCTGAAAAAGAAATTGAAAAATAGTTCGGAAGGAAGACATGACGATTTACAATATTCAATCCCCTTTTAACATCTACCACTATAATGTTAACAGCAATAATTTTCTCACTATAAATATAGACTCTAACTGACACTTGAGAAAATCCATCATAGAAATAAAAAAAAAGAAGATTTTGCTAATAATAATAATAATAATAATAATAATAGTCGCAGAAATTTCTGAATAAGCTTAGCAGAAAATGGTTCGAATCTCAATGTAAAATTCATGCAATATCAAGCAATGAAATTGATTGAACAAAAATAGAAGAAGATGATTATTGACAATGGCATTGTTTTTTTTTATTATGTATATCTTATTGAATAGAAAAAAAATCTATAATCAAATTTGACAGCTTGTTGAAAGCTGCTGAACTATCATCTATTATCGTCTGACATGTCAATAGACGAGTGCAATGAAGTATTGGATGCGACCGATACTATCAATTATGAGTGTCCCAGATTACTTGATATTACTTGATTGATCAAGAAGCTTTCATCACGATGATGAACAATGCCAAAGCAAATGTTATGCCATTCTTATTTACTTCCCATTAGTCTCAAAGATATATCTCTCGGGTAAGAAACGACTTCAGAAGTGATGATAGGAAAATAGTCATGGGTATTCGTCTTCTTTTTTCTTGTTACGTATTTCTTGTACATGTACATGCATGTGTGGCAAAGAAAGTTCGAATGCTTTACTTTTCTCTCAAAAAATTTTCATTGGTATAAAAATATACTCAGATAACGGTAGCAAGACAAACTGATATTTTCAAAACTAATCAGATAAATAAAATGGTCAATATGAAATTTGGATATCTGTTTTCTAAAAAGAGTATCTAAAAAATGTTGAGTCAAATATAATTCCGCTCATATAAATCATTAAGTAAAAATATTCATCATCTACATATCAATAATCTTTGGCTGTTTTTGTGTACTCAAAAAGCGAGTACACTCCAGATTCGGTCAAAGTGTCCGGCCGTTAACACGATAACTCTTGAAAGCCTCATCCAATTGGCATGAAATTTTGTACACAGAATGATCTCTCATCAATATCTCAGTCGAATTCAAAGATGAGAAGGATCCGTCAAGAAATGGCCGAGTCATCGAAAAAATTGTCATTATTGATCAGACCATCCCTGAGGCGGAGGGGGATACAGGGATTTATTCTCAGAATTATTCAAAAATATATAAATCGACTCAGTTTTTGCAGTACACATAACAATCGGATGCAAATCCGATGTTTCCTCATTTTTATATATTGTAAAACTACTTCAATATTAAACATTTCGATAATCGTCGTGTTCTCTACCTGAATAATCAAATCGATTTTCAATTTGCTATAAGTTATTCTACATCATGTTCCCCATCGTCATGAATCGGAAAGGAAAGCTCTGTTGATCGATGCAAACTCTCTCTTAGCATTTCCTCTTATAGAACTAATGACATCTGCTGACCAAGGTTCTTCTCCATTGGTTCTTATTACAAGCTAGCACGTTAGTTTTTTTTACGTCATACCATTAACTCAACCACATTTGCCTTCTGACATATATACGCGTTCTGTATAAACACCATTGAACCATATTAGAATTCAAATAATTGTTTTTATTAAAATACGTATGATGATATTTATCGATCATATAACTGCTAGTCTATTTCTTCAGGCATTTGTTCATAATGATATATGTGATGATGCAAAACTGTTCCTATTTTCATTTGTTGTTCATCTTTTATTCGTCAAAATTTTCTATTTGACTTTTTTGGCAACTAAAAATCAAAAAGCAAACAACAAATATTGTTTGTCATTTTTATTCAAATATTACATACAAAGTAAACATGAACATTAAATCATCTATTTTCAAGTATGTATCTATCTTTTGATTATGATTGAACTTCAAATATTCTTATATCAATTTATATTCTATTAGGATTATATTATTGAAAGAACAATGAAAGAGCGACAACGATTTAAATACTTGAATATCATTTGAAGAAATAAATGACAATTATAAAGCATTGAAACACTAGCAGGTAAATTAAAGAAGAAACTCTTGAATTTTGTTTTCTAGATACTCAATTATTGCAATATGTTTAGATCTAAACCACAAGACAATAAATATTAAATCTAATAAACAAAAGGAAATTATGAGAATGTGGAATATCTAAATATTTTATTATCATTAACCAATATTGCCTTCAGCTACTAAATGTATTATAATAATTCAAGAGTGTGCTATATATTACGTATTTTCTATTAAATGATGAATTTAATCCAATGAAGAAATTCTCTCTCTCTCTATATATATATAAATATATTTTATTTTAGATTTCTCTTTCTGCCAATAAATATGTTGCTATCATGGACAAAGTATTCATCAATTTGTAATCGACTAATACATACAGTAGCAAAACAAAAATCAAATGGAAAAAAGAAAGTTATTGTATTAGGTGCTGGATGGTAAGTTGCATTTTAATCGGTCATTTGTGTATACAATATTTAACGTTGATTCCATAGGGGTGGATTTCAATTCGTTCGTTATTTAAATCGAAAAAAATATGATGTGACATTAGTAAGATTATTTATTTTCTTACAGAAAATTATCCTGACTCGATTTCATAAAGATAATTAGCGGAAAATCTTCGAGAAACTTGCGGAAGTTAAAAACCTTGAAATGAATTGTATTCGATTTCTGTTGAGATTAAATCTAATCAATAAAGGACAGGGGCGTATAGGATACCCTATCGACCCATTCCGCTTTTTTTCATCTCAGCCTAGTAAAGTTACATATGAATTGAAAGCTCTCGTTGAAACAAGCATTTTATACTAAATCCGTCAAGAAAAATTCATTTCAAAAAAGTTATGGACACAAACAAAAATTGATTATTTGACTATTTCTCTTAGAAACGATCGTCCCTGTTCGACACAAATGTATCACAAAAGAACGCTTTGAATATCCATCATTCGATAGGCATTTTTAAGCGCTCAAAATAGGATGCTTAGAAAAGTAAAAATACATTGACCACTTGATGATCATTGCCGAAAAACCTTCATAAACCATCATTTTTTCATTTTTGTTCATATTTCGACGAAGATTTTTGGTGAAAATCGAGATGAGCCATTTTTCTGATGTATACCATTCTATAGACATTTTTAAGCTGTACAAAATAAGATGATTACGAAAGCCAAAAAACATTGGTCACTTAAAGATTTCTGCGGCATTCACTTTTTTGAGCGGTGATTTTTGCTGTTTTTCTCTACTCTCTCTTGGATTAGGGCCAGTAAGATTTCAGTTGTTGTAAACAATTGTGCTATATTCGGAATCAGCATCCAAAGTTGAGTGGGTTTAATTGCATTTCAAATCTTTTCGAGTAATTAAATTTTGGTCGAAGAAATTCCCTGCACTCCCCCCAAGGGTGGGTGGAAATATTAATTTTATTAAAACAAGATTTCGACCATAATAATGAANTTGGTCGTAGAAATTCCCTGCACTCCCCCCTAGGGTGGGTGGAAATATTAATTTTATTAAAACAAGATTTCGACCATAATAATGAAGTTCTAAACATATAAAATGATATTAGAACTCGAAATAGCAAAACGTTAAAAGAAAATGAAGGGATTCTGGTGAAATTAATATTTCCACCCACCCTTGAGGGGGAGTGCAGGGAATTTCTTCGACCAAAATTTAATTACTCGAAAAGATTTGAAATGCAATTAAACCCACTCAACTTTGGATGCTGATTCCGAATATAGCACAATTGTTTACAACAACTGAAATTTTTCTGGCTCTAATCCAAGAGAGAGTAGAAAAAAACAGCAAAAATCACCACTCAAAAAAGTGAATGCCGCAGAAATCTTTAAGTGACCAATGTCTTTTGGTTTTCGTAATCATCCTATTTTGTACAGCTTGAAAATGTCTATCGACTGGTCAACATGAGAACAGTTCTATTGTGATATATTTGTGTTGAAAATAGGACTCTTTTCAAGAGAAACAGCCAACTAGTCAACTTTTGCTAGCTTTCATAACTTTTTTGAAATTCATTTTTTTGGTGACAGATTTAGTATCAAAATGCTTTTCTCAACGGCAGCTTTCATTTCATATATAATTTGACTATGTTCAGTTGAAAAAATCGAAATGGGCTGATAAGGTATCTTATACGCCCCTGTCCTTTGGTAGTAAACATTTAGACATGACAAAAAAAAATGATCTTTAATATCATATCGTTTAAATGAAAAACTTATTTTTATTTGACTTGAAGTTAGTATACTAATGAACAATTGTTTTCCTCATGAATGATTTCATACGGAAATTTGTTTCTTCCCTTTTTATTTATGCCATTTTCTTTATCAACGTATAGATATACATAAAGTATGATTATTTGCTAAGGATATGCTATGTTTAAGATTTCACCACGTAATCATTTTCTCTTTACTCCACTATTACCATCAACAACTGTTGGTACATTAGAATTTCGTTGTATTATCGAACCGGTTCGTACGCTTCCAAATTTACAATACTATCAAGCGTATTGTGATGAAATTAGTCATAAAACGAATCAAATACGTTGCCGAGATTATTTCAATAGAAATAAAGAATTTTCACTTGATTATGATTATCTTGTCTGTTGTCACGGAGCTCAATCAAATACATTTAAAGTACCTGGTGTTGAAGAACATGCATTTTTTCTTAAGCAATTGTCTGATGCACGCGCTATACGCAATCGTCTTATGGAATTATTTGAACGAGCATCAAATCGATTCATCTCTGAAGAAGAAAGAAAAGCACTGACAACATTTGTAATTGTTGGTGGTGGACCAACTTCAATTGAATTTAGTGGAGAACTACATGATTTTATTATTGAAGATGTTGCAAAATGGTTTCCTGATGTTAAAACACGTGTGATTGTAGTTGAAAGTACTGATCATATTTTAGGATCCTTTGATTCGAAATTAACCGATTATGCCATGGGGATTTTAAAATCACGTTCAGAAATAACACTAAAAACGAATACACACGTTAAACATGTTGGTCCAAATGAAGTTTCACTTAGCAATGGTGAAGTTATTCAATGTGGAATTACAGTATGGAGTACAGGTAAGAAAATATTCTAGAATTAAAAAAAAGGAAGGAAGCTTGCTCATATGATATTTTCATTAGTATTAGAAAGATAAGAAGGCTGAGATTTAATATTAAAAATATTTTTCAACAAGCTTTCAGCACAATCCCTGTCGAAGTATAATATAAAACACTTCATGCCTTAATGAAGTATTTCTTTCGATGTTAATATTGTAAACAATGATTGAATATAGTATACCATAGAAAAGTATGAAACTTTTATCTAGTTAGTAGTTTTATCGTTTTGTTTCTTCTACATTATCATCCAAAGAATCATTAGAAAAAAAAACTGATCTGTTCGTATTTAACTAGGTTTCTACTTGCATATTATTACATATGACATCATTTCTTTCTATTTTAACATCTAAGGAAATCTCTCATTGAGATACAAAACGTCACGAATTTCTTATTGGATAATTGTTTTGTATTAAATTAAATAAACAAGAAACTTAAATCCATGTCAAAAGAGTTCAATCACTACCCAGTGAATAAATCTCGTATAATGTTTTCATAATTCATCGTGCTTATTACTTTTGATATAACAAATTCACAACATTTTAGGACTATCTCCAAGTAAATTGACATCAAGTTTACAATTCTTAAAAGAAGAACGTTCGGGAAGAATCTATACAAATGATCATTTACAAGTATTGTGTGATGATAAAACAACAGTTACTAATATGTTTGCACTTGGGGATTGTGCAACACCAATGGATCATTCATTACCAGCGACAGCTCAAGTGGCAGTGCAACAAGCAAAATATTTAGCACAAAGATTAAATAAAAAAGATTTCCATTTAAAAGACCCAAAGGATATTAGAAATGATGATTATTCGAAATTTAATTTTAATAATGCCGGTATGCTAGCCTATCTAGGTGGCTATGGTGGTGTAGCTGATTTGAAAAAAGCAAAAGCAACTGGTTTCTCATCATGGTTATTATGGCGTTCTGTTTACATTACTCGACTTGTTAGCTTTAAAAACCGTTTACTAGTGTAAGTGAATTTTTCAATTGATTTTTTTCCAATTTATAATTTAACTTCTATTTTCAGTGGTATGTTTTGGTTCAAATCATTTGTATGTATTGCACTTTTTTATTGTCAAATGTATAATTAATTAATTTTCGTATAGGTTTTCGGTCGCGATATTAGTCGTTTTTAAATTTAGCTTCTGATTTATATTTTTATACCTGCACTTATTCAATTAAATACAATCTCGTAGAATTATTTTATTTTTGATTATTTATTTTAGATAAAAATATTCTTGGTAATGTTATGTTAGATAAATAATGCATGATTGTTATATATTTTTATTTCTTATCTTCGTTATTCGAAGTATAAGATCTAGTCAAATCGAAATAGAAATTCCTTCAATTTCAAAATCACATCTATTTGAAATCTCATCAAATGTTTCTCAATTACTTAATCGTGATGTTCTTTTCGGACTTGTTGATGGCACATCATCGTCGATATCATCATCAATTATTGTTCGAGCTTCTTATCAACAACTTCATGTAGAACGCTTTTTCAATCTTTATCAATCAAACAATAAAAATTCTCGACAAAAAGTACAAAAAGAACCTATATTTCGTAGTTATTTATTAACATCATCATTCAATCGATCTTATCCATTTATACGAGTACTCGTTGGTTCAGTGCAAGGACCCTATGCAAATATGAATATACAGCCATTGTGTGCTATTGTAACAGCAGTTAATGAACAGAGTCTCTATGAAACACAAGCTTGTTTTATATCACCTCATACAGGCTATTGTTTAGTAACAATATCAGTTTTAAAAATGGTTGAATATGTAAATAAAAATCATACAAAAAATAAAATTGAACTTTATCTTAAAGTAAGATGCAACCTATTAGAAAGACAAAGATCATTATGAAAGCATTGAAATTTTTCTCTCTAGCTTCATCATGTTGTATCAATAGATGAATGTATCTCTGATCATACACCAAAACAAGATCATATTCATCATGAGACACGTATTGGTCATGCTGAATATATTGATAATGATAATATATATTTTTCTACTATAACTCGTTCATCAATATCAATCGATTATCCAATCGGTATTCATTATCTTGATTGGTATTTTCCATTAAAACTAAAATTAATTATTTCATCTTCATTATTACCATCATTTGTACTACGTTGCCGTTTATTGTCACATTTTTCTATTCATTTAATTCAAACAAATATTCTTAAAATTTCAAATTATAATATACAAATAAATCATAATGTTTATCATCGAGCATCTACTTCTGATATTGATTTTAATATAAAAATAAATCAAATTAATAAAACCAGTCAAATTAATACATTTGAAATTGATTTAGCTACTATTACGTTAAAAATAAATTCAACCAATATTAAAAAAATAAATCAAGAAAACTTTAATTCTGTTTCATTTATCGATTGGTTTTTATTATCAACTGCTTCATTTAATAATACTGAATCAATTTTAAGAGTTCCAATCCAAATAAAATATGATGATATACAAACAATTGTTGGACTAACAGATTTTACAAGTTTAATTAATACAGCCATGTTATCAATGCAAATTCAACAATTTCCATTGACAATTCTTGCAGTTAATCATTCAGGGTATGTCGTTTTGGTTTTTGAATAAAAAGCAAAATCTAGGAACGTTTTTTATTCTTCTTTTTCTAAGGTCTATTCAATCTATATCACAAGCAGTATGTCATTCAGAAAATATTCATTTAATTCAAGTTGATTCGAATTGTAATCATATATATTTTTCTGGTCAAGAACGTGATGATTTCTTTGATCAGGTTAAGAATCCAACTTCAATTGTTATTCGTTATGAAAAACATCTTCAACATTTACATTTTACTGTTTATATTCCTGAAAGACCATTACGTATTGAATTAAGTGATGCGAAATTATCTCGTATAAATGGATGGTTTATTAGAAAACGAATCAATGCTAATGGTGAACAAAAAAGACGATCGTTTACTGATGATTTTGATAATGACGATGACGGTGGTGGTGGTGGTGACGACAACGACGATGGCGATGATGATGATGATTTCAAATGTACGTCTGTTTATCAACAATCAACTATTTATGTTTATACAAAATTTTATCGAACTACGCAAAGTGATATTTAATTCTCTTGAAATCGTATTTATGTTTAAGCTTTTTTCTTTTAGATGGTGACCGTATTTATTTATTCAATAAACTCAATGTTCTAATAACACCACTTGTTCGTGCACATCTAGAAATTGATAATAAAAGTGTAGCTATTATTAAAAATGATCACATTATTGGTATTGGACCAGGAAAAACAAATATTCGAGTAATTCATGAAAAACAAAAATTCAATGGTTAGAAATATAGAGGTATTTTCTTTATTTAGATTTATTCATTTACAAATAAACTTCCGATGGGTTCAAAAGGAGTCTATGTTGATGATAAAGACTTCGTTGACATAGAAAAAATATCGTTTAATCTTGTAACAGATATTGGTATTGAAACAAATTTAATTGAACATACAGATCCAATTTATAAAGTTCATTTTCAAATAAAACCTATTTTTAATCGATTTCATATCGATAATAGAGATCAAGTAAAACGATTTATGTTCTATATTTTTCTTAAAATATCTGATGTTTTTGTCTTTTTCTAGTTTGGCCAAATTAATATTATTCTAACATATTCTGATAATACTTCAGTATCATTAGATGATATACCGTCGGATTATTATGATTTAGAAATTGATATGAGTCGTAAAAATCCTTTATTGATAACTATTGATTCATCAAAACCATGGAAAAATCGACTTATTCGTCCACTAGCACTTGGCCATACAACGATTTATAGTCGCCTCAAATTAGGTCAACAACGGTGTACAGATGATAGAAGTTTTCCTCAAAATGAACTATCTTGTGAAATAGTTATTTTATCAAATAATACTCACCAATTGAATGGCAATATTAATAATAATAATAATTTACATTCATTATCACATGAGCAATCGGATCATTACGTTGTATTAAATAATAATAATAATAATAATATTGATCATCGTACAAAAACATCACCATTTCTTATAGCATTATCAATATTACTAGGAACATGTATCGTGTTATTTCTTTCTTTTATTACACATTGGCTGATTAATTTTTATTATCGACAAAACCCAAACCATCATCTAAGAAGATCAAGACATTCAACACATAGTGGCGCTGAAGAAGTTAATCATGATTGGATATTTCTCGATAGAAGTTCATTAGAAATGCCTATGAAACAACAACAACAACAACAACAACAACAAGAACAACAAGAGCAACAAAATCCACCATCAATACATAGTTCAACACTTCATATAACATCCAATCCAATAATTAATACGCCAACTTTACAACAACAAAAAGATTTAACTGAACTTACACATTCACAAATGGTCGCTTATTTTGAGAGTCTAAAGGAATCTCATGCATAATAATGAACATTTTAATTTCTTTCTTTGGCATCAACACCGGTGTCATATTTTCTAGTCATAAATATATATGCAGTGAATTTTTTTCGAATTGAATTATCTCGCCAGACGATAGACAGTGAGAGTATCTCATAGCTTAATATTATATTCTAACGCTCAATTAGTCGAATATATATATATATATATATATTTAAGATTTGATTCAGCAATTATGAAAAAACAAACATTTAAAAGCTGATTTTTTTTATGTTCTGTTTTGCGTACGATTTCCTTGGTTTCTTTTAATAATGTATTCAGTTAGTTTTCTTTTTTCTTTTATCTTCATTGTTGAACATATATGTCAGTTTATGTGTCTTATTTTTATCACTTTTTCGCATAAAAAAAAGAACCACGGAATATAGGCTAATATATTCTAACAAACCCGAAAGCAGACGATAAAATGTCTATGCATCGATGCATAATATGTTTATTTTATGTTTGATGGATTAGGCGTAGCTGGTGGATTTCGTTGTTCACCATTGGATCTTTCAGATAATTGTTCTTTGTTCGGTGTCGGTGGTGGGAGTGGTTGATCTGTATTAATAAATGCTGTTTGAGGTGGATCATATTGAGTACCAACAGAAGGCTTTCGTTCATGTTGAAATTGTTCATAATAATTAGGGAAATTTTGTTCGTTAGTCGAAAAATTTCCATTTGGTTGTTGAGCATAATTCGTTGGCTGGTATAAATTCACGTTGTATTGTGTATTGATCTGTTGAATCATATCTGGTGGAGCCATTCGTCCTACCAATCGAACTGCACCTAAATTTTTAATTCCAAAACGGCTTAATGGTTCACAAGGATATGGATGAAGTTCTTGTCCATGAAAAACAAGATTTTGTAATGCTCGCGGTACACGAAAATCACGTTCAACAACATTCATTAAGTCTGAAATAGTTGGTTCAGCACCATTATATGCTGGCACGGATATTTCATGTATATCACCACCGAAATGCAATTGCAATTTGACACAAAAAACTCGAGGTTGAAACATGATTTATTGTATCACAAACATGCAAGAATGTAGTAGCAATTCGACTCTTCTCGACTTTTATTTCTGTTTGCAAACAAACAAAAAAAGTGTTGCTTGACGGTGTTGCTATTGGAGTTAAGAGGTAAGAAAAAAGAAGTAGAAAGAACAGAGAAAAGCAGAAAAGAACGTATGCTCTTTCTTTTACCATACAATATTTTATTGCTGGTAGTTGTAACATAAGAAAAAACGAATAATTGAAAAACTTTTATTTAAAAATGAAAGCAATAACAATAACAATGCCATTGATAGATCTATTCCATATCAGAAAGTTGTTCATTTTCGCTTAACTCAAGTTCACCGTTTTTCTTTTTTGTCTTTTGTATTTTCTAAAAGAAGAAAACAGTTGTAGAATATAAATGTTCATGAGTCTTTTCTCTTTTTTTTTCAAACGGTAGAAAAAAAGAATCCTTATTTTCAATTGTTCGAACGAAAATTTTCAGAATAAAACTTTCTTAGTATAGTAATGAGTGTACATTAAAACAACATATTCTTACATTGAATCGTTGTAGTCGTCGTTGTCTTTTTAATTTGCTATATTCATTTGCAATTTCATCAATATGCTTTTCAGTTTCAGCAACTGCATCTTCAGCACCAGCTATTCGTTCATTTTCTGCTTGTTCACGGCGTAAACGTTTTAAACGTTTTCTAAGTTTGTTTTCTTTTTGAATCGAAAATGCAACTGTCTATTAAGTACAAGCATGAATATGAATTAGATAGAGTTAATAGTGATTTTGTTTTTTACTTTGACACGTTTCTTTATTTTTAAAGTTGGGTCATCTTTTTCCATTTGTTTCTTTTTTGCTAAACTTTTATCTCTATCAAATAATCGATGAATATGATTTTCGAGAAAAACTTTAAAAGAAAGGGCCTACTTGTATGGAATAGATTCAGCATTGACTGTTTGATTTTCTTGATTAAATTTTGATTTATCCCGATTTCTTAATTCAGGCATTCTAGGTAAATGAACAAGTGCAAAAGCACCTTCAGCTACTCCACATAAATCAAGTTCTTTTAAACGTAAAAGAAGTGAACATTCGTGTTTAGCATATGCTTGAACATACGAAACAAATGCTTGTTTTGATCGATCATAGACTCCTCTAATAAAGTTGAATAAATATTTTAGTTATATGAGTAGAAACAAAACAATTGTAGTCAATGTTTCAAGTTTATAAATACAAAGAATGATAAATTGAGAGTGACACACGAAGAGTTAAGCTCACTATTTTAATTTTTTGATTACTTTTTTTTGAAAAAATATATCATTGTACTCAAAATATACAATAACGAGATTTAGTTGGATGCTGAATATATGTATATGTTTAAAATACTGACTACAATTATCCATAATCGTGAGTGTTCAAAATATATTTCTTTTTTGAACGATTCTTACTTGTCACTGGTTGCTAATTCTCGTACAATAGGAACAACATTTTCAATTTTTGACGCATCAGCTGCTGCCATTTCCTTCAACGGAACTTTTTGACTGTTGAGAAGAAAATTAACATAGGCTTCTTCATTTGGTAGAAGCATCAAAAGTGCATTGCCAAGTCGGCCAAGACGAGCTGTACGACCACAGCTGCAAATAAATTAATAAATTATAATGTAAATTTATAATTATTTACCGATGAACAAATTGTACAACTGTTGTTGGTGGATCAAATTGAATAACCCAATCAACATCGGGTAGATCAATACCACGTGCAACAATATCTGTACATACAAGTACAGTCGTAGCTGTTGTTGATGTTTCAGCTCGAAATTGTTCAATAACTGTTGCACGTTTGTTACGTAGTTTTCGATGTATAGAGAAAATTTTTGTTGATGGCGATGAACGAAATAGATGTTTAAGTACACTTCCAAAATATTGCACACAAGCACATGTAGAAAAAAATATCATTATTTTAGCTGGGCGGTGTTCATTGATAAAATGAATTAATTGATTTAATTTTTCATTGGGTTCACAAATCTGATTGAACAAAACAGAAAACATTCAATAGATCTTTTCATATTTTTCTTAGTACGGATAGGAAAAAAATGATTTACCATGTAAAAGTTTTTTAATGTTGATGGAGTGCGTTGATCAGAAGCTGAGCCCGTCTGTTTAACAGTTATTCGTACAGGATTTCGAAGGCCAGCACGAATTAATTTTTCTATTTCATCTGTTTGAGTTGCAGAAAATAAACCGGTTCGTCTTTGTTTTGGAAGAGCTTCAAAAATAGTATTTATACTGAAAGAAAAAAACATATGAAAAAAGGATTCAACTACTAAAGTTAAATCATTGTCGAAGAAAAAGACGAACTTCTAGCCATTTCCTTAGTGTCTACGAATATTATATTAAACTACTAGGGCACCTTGTAACTTATTTGTTCCAATGTTGCTAGATTTTAAATAGGAATTGGCAACAATTATAATCATAATCCAGTACTGAACTCTCGTTCGTTATTGACTTCAGAATCTGTTTGATTGATCTCTAATTTGAAAATCTTTTGCTCACACAGTCGAGCTCAGAAAACGTAATAATTTTGTTCGAATTCAGTCAAAATCAAAGAATTCTCAACAAAGAAGAATTTCGATGAAATAACTTGTCAACTAATTATATTTGAGAGACAAATTAAAAAAAAAACGCAAAACAAACTATGTTCATTTTGATTCATTTCTATCACTACTATTATATTTTCCATAGATGTGATACTCTCTTCACCATTATTAATAGTAGAAAACCGACATAATAGTAACACTATTTTCGTGATTTTTTTCTCTGTCACTCATCTATTTGATCATAGTCGTCAAAATATATTAGCTAAATTCACACAGTGTCCATCATGGACGGTTAATCGAAGTATTATTGGAGATGCTGCTTTTAGTTTAGGCATGATTTCTAGATGAACTTGAAATTAATATGATTTACCTAGTTAAAAATCCCAAATCTAACAAACGATCGGCTTCATCCAAAATGAGCATTTCCTAGAAAAGAAAAGAAAGTTCAATTCATATAGATTTTTATTTTTGTTTTTGAATTAAACTAACAAGACTTTTGAGATTTGCCCCAAGATTAAATGAATTAGTTTTCGTTTTAAGCAATTCTTCGAAACGACCTGGCGTTGCAATAACAATAGTACCACCATTGTTTTGATATTGCTCTATATCATGATCATGTTTTGTACCGCCAACAAATAGAATACATGAAAAATGATTTAGACCATCAAATGAATGAATAAATTCATTCGTTATATCAAATGTTTGTTGAGCTAATTCACGTGTTGGTGAAATAATTAATGAATGAATATGATGCTTGTCAAAACGCGTTTCATTTGAATATTTCTTTAACAGCATTTCAAGTATTGGTACAATAAATGCAAGAGTTTTTCCACTGCCAGTTACAGCTTCAACGCAAACATCTTTATGTTGTAGAAAAAGTGGAATTGTTATAGCCTAGATTGAATATAGTGTATTTCATTTTCGTACTATTTCTATTTTTCATTGATTAAACTACCTGAACTGGTGTCATTTTATCGAAATTTTTTCCTTTTAAAAATTTCAGAATTTTTGGATTTAATGTTGGCAGCCAACGATCAGTAAATGTTTGATTAGATTTACTCATTGTTTTTCTTTTTCTATCAAAATTAAATCTAAAATAGGATTACAACATGCTAGGATATAGTCTTTTCCTTTTATTTTATGGTTGCTAATCTTCTGGTTGGACAAATGTAGATTGATTTATACACAAGAAAAAGAAAAGAAAAAGAAAGAAAATCAATGTTGATAATAAACGTTTATCGATAAAGGTAATCAGCTTGTATGTTAGCAGCTATTTCAGCTTCCCATTTATCGCCATTTTGCAGTAATTTTTCTTTGTTATAAAGTAATTCTTCACGTGTTTCGGTTGAATATTCAAAATTAGGACCCTATACAATATGACTATTTGAGATCAAAGGTTACAATTCAAATGAATTTACCTCGACGATGGCATCGACCGGGCATGCTTCTTGACAAAAACCACAGTAGATACATTTTGTCATGTCAATATCGTAACGTGTTGTTCGACGACTACCATCTGCTCGTTCTTCAGCTTCAATTGTAATAGCCTAAAATAATAATTTATATATCTCCTGTATTGATTTTGACTTGAGTCGAAACTATTGAATTCATCATGATACTAACTAAAAATGTATCAGTAAAAGTATGAAAATTGTCATAGAAAAGACAATGAAAAATGAAATCAATAGAATTACGTTATCTTGAAATAGAGACAACTCTTAACGAGACTATTTTAAGCATCGTAATCTAGCAGATTTAGAAACACTGAGCAAAGAGATTGTTTGACGCAATGTATCAATGTTCAACTGAGCCTTTCAGGAGGCAAAAAGAATTTAAAGATAAAAATCGTTTCTAAAAGGTTCAGATTCAGTAGGATTGTATTCAATATTGAAAACAAGATTTGATAGATTTTGAGTGAAGGCAAAAATATTTGAATAAAATTACTTTTTTAAAAGTAGACTTTACTGGTATAAGACTATAGAAAAATAAAACATTTCATGAAAGAAATAATTATTTCGATTTCAAATCAATTAGTTTATATTCAATTTTTCTATTAGCACACTTTATTATAACAAAAATTATTCAGTAAAATCTTGATATTTTCTTCAAGAAAATTTCTAAATTTCAAAGTAGTTCAATACCATAAACGCTTTCCTTCACGGTAGTGATAAAAACATAGACAGATGAATGAAAAATTAGAGCTTGTTAATAAAAGTTTTATGTGAATCTTAACAGTTGCATTCATTTATCATAATTGTCTTTTATCCAAGAAGTACTTCTAGTATTTCTGCTCGTTTCTTTCACAATTTTAACACTTACTTGAGCAGGACATATGACTTCGCAAAGTTTACATGCGATACAGCGTTCTTCACCTGATGTATAACGACGCAGAGCGTGTTCACCACGAAATCTCTAAAGAAATTAAAGAAATACTTTTCAATTGAGAAGAAAATTTCTAGTGGAAAATTTCATACTGGAGAAAGAGGGCCTTTCTCAAATGGATAGTTGATAGTTGTCGGTTCACGTAATAGCCAACCAAGAGCAATCATCACACCTATTAACAAAACATTGGTGAATGCAAGTCTCACAGTATATCTATATCTATCACTAATAAACCTTTAAGCATATCGGTCCAAAGAAGTACTTGAAGGCCACGTTTTGTTGTTTGATACATATCAAGAGATGGTATTGGATCACTAATATTAACTAATCAAGAAGAAAAATGACACGGAAATATATGTAACAAAATTTTTATTGATGAAAAAGTAATTTTACCATAACATTTAAGAGATGGATCTTCATTAGCTTTATATTCATCGAGTGCTTTCTGTTGTTGCTTTTCAATATGAGGTGGCACTGAGCTTTTGAATGGTTCTGGTGGCAGACTATCTGATTTCTTATCGCGAAAAAAAATTGATCTCGTAATAATCAATCGTGGCACACCTTTTTGATACAAAACAAAATAAATTTACTGAAAGGCAACCTTTGTTTCTTTGCTTACCAACACGTGAAAGGTTTGTAAAACTTGACAGCATAGTTTATTTCAATAGAGATCTTCTTTAATAACGAAAAAAAAAACTAACAAACAAACTCAATAGAGTACCAATTGTTAAATTATATGTATAATCTATGACTGTGGCGCCCTCTTGTACTACAAGCAACGCTTTCTTAGTAAAATCAATTGAAATCGTTGATAAGTAGGAATATTCTTTTTTAAATCTCCAAGAATAAATTCAATACATTCTTCGTTTGTTGTTTGAAAATATCATACTATTGGTTGATTATATCAAAGCAAAAAAGAAATAAGAAAAACACAGAATGCATGACGTCATGTGTACGATGCTTTTCATCGCGTATGATAGTGTAAGAGACTCGTTTTCTTGTTGACTAAGGTACAAATCTGAAGGACTAAATCAAGGTGTGCATAAAGAATTCTGATATGTTTTATTAAAAGAATCAAACAGACAGAAGAATATTCAATTATAAAGCATTTTTCTGCTCATAAAAATATCTGTCATTGTTACACAATGGCTGTTTCTTAATTCTTAAAATGACACTAAATTTATACGTAAAACAATTTGAATTAGAGGAGAAACCTCAAAAGATGACTCATCATATTCACTAGTATAGGATTATATCGGTCAGCTGTAATAATGACTCACACAGTTATGTTTATGTTTTTGTTTTGAAGTAAACAACAATAAACAACAAGCAGGGCGATGTCATCTGAATGGCCCGACACACAACTATCAAATATACAAAAAAGTAAATAGATAAAATATGTTAAATTTGTTTATTAAACATTTTAAAATACTTTGCTAGCTTTACAAAATAGTTGGCAAATTCCATATATATCTTTGTACGCACGAATTTTTTGTGATGCTTTTCAACTATTCGATTTTCACCAAGAGGTAAGTCAAAATTTTAAGCAAATAGATTTTCGTTTTAACTTGATTGTTTTTCTTTTATTCAAGGAATTGGAAGATGCTTTACTATCGGATAATCCCGATGAGATTCATCCATTTCTACAAGAACTTCTTATATCATTGCTTACCGGATTAACACGATTACATGTCAAGTTAGTTGTTGAACGATAATACAAAAGATTTTGCAATCTTTATGTTTTTTTTCCTTGATGTTCTTTAGTTCTTCTAATATGTTTATTATGTTAAGCAATGTACTCAAACGAAGTGGTCTAAATATTGTTTCACCTGATCCATTATCTACTATGACAATATCAGATGATACAATATCAACAGCGGAATGGATAGAAATGGGTATATTCGAAAAGGTTACAGTACTTCGTGCTTTGTGTGATGCAAGACTTGACCGACCAGATATTGAACAACTTACAGAAGTAAAAAAAATAGAATTTTGTAATCAAAAATTTGATTTATTTTCTTTCGAGTAGACTATGGCAGCTGATTCACTTCGTTTTGAACCATTCGGAGAAGATTCACGTGGAAATAAATTGTGGTATTTTGGCGATACTCGGCTGTATTGTGAATCATTAGCTAAAAATGCAGAGTAAGTGAAATTATATGTTCCTCTAGTTATGTATTGATGAACAAATATTCACAATTCTCTGAAATTTTCAAACTATTGTCACGTAGTCAGTTAAAATATGTTGATTTCCTAGTTTGATCATCGCTTATATAGTTATGAACGTTTTACTTGACTATTACTCTACATGTATAAGATTATTGACTAGAGACATGAGTTGAAATCACTAGAAACACTATCAAGTTTGAGGTTGAAAAAAAATATCCACATCTAGAAATCAGCTTATTTCGAAATAGCCTTTCTGTTGTAAGACGATTAATAAACAAATGTATACATCTAAGTGTATAATAGTTTTTACAAAAAGTTAGATGTGTTTCTACTGGCCTACGAGGTAACTATTTGACTAAAGTCCGATCATTTTGATCCTTCACAATTTTATCATAATAGTCCAATTAGTGTAGATCAGATAATCCAATCAGAAAGTGTGGTTTTTATTGTTCGTCATCATTAACTAAATGATAATAAAATTCTGAAGTGAAAAATGATTGAAAATGTTATCGTCATATTGAATATAGAAGAAAAATGATAGCCTTCTTCTGTCTTTTTTGTTTTCAATGTTGCAAAATGATTTTCTACTCAAGTAGTAATCGCAGTAATTAGATAAGATTTAGTAATATAATATTTCAATAATCGGTTTCAAACTAAACACGAAGCTAAATATAATCATTTGAACAAATGAACCTTTGACGACATTAAATGAATAATTACTATAAGTATTACAATTACGCTCAACGACAAAAGTAGTTTACTAAGGTGCTTCAAGGTCAAAAATCGAGCAGAAAAACATTCCTTTTATTATTACATGGTTGGATAGAGTCGGATGAGTAGATCACGAATATCACCTTTTTAATGTTTCTAGGCTTCCATTTTGGTTGAGAAATTTTCAAAATACAAAATGCACCTGAAAACGTGAATATTTCACTTTTTTCGAGAAAACTCGAAACTTATCTAGTTTAACAATGTTCTAGGTTTAGAAGACTATCATCATCGAATTCAGCATGAAGATCTGAATCTACTGATGTAACTTTGACGAGTAAAAATCATAAATTTCAATATTGAAGAGCTCCACTAGGTCCCCATATAGACATTACATGCTCAAATTGATGCCTCGCAAAATCATCAACTATTTTTTTAAAAACAATTCTCGAACTGTCTTATATGATTCGAACCGTCAAGCAATAGCGAACAAAAGTATGCATTCAGTTTTGAACATATTGTTCTGTCTCTGAAAAAATCGATTTTAACTATATCGGTGACTATATGTTTTAAGAGTTGCCCTCTTATTTCGAGGTTTTGACCATCAAAACTTCACTTCCATGCGTAATAAACATCATAATCAGAATCAGCACAAAAAGCATCATTGACTATCATGAAATTTATCAAAAGATAATTGTCATAAAAATTCCAGCCTACTCCCCTCAGTCATTTTTTTCTTCATTTCATCCTGTAGTCCCCCACAGGTAAAAATTTGATGAAAATTATTTTTTGATAAAATTTATGATAGTCAATGTAGCTTTTCGTGCTGATTATGATTATGATGTTTATTTCACATGAAAATAAAATTATGATAGTCGGAATCTCGAAATAAGAGGGCAATTCTTTAAGCTATACCCATCGATCTAGTAAATAATCAATTTTCTCAGAGACAGAACAATGTTTAAAACTGAATGAATACTTTTGTTCGCTATTGCTTGACGGTTCGAATCATATAAGAAAGTTCGAGAATTGTTTTCAAAAAAAATAGTTTATGATAGTTTTCTAAACTTAGAAAATTGTTAAACTAGGTAAATTTCGAGCTTTCTCGAAAAAAGTGAAATATTCACGTTTTCAGGTGCATTTTGTATTTTGAAAATTTCTCAACCAAAACGGAAGCCTAGAAACATTGAAAAGGTGACATTCATGATCTACTCATCCGGCTCTATCCAACCATGTAATAATAAAAGGAATGTTTTTTCTGCTCGATTTTTTACTTGGGTGCACCTTATGTAAAACTATTATTTCCGATTTGCATGATTATATTTCCGAGTACATAGTACTTATCATGAAAAGTAGTTAAGTAAGGCAAAAAGCAAATCTGTATCATAATACTTACTCGATCTTTATATCATAAAAATAGTCAACGTTTATATTTGTCTTGAACTAGAACAGAACTTTAAAAGAGTAAAATACGAGAAGATTGATTAGACCTCTTCTATAATCAAGAAGTTCGGAGTCATGGTTATCATGATTTTAGTATATCAATAATATTTTGCTAGCTTTGACTTATGACATTTTATCAAATTCATAAAATTGCCATAAAAGATTCGAAGATAAAATATAACTATGAAAGTGTTCATTCAATTTAATACTTCATTTTTTATTTAATATTTAGAACATCAACATGGGAATGTATATGTCGTACATTAGATGAATGGAACGTATTTATTGAAAATTTCCGTAAATCATGTTCAAAAAAAACCTCAAGTATTAAAGATCGTAAATTATTGGAACGCTTAGTTACTTTGAATACTGAATTACCTGAGATATATGCACGTAAAGAACGGGATAGACAACGTCGCTGGACATCCTACGAACCTAAACGTTCATCAACACGTCTTGAAGCTAAACGACAACAACGGATTGAATTAGAAGAAATAACGCAAGAGCAAAAAGCTCGACATGAAAAATTTCTTGAATATAAACGACGACAAGAAGAAATCATTGCTAAAGAAAAAGAACGTTTAGAACGTAATGAACGTGTCAAACGACGAGAAGGTATAATTCGAAATAAATTGTTTAGAAAAATCATCTGAGAAATATTTTGATAACGATTGTGTTTAGAACGAGCAGATCGTATTCGACGTCGTGCTGCTGCCGGATCATTAACGGGTATTTTCGATGGTTCAGAATTATCAGAAAATAGCAACGCATCATCATCATTTTACGACGAAACTAGTAATCCACTTGATACCAGTGACGTCCATCAAAAAGGTAAAATTATCATTTCCTTTTTTATGCTGCTTGAAAAAATTTTCTTCTGATTTTTAGTATTGACTTTATTAAGAACAAATGAGAATAGTTGGCCATTTCTTGAACCTGTTTCTGAAGAATTAGCACCGAATTATTTCTCAATCATACAAGTAAGCATTCTTAAATTTCCTTGCGATTAAACAAAAACAAATCAATCAATTTTCGTCTTAAACACTGATTTAAATGCACGAGAAGATTGTGTCCATGAATCATCATTCATATGCGATGTTTTGTTTCGCATCAATATTTTTCAGAATGTTAATTCATTTTTGCTTGAAAATATATATTTCTTTTTTGTCTCAACATTGAAAATTCTTCGAAGAGCTTCTTTCTGGCGTATTGTTTAAATTTTTGTTTGTAAATAGAGTACGTCTATTCATAATGAAGTTCTACAGATGTTTTCAATCGGTTAGATATATTATAATCGCCCGTTAGCTTGTTCAGTATCTCTCTTGAAAACTTCATGATATAGGTCTCAAAAGTTCGTATGTTCTGAATACACTTGGTGGAAGGTGGTTTATTTTTGAGGAAATATTTATTAAAAAATTTCATTTTGTTTTAGAATCCAATAGATCTTTCAACAATACAGAAGAAAATAAATAATAAAGTTTATGTTAACAATTCACCTGAATTTATTCGAGATATTGAATTAATGGTTGCTAATTGTGAACAGTACAATGGCAAACGAAGCAGTAAGATATATATATATATATAGGACTTGATTCTTTCTTTTAAATAATTAATTTAATCTTTTCTTTTTTCTTTTGTTATTATTTAGTTTTGGGTAGAATAGCTAATCGGCTTCTTCGTTATTTTAAAGAATCTTGGTCTGAATGTCAACCAATGACACCACAATTTTATGATGATATTGATGAAATAAATCATCAACGAGATAACCCAATAAAAAGACGATTAAATGAATCAACATCAACAACAATAACACGCGATAAAAATAATAATACAAGACCAAGAAAAAACTATCGACAATTAGCTGGTTTGAGTGATGACGACGATGAGCTAGAATCTGAATATGTACCAATATCAAATTCAAAGCGCGTAAGTTATTTATTAGAAAGATCTTGTATATCACAATTTAAAAATTTAATTTTCTAGGCTCGTCATTCCACTGCATCCGTACCAATATATATAACGATTGATCCTAATTCTCCAGCATTTATTGTATATCATGATCATTCATATTTTATTCGACACGAGTCAACAAATTCATCTCTCAATTCCTCAACAGATAATATACATCGACGTAAATCATCGATTTCAAATACAAAATTTACAGCAAATAGTCAAACTAAAATAGAAACCCCGCCACCTCCGCCGCCGCCGCCGCCGCCGCCACCACAGCAGAAGCAACAAAATTGTTTACCTTCTGTTCAAGTCCTTAATCGTTTACTTCTTGAACATCAACAAAAAATGAAAAATTCTTCATCGGATTCGTCTATAAATCCTTCAACGTCATCGACAAATACGATAGATTTAAGTACTATTTTACGTGCACTCTTAGCCAAGCAAGGTCATCATATAACAACATCAATTGACAAAAATTCTAATAATAATAATACAGAAAATAGTCTTTGCTCATCGTCATCGATACAATCTGTGCCGAATTCTCAATTACAATCTGATTCATCATCAACAACTGCTCTATAATAAATTATTGTTTAAATAGTAAAACGATTAGCAGAGGAAAATAAAATACTTGAATTCTCATGTTCTTTTTTCTTACGATTATTCTGTACAAAATTTTGGATTATTTGATACAAATAGAACAAGAGCCCAGAACCCGACTGAGTATGTTTCTTCCGTTTATGTTTCTTGTGTTCTTGTGTTCTTGTTTTTTTTTCTTTTTCATTGTATGTTTCTGTATACCTGTTTGTATGTATTGTTTTGATGCTAATGAATCAAAACATAGACTGTACAACAAACAAATAAAAACAAATAACTAAATGCAATAATATTTAAAAATTGAATATTGTATAAATAATTCTTTTTATCTGTTATTTTTCTTTTTGTACCGGTTAAAATAATGGAACACAAAAAAATAATTGAAAAAATTCAAGCAAGCGACTACAAAATACATATATAGATCAAGTAAAATCAGAGCACAAAAATTGAAAGATTTGTTCATTTTTATCAAGAGAAAAAAATATTCATATGAAGCTTTAATTATTAAAATCGTTATTATCATTGTTTTGAGTATTTCTTTGACGGCCAGACATTATTAAGGAACCGATCGTCGAATATTGATTACCAGTTGATGAAGGTGTATTTCTAACAATATTTGTTTGTGATATGAAATCTTCTAAACCTGGTGTTGATCGATTATTAGTTTGTGGTGATGGTGATGGTGAACGTCGATCAGTTGAATTCGATGTAGTACTTCGATATTTATCTTCATACGATGATGAATGATAATAACCTCCTGTTGTTGCTGTATTTTCAGAAGCAATAGTATTGATTGTATAATCATTCGAATATTTTCGATTATTTCTATCGCTTTCAGTATTGATGTGTACACGTGAGTAATCATCTGTAGATAACGAAAAACAAAAAAAAGAATAATAAAAAAAAACTCTTGATTGATGACAAGAAAAATCCGTTAATATTACCTGTAACATCGATTTGTCGTTCGTGACTACTTTGCCGTTGATAGGAACCATTAGATGCTACCGATGGACTGCGACTTCGTTGACTATCTCTTTTTGGACCAATGGGCGTTTCTATTTGATTGATTATTGGATCTGGTCGTTTAGGATTTGCAATAACAGGTATATCAACAATTTTCGAAGCACCAGTACCATATGAGATTTTTTCTCCTTCCTTTACATATTTTCGTCGATCATCTTCTTCAATATAAGTTGATCTATGCGAATTATTATTCGTATTTGATTCAATAAATTTGTCAACTCTTGTTGGAGTTGTTGGTCTTTGATTTTTAATATCAACAGTAGCATCAATTCCATTATTTCTCTTATTTGATGGCGAAATTGGTCGAGGTTTACTATCATCATATCGTGGATATCTTGGTGAGAATTCATCTGTTTTTGTAGCACTATCCGTACCGCGAAAGAGATTTTCATTTGAATTAGCACGTTGTCGCATTTGTTGATATGATGAAACTGCTGGATCAAGATCATCACCATAAGATGAACGACGTATTGGGCGACTTTCACGTGCTACTGACTTTTCAGTAGACATAGTTACACCACTAGCCAAACCATGAGGACCATATTGTTTTGTATAACATGATTTACAATAGATTTCACCTTTATGTTCCGATAATGTTGTTGCATCTAATTTTCTTTTACATGTATGACAACTAAAGCAGCTGGAATGAAATGCCTAAAACAAACGAATTATTATTATATTGAAATATATTTCATAATTAATTGAAATACATACTCGACTAGCTCCAAGTTTTCTCTCAGCTAAATAAACAGATTTTGAACATCGAGCACATTTTTCAGTACCACCTCCGTATTGTGGCATGCCTCCTGTTTGCTGTGTTGACTGATTTGTTTGATTTGGATAAGGATTATTTAATGGATTAATGTGATGGCCAATACCTGCTGTTGGTATTTTACGTGCTGTTTTTGGACTGCCACCTGTAATGCTACAACATAAAATAACAAAAAAAAATGATTATGATGAAAGAGAAAAAAATCGTTATATTGACTCAGAGCAATGGAATTATATTTTACTAGTACAACTACTCATCGAATCCAATAAAAAAAAACTTCTAGATCGATTAGCATTATATTTTTAAAACTATTGACCTAATTTATAGCTTTCAATAGAGAAAAATCAATAAAATAAAATGAAGTATTTGTCAATACTAACTCTGCTACATATTCTGAATAATTGACACGATATACAGATGACGCAGTATTGTTATTAGCTGATGTTCTTGGTGTTGTCGAAGACATCTCGATTTAACTTCTGAATAATGTGAGTATCTTTAAAAAAAAACACAACATTGCTTCTCTCTTATATACTTAAAACTTAACTCCCACTCTGTTTTTCTTTTCTTCTTATTTTTCTCGAACACTTCTTTCTTCAACATGATATTTTATTCGTTCTTGACAAAAGAGCATGTTGTTTGTCAGTCATCACCTGTGAAGATAATAGGTGAGCGTAGAGAGAAAAACATGGTTAGGTTGATAAAAAGACTCATATAGGTAATTTATGATTCGTCTGTTTTCTTTTATGTTTCTGCTATTTTTCATCTCATAACAAGATACTCATCATGTTTTAATAGGAGAAAAAAGAACGAAATCAACAAATCAGAATTGTTTCTATGAATCAAAATTATTATTCTTATGAGTATTCACGTGAGTTATACTTGAATCGATGAAAATAATCATTAAGGACATTAAAATCGACTACAGCAGGTGTTTAGACATCACGTTGAATGATTGTGATGGTTAGTTACGTTTGAAGTTTATCTTTATAGGCGCGGCTTGTCGTTTACCTTGAATAATGATGACTACCTAGTAGAGAAAACGAAAAGAATAGCAGCTGACATGCAGTTAACTAGTAGGTCGATAGAGTATGAACAAAAAATTGTTGGCTTCGATTTTCAACACAAATCACATTGATAAACATTCTATAGAAACGAACATATAGTTTAAATTTAGTAATAGAAGTTCAAGTTCTTTTTCAATCTAACTTAAATTGGGCATAAAATATGATACTATACATCAAGATTTTATTTATCTATCCTAAATAAACTAAAACGAACAATCCTAAATAATCATCAACTTTAATTGTTTTATATTTCTTTCAAGTATATGCTTAAAAGAAAAATATTCGAATTGTTTGCTTTTTACAAATCTCTGTATGTTGCATAAACATAAAATCGCTAAGTAAGAATGTATAAAAATAGAATCACTTGTATTTTTGTTTTGTAAATATTTTATTTTATTTTATTTTATTTCTACAATAGACTGAAAGAGTTAATACATGTTTATGAAGTAAAACTGAAACGTTTTACTATGGACGATTGATTGATTGATGCTATTTAATTAATAATTATTTTGTAAATAGAAAAATTTTCTACTAACATTAGAAATGTTCAACATCAACAGATTTGATATTGTTGAACAGTAAAACAAATATTTGCAAGAATCATACAAAAAAAACAGAAAAATTGATAAAGGTATCATAGTTGATATACGATCAATAAGTAGAAATTCAAAAATCTATGACCATATAAATAAATGTCTATGTATACTCTTGATTCATACAATTAACAATCGTAAAGTATGAAAATATAATCATGTGAAATTAGTTTGCAGCATATATCAATTGAAGTTCTAATGAATATAACTATTCTATGAAGGATAATATGCTTGTGGATATTGACTAATATAAATCTATTAATTTGCATCTGTACACAATCAATGCCCGAATGAAAGTAACACAATGTGAACATGATAGATGAAAGTGAAATTTTATCTATTTCAATTAGGTGATATATATAACTATATTGTAATATGATTGTGACAAATTTATCAATTGTCCGATACTATTCAATAGTATTCATACTTCTCGGAATGAATGTAATTATTTAATAGATTAATTTCATCGGGATTCTTGATCGAAATATATTCGAATTAAAATTTCTCTAAGAACTTGTGTCTAGGATTCAGTACACATTCCTGTTTCTTTTAAAGGTGCACTATATTCGACTACATTATGTGAATCAGTCAAGAATGAATCTTATCGATGAAAGTTGAATTTCATAATATTGCATTTTTTATTCATATATATTGACGCTTCAGAAGTTCAATTATTTTATCTTCACGCATCAATGCTTTCTATACGACTAAGTGAGAAATCATTAATGTATTCGCTGCTTTTTTCTGAGTCACATCTTCAGATGAGTCATCGCGTATAAATTATACACGTAGGCAGACTTGCAATGCAATCGATCATTTTCTTTTCTTTTCTCATCTAGGGGCAAAGAACGATTGAGGAAAAAGAAAAAACTCCGCAAGTAAGAAGTAAGACTTGTACTGACTCATGCGTGGGCACTCTCAAAGCTACCCATGAGTAATTCTTTGCATTGGTACTCGCCAGAGTAATAGAAACATTTTATGAGAACCAAGAGGGTATAAAATATTGTGTAAACCAATCAAACTTTTTTATAAAACGAAATATTCTGTTCTTTTATTCGATATAAAAAACGATAAAGCTACAGAGCTAAAAATATTTGTTTACGAAAGGCGAGTACAAAGATGTGTATAGTTTACAAAATAATATGAACGAATCTTTTTTTTTAAAGGTATAGAATAAAAACAACGTTTTCTGCAATGGAAGCACTGGCTGGTGCTGGTCTTATGCCAATACCATCGAAGCCCATCGAACGCACAAATCAGAATGTAACTCCCGTAACTGAATCAGATGGTCTCGATACACTGATAAACGAAGATTTTAACGAAGATGATGATCAAGAAAAACGACTGAATGATTTAAAAGCCAAATACACGTTATATCCATCACTCGTCGAATTAAAAGCAATGATTGATGAGGAAAATCCAAGTGAACCTGTAGTTATTAATCCTCCATCTATTGAACCATTGAAGGAGTTTATTACGAGACGCGCAATAACAATCGAAGGTTTAAAAGATCTTCGAGCTCGCATGGCTAAACATGTTTTAAATTGTAAAATTTCAAATACTGTTGGTAATTCGGCATCTATTGTAGGTGGACTTCTATGTTTTGTTTTTCCACCTATCGGTGTACCAGTATTACTTGCTGGTGCTGCAACAAGTCTTGGTATGTGTATATTAATTGAATTAGTTTTCTCCATAGTCTATTTTTTATAATTTTCTTTTTCATTTCTAGGAACTAATATCACAGAAGGTTTTATTGAAAAACGTCTTCGAAAAAAATATATTCATATGATACAAGAAGATTCATTAGCAATGAGAGTATGTGAAACAAATATAAAAGATATCACAACATGGCTTGTTACGGTCTATTCACTTGGTTATACAGTATCCAAAGCTGGAGTAAATTTTTTTCAATTATCTGAAGCTATTCAAGCAGCTACAACGCTTGGCACATGGGCTGAATTAGTTGGACAATTGCCATCATTAGCAGGTGCTCTTGCAACGGGTGCTAAAACAGCCGGTACAGTAAGTGGTAAAATTTTGGGTGTATCAGTAATTATTTCTGTGGCAGATCTTATACACACTTGGATAGTAAAAAATGCAACATTGAAGTCAATTGATAAAGATATTGGATTACTTGAACAACAATTAGTAGAATTACAGCGAATAACTGAAGTTTATCATGCTTAAGCAGATTCTTTTTTTTTATCTATTCTCATCAGCAGTATTATTGAATGCAATTTATCAACAAAATGGCTCATTTATTCTAATAAATTTTTATCAATTATTGTGAGGAACTTTGCCGAATTATTTCGAATGACTTAAATAACTCTTGGGCGAATAATCATTCACGATATTTTCTATTACTACTCGATACTTTTTTATATTAACAATATTTAACGAATTTCGTATAAAATTTACAATCGACCACTGAAGATTCTTATTTGAATCAGAAAATAGAAAATAGTTTTCATCTGTGATTATGTTTTGAGTGTTGAGGATGTTTTTTCTAGTTTTTCTAGTTTACTGAAAACAATTGTCTGTGAAATATCCTACTCGATTTTGTTCGATTTGTAGATAAAAATATTTCCGATGAATGAAGTTTTAATGGTTGTAAATAATAATTTAAATTTTTTGAAATAAAAAATATGTAGCAGGCAGAAAATTTATTCATATTGAATTATTTAGAAAGACCAAATTATTTCTTCTTATTATATCGAAATCAATCTTGATTTCGATTTCAAATTAAAAATTCATTTCAAATAAATTAATAGTAATCAAAGTTCTATTATGACATTGTAGTAAACGAATTTTTTATGATCGAAAATGTTTCTCAATATCAAGTTACAGGTGAATGTTTCTTTGCTCGTTATTTGGATACTATGATGATATCAAAAAATATGGTAATGAGACAACAAGTTATTGCAGCTTGTTGAAGAGATCTACGATCTGTTTTCTATCACTCTTCTATTATTATGTGTTAACAATCATAGTACAGCCTAAACAAAGAGAAAAACAACATATCTACGTGAAAAGTTGCATACCATTGATATATGACAAAGTCAAATTCGTTCGTCAACATAGCTGAGTTCAATTATAAGCTTTGTTACTTAAATTAGATATCAATCTATTCAGTTGAATTCTTACTTTTAGATTTTAATTTATTTTCATGACAATAAAAAGAAGAAGAAGAATTTACTAAAAATCTTATTAGCATACGACTCGAGCGAATATGCGAGCAAAATATCACTAATGAATATACAAGTTTATATTAGTATAAAGATTTTTAAGGAGAACGTTTTTTTTTAAGAATAGTTTCATGTTCTTTCTAATTTGATGATCGACATTTCAATCTATTCAGTTTATCAAAGATTTTCTTCTAGGTGAATTGATTTAAATATGATGAAATTTTTCCGAAGCTCAGTCATCTCCAAACATACTGAAAGATGATAATATAATCTATCGCGAAGTTGAAAAAAACAGATTCTATTTATAGATCACTGGCAAGTATAGAATTTCAACTATTAATTGTGGTTTTATCCATCAGTACTCTTCTACTTGATAGATTACAAGCTTTACACTATAGAAACCTTGATCAAAAGTCGTTCATGATATTCTTTTACAAAAACAATATGGAGATTATTAACGACATAAAAATCGAGTAGCGATCAAATATTAATAACCGCTAAAAGAGTCTATATGTAAGTTATATAGTGTGTACAAAATACCACAGAAAAAGAAACCTTTTATGTAAAATACTATTTGTCAATTGTAATTGAACAACCTGTGATGATCGCAACTGATTTGAATCAGTCTATTTTTTTCTGCAGTTCTATTTTTGAAGTGACTCATGCTATAATAGTTGATGCACTTACAGAAGCTTACTTGTATTACCCTAGTTTTCTTTTAAACCGTTTACCAACTATTAATAGAATTTGAGTAAATTATGTTTCAAATGAGTATTGTTTTCGTTTTCATTTATGTTCTCTTCTTTGTATAGATCGTATATAAAGATCTTGTTAGCAAGTGCCATTTTAAACATTAGTTATGAAATATAAACTATATTATCTGAGAAAAGAAAAGAAAAGAAAAGTTTGATGTGGAATGCTCCATATGTGCTTTGAACTTTTCATCAAAGACTGAGGATTAGACAAATATCTGATCGGTGATATAAATGCTCGTTTCAAGCGGAAAAATGTCGTTCAGGTCAAAAATGCTTGAAAACTAAACTTACGATAAACACATTAAATAAATGAACAGTAACAAAAACTTGCCGTTTCCCCGACCACGTCACACAACTGTACAAATGAATTTGTAGCGGATAAAGGAAAAATTCAATGGGAAAAATGCTTTAGATAAATGAGATATAATTTTTCCCATAGAAGAAAAGCGCTTCAGTTTAAGATCGAAAGTGAGGATACATATATGTGGCAGGTGACTTTGGAATTTTGTTGAGTTTGGAATAGTTTTTTCTTAATTTTTTAATAGAATTTTTATTGAGATATTACTTTAGAAATGTCTTTATTGAAAATTATTCATCGCATCGTTTTCCGATGTGTTTTTGAATAAATCAAGTCTGTCTAGATTTTTTAATCAGTGGGGACATGGTGTCATCGAATTTACTTGGGAAATATTTCTTTTCTATTCTGTTTTCTATGATCTATTATCACTAGCAGTAAAAAAAAAGAAAAATATATTTTTTCCATTAATTATTGTTTTCGCGGATCCCAATCTCAACTGAAATTCTCATGTTAACTGTGCCATGTATAGTCGCTAGCAGAAAAATGAATTTGCAGCTGATAAATGAAATATCAGTTTCGTTTCGAAGAAAAATGTGTTGATATGTAATTGAAATGAACTTACATTTTTTCGCGATCTGTGAGAAATGATGCTGAAAATTTACGGCCGGTTAGAGTATGGTTTACTTTAGTTAAAAGAAAGGTCGGTAAATTTGTATGAAGATGGGGTGTTGAAAATCATTTACGATATAAGGGAAATCTTTCAGAGTTTGTGATGACCCGTGAGGAATGACAAAGACCTGGTAAAAAGTTTGTTTTCAAATAATCGTTGGGAAAGAAGAAATGTAAAGAACGAAAATGAATATGAAAATGAAAACTACTCATATTTGGTGTTTGTAAAGTTGTGTATAGC